TACGCAAACAAAGTACGGATTGTTTATCGTACTGTTGATATCAACAAGATTCGTATCTTACTCCTTTACCTCGTACCTCAAGGAGTGGTAACTCCAAAACCTTCATAAGACCACATTCAAATTGCAATCAATATGCATACAGCTTTTTTCCGTGGTCAGGTCAACCAATGGAATAGACTTCCAGGTGACATTGTAAATATAGATGATAATTTAATTGCGCGACCATCTTATCGAAACTGGGAAGTGGTTTTAAAAAATTTCTCTTATCACATATATATTTATTATAAGTGTTTATATATTATTTATTTTTTATTTTGTTGTACCTGTATTAATGTGATGCGTTGATACGCTTTATCAATAAATAAAGTAGAAGTAGCTTCAAGAACCCATATTAACGAAAGATGAGGCCTCCACAATTGTACTTTATTCCGCTTTAAGTACAGTCATCTGTTTTGAATAAGCAACCATTCACTTGCCTTGTAACATGACTGCTAAATGTACTCCACTAAGGGAGGGATATATATCAGTAAAGATATAAACAGTAAAAGTCTATAAGCAATAGATAGACAAATACAAAGTTTGTTGCTTTTTTCATGTCTTCAAAGTTTCATCAGACTGAGTTCTGAGTGGAAACTTTGAAGTCCACAGAGAATTTAAAAGGTTGCATCGTACATTTGCCTTCTGTCTGAAGGATAAAATATGTGATTCATTATTCTCCTATAAGACTATTATACATTACCTTGCAAAATAGTTAGGAGAATTTGGTGGTGAATCAAAATAAAACCTTAACTATTCTCATCACTTTTAACCCTTTACACCCTAACATCAGTATCCAAATTCTCATTACTCTTCTCTTCACATTTCCTTTGATAATAACAAGGAGAATTTGTTTAACATAAAGCTTTTCAGGTTGGCGATCATTTTGTTTAATCTCATGATGTTAATAAATGATACAGCAGTATTATGGTAAGGAGAAATTAGATGCTGGTCACTCTTAAAGGTAAAAGTGTTAAACTAGATAATGTATATAACTGCAGGGAGAAGTTTAGAAGTAGTTGCTGAGTTTCTGGAGTTCTAACTGATATACCTGTACCTGTCACTGGTGTCTCAGGTGTAGGAGTGGGTTTTGGAGGCAACTTCTGAGTAGGAGTAGCTTCCTTGTCTGGTTTTGTAAAAGGCTGCCCTCCCTGTGCCACATATCTGAGCACGTCACCCTTCAGAAGCCTGCCTTTTGGACCTGTTGCTTGAATGAGCCTGGGATTCAGGTGATATTTTTCAAGAAGCAGTCTAACAGCAGGTGACATCAGCACTTCAGCATCAACATGAGCAGTAGGGGTGCCTTCAACTGGGGCAGCATCCTCTGTTTTTCTAGAAATTTCTTTCCAGAAGATAAATTCAAAGTTAGAACTGGGTCAGCACACATTCTTTTACAAACCACTGAACAACTATTCACACTAAGTTTTACATTCTCTAGCTCTGCCAAAAACTATTTTAATCAGGGTAGTTTATGTTATTTCAGTTTTAAAAAGAAATGTAAAAATTTAAAAAAATAAATATTTCATCCAGCAGAAAAGCAATTCTTGCAGCCTAGAAAAAACTCTGGAATACAATTTTTGAACAATTTGTCTTATTTCTTACTCTTTTTTCAGATTTTACAAATAAGTTTGCAAACTTTAACACTTCAAATAGATCTGAATTTTTCATTCAACACTGTTTGTAAAATGCTGAACACCGAGTATATAAATTCAATCTCAAACTCAATAATAATTTGAAACTTGAAATAAAAGAGAATTACAACAATAATCAAAACAAAACCTCAGCTTAAGTCAAGATATAATCAAAATCATTGTCTGCTTTATCTTTGGTTTCTATCACTGGCCACAACCTTATTCCTTCTAAAAACCTCCAAAAGTTTTGGCACACTCTATCACTTTAATTTTCAATTTTTAATAAAAACTTTCATTTATTGCCCCCTCTTCCTCATTTCAATGTTGGCTGATGTAACAAAATGGTCACTAATTTCAGGAAACATTGTTTGGTGGAAAGGGGGAGCTTGAAAGTAACAAATTAGAGATGAATTGAAAGATTACTGTTTATTATGTTGAGCGGAGGTTTGTCAACCTAGTAAAGGGAGGCATGCCAACTTAGTTTGTTATAGCTTGTAGGATACTGCAGTTCTCTTCTTCCCTAATATGTTGTATTATGACGAAAGGAAAAAAGAAAGACTAATTATGGTAAGGAGCTTAATAAACAAGTAACTTCTATAAATACTTCAGATTCAATTCTACACATCATCATCATGGGTTTGCATATCTTAAATGGTTAAAAAAATTAACTATCTGTGGAGGCTTTGTATATAACATCCAACAAAATTTTGTATTTTCTATTTTGTTGTCAAGAATGTGGGCATAGGCTGGCTGATGCCTACCAGCAATAAAGAAGTTGCAATCAACCTGATGTACAAACAGCACAATTTACCCTTTATCTTTCACTCAACAAATCACAGATGAAATCAATGAGTAACTGTTACTTTTATTAAAAGTCAAACAAAGAGAGCCTTTACTTTAAGATCAGATGTACAGATACATGTACAGGCTTTTAAAAATCCATTAAAAAATTGGAAATTAATTTATCTGCACAAATGCCATGTGAGACCAATTAAAAAATAATATCTGCAGCCTGTGTGGGGCTGGAAAAGTTAGTTTTGGCTTCCAGCCCAAGATCTGAGAAGGAATTCACTCTCCTGGCTAACCACAAATTTCTTTATAAATTAGTTAGAAGAATTATTTGGTATCATATCAAGATAATATCCTCCTAAACACCTACTTTGTATTTGCTGGACCAAGTTATGAAGAGGGAACACTAAGAGTTAACATATATCAAAATGTCCAACCTGTATCCAGTGGCACCTCAGCCTGTGTATAATCCACACCCTCCTCTACCATCAATGCAATCAGTTGATTTATTTTGACATTCTTGCTTCCAGCTGGAATGATAATCTTTGCCAAGATACCTTCCTCGTCACTGTCCATGGCAATGGTGGCTTTGTCAGTTTCTATCTCACAGAGAACATCTCCTGGAGAGATAGGATCACCTTCATTCTTCATCCATTTTATGATGGTTCCTTCCTCCATAGTGGGTGACAGTGCTGGCATGAGTATTTGAGTTGTGGGAACACCTATGAGGTAAACAAAGAAACAGGTTAAGTCTTGGAAAAAAAGTGGGAGAGTATAACAGGGCAATTTAGTATCATCATCTGAGCTGATAATGTAAATTGGCCTCTGTAAACAGTTTCAAAGCTGACATTCCGAGCATTAGCCCTTCATCACAGTGAAACACCATTAAAGCAGACACATGAAAAGAAATGGTATAAACTGAAACACAACTTATATAAGTTCAATTTGACAACTAAGAGTGAGTAGTGTCTTATTTCTCCTTACACACATTAAGGTTGAGGTAATAAGGGAAATGATTGCAATATATGGAGGACCTTGACTGTTAAATAAATTCTCCTTATCAGCACATTAGGAAATGTATAGAGAACAGTAAAGAGAATATGTATACTGATGTAAGGGTGTAAAGGGTTAAAAGTAGTAGATTCTGGGGATACAAAATAATATGAAATTTTGTGTGGGAATCAAGGCTTGCTCACATTCTAAAGCAATTCATGGGCACTAATTTCCCATCAGACATGGTTTTATTTGACAATCTACACCCTTAACACCTTGAATACAACATCACTTTATGCATGCAGAACTAATTTGATTGTTCCATGCCAGAACACTTCCTGCTACATTCTTCACATCTACTTTAGTTGTAGTGAAATATCAACGCACTTGATAAATAATCAAACATATGATACAACAAAGAGGTCAATTTTGAGCATAGAAACCCTTAATGACCGCGGAAATTATTTACAACAAAATAACCCCCCCCCCCCCCCTCCCACCCAATAGTCGATATAAAGTAAAAGCTCCAAGTGGATACTTCTGGGGAGATTAAAGTTATCATCAAGCAGCCAAAGCTTATTTGATTTCCAAGTGATTTAAGCAGCTCCCGTTCCAAGACGTTCGACTTTGAAATACACTCGACTATGACTGAGTCCACGCCTGCTCACGGGTTTTCCACAGGATCTAAAAATTATTAGGTTTTCCTTAACTTTTGATTACGTACGCGCACATTCATCCAAAAGTTGGATATACCTCGAAATATGAATATTCAATCCGTCTTTACTTAATTGAATACCACACTTAAAGGGAAGGCCATCTGTACAGCAAAGCCCGATTTTAGATTGGCGCACCGGGCCACAGCTGAGCTCAGAGAGCGCGGATCTTATGCTTCTCTTTACCTTGAAGAGGAATCGATGTCCTAATTGTCCTTTTAAAAACTTTAGTGCCTATTCCCTTCGTCCCTGTAGACTTTGCAGTTGTTATTGCAGTGCTCCTCAAGAGACATCTTGCTGAATGAAGTCCTCTCAGCCCAGCTAACCTTCCTTGAGAGGCCGCCATGTTACTTCCATCGAAACCCGAATGGACTAATGGGAAAACAAAACTGTAAAATAGGTGGGAGGGGAGAGTGGGAGAGTTTAAATTACGTCCTCAAATCGAGAGGAAAAAGAGGTATATACGCAAAAAAAAGAGACAATCATTTCAGAATAGAGAAGGTGCCAGAAAAGAGATGGTCAAAGGAACTTCTAGACTTTGTTTGACTTGACTTTAGACAAATTTATTTCAATAGGCAAAAGGAAAAAATTCGATTTTTCGTCAAAGTAAAACCCTGAAGAGAAATTTACAGCTTCAAATATGAAAAAAGGGTCTCACCTCCGGTGGGACTCGAACCCACAACCTTTGAATTAGAAGTCCAATGCGCTAGTCCATTGCGCCACGGAGGTCGAGCTGCGCATGCGAGGGAAAATTTATAATATTTAAATCTTGATACCTAATATGATACTCGCTTTAGTCTTTCTCGCCATCTAAAGTACGCCTTGTTGAAATTGTAACTTATAGCTGCCAGTTATCCTTTAAGTTAGATCTTTCGAACATAGTTTACTGGACTACTTTTGATAGATTAAGACATTTTATTGATTGCTGTTGTTAGATAAGGACAGATCTGTTCGAATTTTTCAGGCCGAAAGCGGATAAAATGAAACGGTTTCTGTCAAAATGGCATTCTGTGAGACCAAACTTCTTAGATACACTTCGAGAAAATGGTGTAAACACAGGTTGGTCTCCCTGTCCATGAATTTGATCAAAACAAGTAGCAGTCATGCAGTGTCGACTTCAAATCAGGTCCACGGGAAGAAAGAATTTAAACCTGTTGTTTTTACCTGTTGATCACCTTGTTTTCCTTGTTTCGAAAGACTAATTGTCCTATCATCAAAGAAATTTTTATTTCTTCAATTTCAATAGCTGGAGATTGTTTTTCCAAATTTTTTAAGGCTGCTCAAATGTTTGCTTGTCAAGAAAGCTGTTTAAATTTAAGAGAAAACTGTTTTGGCCTATAACTTTTACTCTGACAATTTTTATTAAAAGAAATAAGAAATCTCCAACTAGGAGTAATCACACCAGACACATAATTTCTGATCTAATCAGCTGTGGATGGAATTCCGATATAAACTAGTTCAACTTACTAAAAACAATTGTTTTACCCACTTTTTTCCAGTGGCTGAATTTATGTGTTGTGACATTGAGAGACTAGCTCAGAGAGTCTCAGTTTCAACAGAGGTAAGCCATTGTTTATTTCTAGAATGGATTCAGTCAAATTTGTACCAGGGAGCAACTGAACCAGTTGAACACAAATCTCCTTGATTTATTTTTGTGCCTGTCCTTGCAGATATGCATCTGATTGGTAAGAAAATAATTCAGTGATCTGCTGTGTCGAAGTACATGTGACTCAAAATCTTTTCTTGTTAATTTTGAGCTGTTTTATCTCTTTAAAGCTGTTACAAGATTGAAATATACAACTGTACAAAAGATGTCTCGATAGTACCCTTCTGCTTTTGCAATGCATGCTTGTTTGGATTGAATTTGTTTCTGGCCTTCATGCAGCTGTTACTGCAATCATTTTTTAAATATCTATGTTTTTGTGGGTAGGATCTGTCATCCCTTCAAGCCACAATCACCACTCAAACAGCTGCATTCACAATGAATGGCAGTGATTTATATGAGGAAATGATGTCAAGATTTCACATCCTTTCAACTGGTAATCAGCCTAAATATGGTTTTCTTGTAAATATAATAATTTCTTGTAGTTCCTTTAGGCACGTCAAAGGCAAAGTTTCATAACTTTTTTACATTATATTACCTATAACTATTATTTTTCCTTAGCGTACCATGTTGGTACAGTGAAAATTATGTTGAGTGTCTAATTTGTTACTTTACTATTTATAATTTGAACATAAAGTAAGCTGATTAATTAAATTACTTATCATCCATTTTTCTTGCTTCATCTTTCCACAGGTTTTGATAAGTAAGTATATCTCTATTTTTAAAAAATATTGGTTTATTGACACAAATAAAGAAGAAAAAGAGAGAGGACCATGTATTTATGAACAAAAATAAGTTAGCAAGTCAAACAATATGCACATTTTTGTGAAAATATGATTTATTAAAATTAAAGAAATTTTCACCTCAGGTAGTTATACAGAGATCTGTCATCCAGGTAAGTACAAAGTCTATTATGTCTAGTTACTTGGTTACAATCACATTAATTGTTGTTCTATTTCAGTTTAGATGAGCTCCTTGATGGAGGTCTGTACACAGGAGAACTGACAGAAATTGTTGGAGCTGCTGGTGTCGGCAAGTCTCAGGTAATGTTCAACACAGAACCTGATACCTGTCCTTAAACAGAAAAGGGTGTTGTTCACATTTACAATTATACAGTCATATAGCTGTCAGAAAAAAAATTCAAATTATGATAATTATTGTATTGAAGAGGAATATTACATCTATCTGAGTTAAAGTCACAGCAAGATCCATAGTAAGTTTGTGACCTGCACTTTGTCATGAAGTATTTTTTGATTTACAGATTAGTACAAATTAAACAATCTGACATGTCCAAAGTTGTAAGCAAAACGCCATGATAATTGTGAATAAAATTCCCTGAAAAACCCAGTCAGCTGATCAACAGATAACTGTTGGCCAGCATGGGTGGAAGTGACTGAAGTCGTCAGAGTAAATTCAATAATTGAAAGCACAATTTATATGAAGAGCAGTCAAAGTGTTTAGTATTTTAGATGTTAATTCATGGGTATTTATTGCTATAAAATGCTATTAAAACTTAGGCCAACTGATAACCTGTTGGTAGCCTGTCAGGCACAGCCTGCCAAAAACCTAGATTTCTGATCCTTTTTATTAACTTGAAGACAGGAATAATTCACTGAAGTGCAGGTAGTATTTGAGGCAGGAGAACATGGTATGGGAACTAAGTGGCTGTGACCCCCCTGTTTCCCCACCACCACCACCCCCCCCCCCCATTAATTCTGAAAGAGCTATGTTATACTAATTTTTTTTTAATTCAATGGCAGCCTTAATGTCTTAACTTATGTTGTTATTGTTTTTGCCAGATTTGTATGAGCATTGCCTTGTTTACAGCCATGGAAACAAAGAAGAATGTTCTGTATATCGACACGGGAGGATCTTTCAGTGCCACAAGGGTTAAAGACATGTTAGAACAGAGGCATAATTCCCTAGCAAGTCAGGACCTCAATAACATACTGTCTAGAATATCAGTGATCCAAGCATATGATGTATTCTCAGTAATTGAAGCTCTTGAAAGAGTGAGAGACAGGATATGTAAACAGGTAATTACATTGTTGCTATTTGAATGCATTTGTGCTAGGTATCTTACTTATTGTGCAGTCTTATTGCTGAAGTGAGAGTTAATGACTGTAACTAAAATTTGGACAAATTGAGCAGAACCATCAGAGGTTGAGAAGAATTGTTTGTCAGTCAAGTGTACTAAGGTTGGTCCATGAAAAGAATTTTAGTTTGCTTTCATTAACTTGTTGTGAGTCATGGAAGGAAAGTCATAATCTAGGTGGTAATTTTCTTATTAAAAAAGAAACTGTAGTGCTGCATCAATGGGTGCATAACAATAACATTTGTTTTCATTGACTGCAGAGTTGATAAATAAATATACATTGGCCCAGACCATCAAGAGTTAACAAAACTAACATTTTCAGTATCAGCCCTTTCTCAGAGCACATGACAAAAGGCTAACACTCAAAACATCTACTTTAAAAACTCTTTTCATCAACAAATTTACATTTTCAACCTAGCTGATAAAATAAAATTATCATCATGAACAAAAGTTAGTTTTGCTGTTATGCTACTGCCTGGAAAACTTATGCTTCAGTCCAACCTGATTGATCAGTTTTAATTCATGGGTAAATTTATGTCTGTCTGTTCAGTTTGTTGGTTATGTTCATGTAAGTTATAGGTTGATTGTATGGAACTGGTGAATGGATCAGTTTTAATCCAAGTGTAAAGTTTGATTCTATGTTCAGTTTAACTGAGTGAATATATGAAAATCATATAGTTATGTGAATTGTGGATAAGGAAGTGAATATGAAAGCAATCTTTGCTGTAATGATCACCACTTGAGCAGTAGTGAAAATTATATCAACAGTCATTTAATCATCACTTCATGGGTTTATTTGCCACCAACATAATGACCAGCTCAATTGGTAATATCCTGTGCTGACTGTACCTCATAGGATGATGATAATGATGATAACATGCATTATCTTCAAATGATAATTGTGGATTGCATAGCAGGAGTCATTTCTCCAATACTTGGAGGCCAGCAAATTCAAGGTATGCAGATTTTAGAAAACTGAATTAATATCAGTGCTAATCCATTTTAATTTTTCTTTTAAAACTACATTTCAGTCTTACCAAGTGAATAACTTACTTCCTAGATTCAATAGTCCATTTTACAGTTGCATTTGGTTGCCAAGCCTTTAAACAGTAGCAAGGCTAAGGTTGACCTAGTTGTGATACAAACCTTGCTGCTCTTCAAATGTAAATTACTTTCATTGTTATCATGCTAACTAGATTCTGACTTCCATCACAACATGGTCAACTTCAGCCTCACTCCAAATCAAAGGCTTGGCAACTAAGTACACAACTGTAAATTGGCCTGTTGCATTTCCCCTAATTTTCATTTTGTTGTGAATTATTCAAAACTGGTGTTTTATCAACATAACACAGTCCCACTAGTAAGTGCAATTTTGGTCTCATCTTCTGTAGCTATATGATACCATAGAATCCCTAAGAAACGCACAGTTTTATCACTGCTGAGAGTTTACCCTTTAACTCCTTCATGACTGACCAAGAAATAATTTTTCCTTATTACATCAATACAATATCAAGCAGGCAAGTGATGAGAATAGAGAAAAATATCAATGAGGGGATTGTAACTTGATCCAATTCCAAATTCTCCAAACTACAAATTGCAACATCATAGGGATTGAATGGCAAGGAGAGTAAGGAGAATTACTTGTGAGATTTTAGGATTAAAAGGGTTAACTCTTTAACCCCTCAAAGTGACTAGCATCTAATTTCTCCTTTCAGTATCTCCCCTGAATCAAACATTGGATTCATGAGAATAATGGAAATGATCAATAACTACAAAAGCTCTTGATTGTTAAGCTAATTCTCTTTTTCCGCACCTTAGGAAATGTAGAGAGAACAGTATGGAGAATATGCATACTGATGTTGGGGTGTAAAGGGTTAAGGTTTTCATTATTGGAATACTGCATTTTGTGAAATTAGGGAAAAAATCTATGAATCTTTAGCATCTTGAATGTACCATTAAATGTCTGTGATAAACAATGTGATTGACGAGTTATTAAATGCTGATGATTTTCTTGCAATTTTTTTCTCTTTGCTTCAGGCCATTCATTGATGGTGAGCCTCGCAAGAATTTTAAAGTCATTAGCTGTTGCACATTCAGTTACAGTGGTGGTACGTAAAATAAACATTAGCTGCCATTACTGAATACTGTGAAAAGGAACTTCTGATCATTTCTTTCTATTTCTCTTCTTTCTTCATCCATGGAACATTTTTGTTTTCTGAAATTGCAGTATGATGAGCAGCACATTTGATAGCCAATTTGTTTTCATTGATAAATTTAGATCACCAATAACATTGTAACAGATTCATCCAAGTCATCATTTTCTACCAAACCAGCCCTTGGACCCACCTGGGCTCATATTCCAAACACCAGGATTTTCATTCAAAAGAATCCTATGTCAGAGGCAAGCAGTATCAGAAAAGGAAAGATTATGGCCACTTTAATCAAGTCATCTAGACAGGTAGATAAATCATTTTGTGATAAATAAATCTACATCACCTCTCTCACAACTGCCTATTTTTTCTTTTTCCCTGAAAATTTTTGAGGTTCAAAAGATGGTTTAATTTTAAATTTTTGCAAATGCTGCATATCATAACATGTTCTGGAATGCTTTTCTAATAAAGCCAAATCCTCTTTCCTCTCCTTTTTTTTTTTTTGCCTCACCCTATATTTCACTTTGTGTGTTTGTGTTTTTTCACATTTTTTCTAACTTCTTAATTAGGAGATGTTGTTAGGGCTAATCCATGACTGATACTAAAATTTTCTATTAGAAATCAATTATCAAATTTATTAATTAATATTTACTGTTAGAACAGAGTCATCTACTTGCTCTTCATGTTCAAAGAGTCTCTCCTTTTTACTAAATCTTTGTTTTTGTGATTTTGCACTTGATTGTGGCTTGATTGTTTGTTTTCATAGAAATTACACATGGCCACTGTTTCTACAATTATGTCTGAGCAATAACCAATCGAGTCACAGCCCTCGAGAAAGGAACATAGTTGTTACTGCCTTGTGGATCATCTACAAATACAATAACAACTAGCCACTCGTAGGATTGAGCATGACGTTCGAGATCCAAAACAACTGCATCTTTATTATCTTTATAATCTCCAATGCGGCAATGTTTGATTCCTTCCTTTTCCAAATAGGAAGAGAGTCGCCTGTACCAAACTTGCTCAGTGACAAGGATAGCAACTCTATTGTAGTAAACTGTATCATCATCTACCTTTGCCCATGCATTGATCTCGTCATTGATGATCTTCACATAAAAGATGCTGCGCTCTTCATCCGATACAAATGTTCTAAATGGAATATCGCGGATTTCAGGTCCATCAACATGGTGACCAAGTTTTATCTCATTGTTCCAGTATTTCTCTGCAAACTTCTTTTGTTCTGGGTTGTAAGAGCGAATTAAAGGCTTACAGTGATACTTCAATTTGCTGAATATCTGTGATGTGCATCTCATAACTGTCGTAAGGCTTGGAGCATGAAGAAATTTTTTAGTTTCACAGAGGTAGAAAATTGCCCCATCAAATCCACATGCAGTAAAATACTTCTCATGCTTCAACTGCTGTCTGACTTCATATGCAATCCACTGATAGAAAGAAGGGCTTTGGTGACAAATAAAGAAATCCGCTAAAGATCTTGCATCTGGGAAACTTTGAAATTCATCAACAAAGATATGGAAGTCATCTACTCTTTCCCCCTCCTTGACCACAGAGTCCACAGAGGAGAGAAAAAGTGGTTGCTGGTGAACCGTTACAATCAAAAGCTTTTCATCACAAGGTTTGCCTTTTCTAAGGAATTTCTTGAAGAACTCTGAAGAACAATCTGGTAATGAATTCTGCTTTAATTTCTGCGAGTCCCGTTTGAAATTGAAATGGAGAAATAAAATACCGTTACTTGAGAAGAATTCTTTGTAGAGCTTACCAAGGATTGTTGGTACAAATATCACGACCTTTTCATTGCGCTTCACACATTCCAGTGCTTTGTGTTGGATTAAAATTGTTTTTCCACTCCCTGCGACGCCATGAATCAGCTGCTTTTCCTCTCCTCTCCATATCGCTAGTTGTTCCTCATTTAAGAACACGAACTGCCTTGCCAGAATTGACTTTTTCTCAAGCCGCACCACCACAGGCTTCTCGTTTGTAGTCTTCTTGTAGCTTTGTTGGAGAAACTTTTGCTTATCAATGGTTTTGAATACTTCACCGAGTATTCGAACTGAGGCATTTACTGTAGCTCTCTGACCCACAAATAGAGAGATCACGCTCAAAAACTTTTCCTCGTGCTCTCCAAGAGATCGCTCGGTAAACTTTCCTTTCCACCATCGCGCGAAAGGTAGCAAATTTCTATCATTACCTTCACCATCCATTTCTAGATTAATCTTCCTAAGATGAATGAAACCCCCAGAACTTTCGCTCACGTCGGATAAGTTTGGCACTGCAACGACTTTGTGAACAAAGTCGACTTCGTTCATGCCCTTCGCTTCTAGAAATATTCTCACGAATTTTTCTGCAAATTCAAGTTGCTTCTTCGCTTTTTCATATCGATCACTGTTAAATTCTGTTTTGCCTTTTGCTTCGATGAGGATCACACCAATACGTCGGTGCAAGACGACAAAGTCAATTTCATCTTCCTTAGACGTCTCCAGGAGGTTTTTAAGAGAAGTAACCAAAGGGCAATCCTTCGGGAAGAATTCCTTAATAAACTTCCTATAACTGAACTTCGATAACACAAACATTGGTTGATTTGTTTCTCGCCCAAATCTCTCGAGACACTGAAATATTTGCAACTCAGCAGAGTCTCCTTTTATGTAGCCTTTCAAAGTCTCAGTGAGTTCCACAGCACCGGATGCATCACCGGTTGGAGAAATGTAATTGCGTTTAAAACATGGAGGAATCATGTACGTTCGATCATTTGTCTTCCAGTCGGGCCATCGTCTCGTGAGGTATTGCTCACAACACTCCTCCAAGTTAGGAGAGTATTCGCCCGCCGGACACTTCACTACATAATTCGAAGCCATGATGATGAAATGAGATGGACTTTGATGGAAGATGACGTATATACTGCCTGGTTGGAAGATGATGAAACGTGGCGAAACAGGCGAAATATAAATAGAAGCTTAGTTACCGCGCCAAGCAGAGAGGCCATCAGCACTTGCGACATGTTTTGTAAATTTTACTTTGCGAGAAACCGCTGGTGTGCGCCTACGTTGGTTTCTCGCTAAAGGATCACACTAAAAGTAGTAGGAAAATACGTTGGAAAACAACAATGGATCGAGCATTTGACCCTTTTGTCATTTTCCCCCTTGTAACTTATATGGCAGGGTCAAAGTCTTAAAATTGTGGTGTGATGTGTGGAAGGAAATGATTTTTAAGAAGCAAAAGATTATAGATATGACTTTGAGTCTTGTCTTATGATGTTTGGGCGATCAATGAAGATGATGTTATTAGTGAAGGATGCAAGAGGCCTGTCGAAGAGCACAAACGTATTGGATAGTATACTTTTATAATGTCGTTGCTATCTCAAGTTATCGTTGATCATTTGAAGTACTCACTTTCCTGCGAGCGTTGTGTAGAGCTTCAACTGTTCTGCTAGTGCAATGTACTTGCAATCTTAGAAAAAAATTTAGTTTAAAGAAGTTTATGTTCTGTTTCAAAAGCTTTTTTTTATATATGAATCACAACCGGCGGGCCGATTACGAAAACAAAAAAGCGCTTACTGTAATTAGCAAAACGAAACGAACGAAACGAAACGGAAATCTGTAATTTGCGAAATGGAAATATGCTAATGATTTGCAAAGTAGAAATTGCAAATTACAGATTTAAATTTTGCAAATTATCAGCTTATTTCTATTTCGCAAATTACAAATTTCTAGAAATTGCCTCTAGAAATTGCCTCGGTGAAACGCATCAAGAAATGACTGAAATTAACTCCCGTTTTTATTACGGACTCAGGCTATGACTGAAATGCGGACACTTTTATGCCACCCTGCGAATAGCGGAAACCTAAGTACTTCGTCCAAAATCCTGACTCACACAATGTAAAGTGACATTACGATAAAGGAAAATACAGAAACCATTCTTCAGTTGGCTGCGAACATGAGGATTTCCTGCTTGCGGCCGAATTTTTTTCCAGTTCGTGAGGCCACGTTAGAAACTTTATGTTTGCGTAGTTAAATATTATTTCATATGTTTAGAGACCAAATAATTTATTTTCTCTAGCACCCCGCTATTACGGACTCTAGACACTTTCCATGTGCATTTCCGGTCAGGTAGGTGTAGTGTCACGCATTCGAATTATTCATCGACAACATACATTGTATTATATACCAGCAGGTGAAAAGCATAATTAGGAAATTGACATCGTCCATCATAACTGAAGAATGTAGTCGTAACGAAATTAAGCGATGTTGTTAAATAAGCGTTTCATATTTGCTTGCCAGGCTTTGGGGAAAGGATACTTTTGTGTTGAATAAACAGGAATTCGTGACGATTGTGAGAAACATCTCTAAGAGGTTGGAACTTTCAGCGACATTACCCGGAGCTTTCAACTGGTCAACTGCCCTTTGGAAACGATTATCGCCCTTACGTCACTGGCACCTTACAATCCAACTTGGTCTCCACGTTAGGAATGTTGAAAACTGGACCGAGAGTGTCACGTGGATTTTTGTATGTTTCTTACCCCCCACGAATTGAACTTTGAACTCTTGATGAAAACTCAGGAATGCGTGAAAGCTGTCTTGTATATTGTTATTCTGGAATACAGTCTTTATTCGAAGTTGTCCTGTTGTATACGTTTTATACAAGGAACTCAATCTCTGAAATCAAATACATCATCATCACTGTGCGGAAGGATAAGAAATTAAAAGTATAAGGGCAGATTTTTCAGTCGTAAAGTTACTTTTCTGGTCACTACTCCTCTTAATAATTAATTCAGAGCAGCTTACGCTTTCATTTAAAACTTGTAATGGCAAGAAACGAATTAGAGTGACACAATACTTACACTGACAACTATTTTCAGTATATTTTCAATAGACATTTTAGTTAAAATGTAGGTAAACGAAGTAGAGGTTCTCTCGTTTCAGATTTGAGCTACTGAACAGGTTAAATATCCTCTTGAAGGGGCTTATTAACGATAGAAAAGATGTGGACCAGAATCCTATTTGTTATTCACAATCATAAAATAATCTAAATTAAACGTGCAAGCTGTTTTATTCTTTCATATGATATATTAGAGGACAGAAGCAAAGATGAAGTCACCACTAACAACTATTTGCTCCTTTATTATGCGAAACAGATTGCATGTTGCCGTACGTCTGTAAAGTAATAGGGACGTAATAGATCACAAAAGACCTCAAAATGTGGGCTGCACCTCGTGTGCCACTTTTTTTGTTCTTACCACATTTGACGTCAGCTGTGATCTCTGACTAAAAAGACACACAGCAACATGGAATATATTCGATAAACTGTCCCCTGATTTTATTATCGGGAGGGTAAAAAATAAAAACACCTTGATTAAGAACAAGTCAGTAGCTTCTTTCGTTTCTGTAACGAGCTCCTGAACAGTTTCGGCGCTAAAAGGACCTAATTTACGATATTTTGTGTAAATTCTTCTTCAAGTTGTTGAAAATTGTCGCTGGTTGGAATGAAACCTCTAAATAATATATTTCCAGATTAGATAAGCATCCGAAACAAACATAGAAAACAAAAAGGGAACTAATTAACAATGCCAAGAAGGACAGACTTTAAAAATATAGCCATAATTTTTTATGATGCAGACGTTGGACAGATGACTACTGTACCTAAACACTGCACTTTGGGCATGGGGAGTAGCGATCATTACGTCGCTTGTGGAAAGGACTCCCTATAGAAAGAAACTATCCCTTCATACAAGTGAAGTTAATCACAGGGAAAAGGAAATATTTAAAGTCCATCCGTTTTCGAGGTACATCGCTGAATGTGTTCTAATGTTCTACTCTCTCTTTATTCCTCTGTAATGGTCTCTTTTCCCCGTTTATCCGTCTCCTAGGGGAATAGGAAGGAAAGAGACCCCTGCAAACCTACGGTTGCTAACTCCTTAATCTAAAAGTTGTCAAATTACGGGCGAACCCAAAGTTACGAAGATGTGAAGTTAAGGCATAGCGATGTGAAATTGCTAGAGGGAGTCGGAGTGGCAGTAGCACTGATTGCACCGATGCTTCCAGCCCAGTCTGGGAAGTCATGCAGGTCGAACATTGGTACTCCGTACGTGTTCATACAGATCACCAGCACTATTACTGCCAGGAGATTCATTCCCAAACCTGCTTTTGCCTGAATTCAAAGAAAAAGGGAAGAGACAAAAGCTAGTTTCTCTGTGGATGGCAAGGGTGAAAAATATTTTGCACAACGACATGAACAAAACTGTAACCAAAAGGTGATTTGGTTCTATCAACTGAGTCGAAAAGTGTTTTTAAAGCTGACTTTAAAAAAAAAAAGGGCTTTGCTACTACCAATTCCGTGCCGCAGGTAATGAATTAGTTCCTTGTGATAGAGCGGTTACCGATGGATTGTCGAAATACCAAAACTATAACGATGACATCGGCCAGTCAATACAAATATGAATATCTCAGAGATCCGAGGAACGTCAGTAAGAAGTAAATACATGTGCCGCGGGAAAAACTGGGAGGCTGAGTCGGGATTGGTTTTAGCTTTGCCGGCATCTGATTAGTTAAGCGGTGCGAGTTTTCTGGACCTGTCTCAGAGCAAAGAAGAGCATTGCCAATACAAACCGAGTTTACTCTCCACACTGAATTGAAAATGCTCTCTCTGCCTTTGGTACGAGTGGTCGTTGTGATTTCTTGGTTTCGGTTTTACATCAGAACTGAAAGACACTCCATCTGTGCGCAAAAACATTCCGTAAACCTTTGCCAACCGCTCAGCAAGCAGACGTGTTCTTACCTGATGGCAGCATTTCTATCAACGGAAACTTTGATGAAATAAAAAAGTAATCGTTCTGATGACTCGCTTTGCAAATATTTGTGTAGTGTATTCTATTGAATACCAATTCCCACGAATGACAAGTTTAAATCCAAGAAGCCACCAATCAGAGAACCTCAGAGAAATATTAGAGACCTTACAATAATGACCTACCCGTGCTCTAGATAGGAAAGGCTAACGGCGGTTTGTATAAATTGAAAAAAGTGACTTATACTAACCATGTCCTTAACCTTAAGATGTCCGCCGGCAAACACGATGGCATTTGGAGGTGTGGCAACTGGTAACATGAAAGCGAACGAGCAAGAAATTGTAGCAGGAATCATGATGTACCAGGGATGAACCTTGATCGCTTTTGCCTGTGGAAATATTATTTTAGTCGTACAATTGTGTTTACTAGACGCTGTTACATGAGACATTGTCTGAGCAACGTTTTGTCACAAAGTTTGTGGCGCTGTTACAAGTTAATGAGCGTTCCGGTGAAAATTACTCTGATCTACTGAAGATATGCTGGTATAGCTGTACTTGGACATTGAGTATTCCTCCGTTAAAGATCATAGTTCCCTTGAGCTTCACCCGTTGAAGACTTTTTGCTTCTTTGAGCTTGTTACCTCATTTAGTTCGTTATTTTGCAAGGTTCTTCACGATCGTGGTAATACGATAATCAGGAAAAGGAAACTTACCAAGGAGGCCAGTATAGGTAGAAAAATGGTGGCTGTTGCTACGTTAGAAGTGAATTCAGTGAATGTGGTGATCATGATACAGACACACATCACGATAGCGTAACTTGGAATGGCATCAAGTTGCCTTAGCTGGGCACCAACCCACTCAGACAGACCTGAAACCTGACAGCGAGAGGGTCAATTAATCCAACATCCCTTTGTAATCCATATTTCTTTAAAAAACTGTAGAAAGATACCAGATACCTCCCCCCTTCCCTCCGTGGGAACTCAAGAATAGTTACACGATTTGAATGCGAACCAAATCGCCTATAGAGGTCTAATTACAAGATAAGGAGCAAAACTCTCGGCCTTCTTAAATAAATTTAAATTGTCATTTCTTCATCTGAGATGACGATGTTACGGCATTATCTCATTAAAAATGAAATCTTTTTTGTCGGATTACTGTGGTGTTAAAGGTGCACCCTCAACTAGCGTACTTTACACGCCATCGTTGTTGCCTGCATTGAAAAAAAATTCACAAAACGTAATAACATACCAGATAAACTTGAAATGATCTTTCGTGCCATGGATTGTGGCATGTGAGCTCTGCTTTAACGAAAGTGGAGACTTGATATAAGCACACATGAATTGTAACTTACTTTACAAGCTTCCGCCAGAGCAAATCCACTTCCAAGCAGCATGACAAGGTGCCATGGAAACCTTTTAGACATCGTCTTAAACTGCAAGAGACCGGGTGGAGGCTTTCTCACTGTATGTAAGAAGAAAAGCATATGTTCGTCAAAGAAGTCCTTCTTTCTTTATCTAAAAGCATTCTCTGATGTTTCTAGATGCCAGATTTCCTTCCATAGTCTTCTCTTGGCTGAATGATTTCCATACATGTCTTCTTTGTCGCGTGGTTCTTTACGATCGTACTCTGCCGAAAAGGGGGGGAGGGGGGAGGGCAGGGTAGGAAATTGCTCTTTATGTCCGTAACCATGCGTAAGCAAATGTATACTTGTTCTTTTTTTTTCCAACGGGAAAAAAGGAGCCCAGCGCACGACCAGGTGTGACTATGGTACAGATAGAGTACAAGATCGGTGTTGCCGCAGTATTGATATTCAACATTCTAATCTCAAAATAGTTTTCTTCAAAATAGTGGAATATGAACATAGTTTATCCCATCTTACCTGACCCATCAGGGGTAAAGATCACAGGTTTTTGTGAAGGGAACACAAACAGACAAAAGGCCACGAACATAGCAGCTGTGGCATCCCGAACGTAACTGAAAAAAAACAAAAACAAAAACAAAAAAAAACGAGGAAACAAGTTTGAAGTATAACATTGAAGGAAGCAAGTGAGTAGTTTGGGCGTCTAAAAAATTTTCCAGGAGGACAACGATGCCAAATAAAAGCTTTCCTCCTTCTGACTCTTCCTTCTGGTAATAAATACTAACCCCTTCTCAAATATTATTGACCATCCTTTCATAAATTTTGGTTCACGAAAAAGCCACAGCAAGGCTAAAAGGATGAAGTGGCCAAGGACGGCTTTCTCGGCAAACCTGCAAATGCATAATTTGTACAAATTAGGATAAACAATGATTAATTACTTTAACTTTACGAATGACCTTCTTCGCGTTTCGAATCTTCAGGGAGTTCATCGCAGCCGTGTTCTTTTCCCCCATCCACATCTCTCCTTCTTTTCCTCTTTCCCTCTCTAGAAAAATTTTTTATTTTCCTATAAATGTTTGATTGAGTAATTAATCGAACGATGTGTGAGCACGGGGCTGATGAGAGAGCCAGTCGGAATGGTTTAGTAAACAGTACTTACGACATCGGTCCCAGTGCTCTGTACTGATCCACCAGAACCTGTCTAATTGCTTGAGTTGATCGGCTATCTTTCTCCCGCCCACCTGAAGACTTGTGGAAACACTTGCGGAAACTAAACACGAAATAACACTGTGCGTTCAAAGGGACATCTTAACGGTGAAAGGTTGATCTCGGATGCTTAGTGGTCGAGCAGCGCTCAGGGGCATCTCTACCGGGAATTTCAACTTAAGTCCCACGGGTAAGATAGAAATCCGGCCGATTTGCCCCTCTTTCCTTTCCACTTTAGTTTTCACATTTTGACCAATAAATGACGGGAGCTTATTTGTAAACCTGCTCAGGAACACTTATCGATTAGCATGCAGAGCCTTATAATTTCACCGGTGAGATTGCTAGTCTAAAGAACTGTTTTTCACTTCTGTTCCGGAAAAGAGTTAGATGTTACTATTAGTGATAACTCCAGTTACTGAATAATGATGTTAAAAAAGAAACAGAATGCAAATTTCGGATCAATGTCGGTATCTGAGCAACGGTGCACCTACCACTGCCCTGACCCAACGTTGACTTGTTATCAGTTGACTGTTGTTGGGTCAGGGGAGGGGTAGATGCGTTTTTGCTCAGTGTGTGACACTGATCCCAAATTTTACGACACAATCCGGGACAACATCCGAGATTGCGTTGGTTTTGTTCTCTCTTTTCTTGTTAGGTCTAACAGATTCGCGCCCCAATGACTACCCGTCAAACGCAATTCCTGGTCACAAGCATGTCCGTGGCTTTTTGAGGCCACTAACGTAAATTTGACACGAGTTCTCATTATCTTCTTTTAATTTTAGCTTTGTCTTTTGGCCTAATCTTACAGCTATCGATGAAAATGGGTTTAAAAACTGTTTATTCGAGCATACTTAAAACCAAGGAACAGTAACTGAATCCAGATCCAGGCCACAAACAGAAGAATCACCATTTGAGGGAAAGCATAACCGAACCATGAGGCAAAGCTAAATCCTCCGCTTTTCGGAAAAAGACTGAAATAAGAAAAAGGTTGTTAACCATAAGTTATAAGAACCTGTATAGGAAGGGGAGGATTGTGGGAACCTCATGGGAAGAAGAGGATTATGGGAACCTGTATAGAAAAAAAGAGGACGGTGTGAACCTGGATGGGAAGAAGAAGATTGTGGGAACCTGTATAGGAAGAACTGGATTGTGGGAATCTTTAAAGGGAGAATTGGGTTGTGGGAATCTATTCAGTGTTTGTCTTTAAGTTTGTTTGCTCTTCTTGTTTGTTCTTCTTGTTTGTTTTCAGGAGAGGATTCGATTTGATTCGCCGTAATAAATAATTAACGGTGTGGTCGGCGAGCTAAGTCATACACTAAGTTCATTTTTGTCTGCTTATTTCTTTTTTGCTTTTTTAATTCACTTACAGGCCTGCCTGTCCACCAAACACCAAATTTGGACCAGTGCCTGTCAGGGTGGCTGTACCACCAATGTTTGCAGCGTAAGCCACAGCTAACATCATTGCCTTGCAGAGTCTGTTGAAGTATTGAGTTTCTGCTTCCTGCAGATGAAATAGTATAATAGTTTGTAGTTCTATAAAAAACGAATACTCATTTATATTTGCTTTTCAATAATAGTAGCCAACTACATCCACTGGCTATGGTCCCCATGGGAACTGACACCCTCCCAACTTTTTGACAGTGGGGGGGGGGGGAGAAGGTGTATACAGACTAGGGTTTGAGCACCGAGATAAAATCGTATCTAAATGAATGTGTTGTTCTTGTTGTTGCTACTGCTGTATTGAGCATCCAGAGGACCAGAATGTTATCTGAACCCTCTTATAACCGTAACTAAAATTTACAATTACAAATTAATTTTCTTGCCGGCTGCAAAACTCACGTTAGCTTCCTCGTCTCCTTCCAATAAGTTTACAGCAGCCATTCTAAAATGTTGAAAAATAAGAAAAAAAATTCCAGTTAAGCACAGATAAGAGATGAAAAACCAATTCAACTGATAAATTTAATGACAGAAAGCGTTTTTATTTCAGTAATTAAAAAGTATCTGAAGGACACCATCCATTTCCATTCGATGTAGGGAGTAAAGAATACAATCATTATTTTTTTAAGAAAAGGGTTTTTTCCATCAGTCGTGGGTCAAATTTAATTCCTCGGGAAGCAAAGTTTTGGTACCAGCAATTCTACCTGTCTTCTCTCTTAGCACAGAGGTCAGTTTCATCTTCGCCCAATTCTTTTGTTATTTTATGTTCCTGGACTCCGACCGTATTGTCTTCTTCTTTGACTTTGCTCCTGTCGCTAAGTTCCAAGGAAGCATTCTGTGGTAGGATATGTTCAATCCGGTAATCAGGAAAAGTTAACTCACAATAATAGTATAAATTAAGATCAGTTTGAACACAAGGTAAACAAAAATACCTCACGTTAGAGGCCAAGTGACTAAATGAGTGAACAACTGATCAGGATCGGATATAATCGAACCACTAGCACCTGATTACTGACAGACTGGCAGACTGACAGACTTACCGACTGACTGAATGAATGACTGTCTGTCTGTCTGTAGAGGTGATTGACGAACAGACAGAAAGACAAAAAGTAGCAGAAAGATGGACAGATGGGCTGACCCAACGACTCACTGATTGATCAGCTAGTAGAATCACTGACTCGCTGACTACATGATCAACTGACTGACTGACTAACATACAAGCTGACTGATTGTCTGACTGACAGACTGACTGACTTACTGACTGATTGACTTACTGACTGATTGACTGACTGACTGACTGACTGACTGACTGACTGACTGACTGACTGACTGACTGACTGACTGACTGACTGACTGATTGACTGACTGACTGACTGACTGACTGACTGACTGACTGACTGACTGACTGATTGTCTGACTGACTGACTGACTGACTGACTGATTGTCTGACTGACAGACTGACTGATTGTCTGACTGACTGACTGACTGACTGATTGATTGACTTAATGACTGATTGACTGACTGACTGACTGACTGACTTACTGACAGACTGACTGATTGACTTACTGACTGATTGACTGACTGACAGACTGACTGATTGTCTGACTGACTGACTGACTGACTGACTTACTGACTGATTGACTTACTGACTGACTGACTGACTGACTGACTGACTGACTGACTGACTGACTGACTGACTTACTGATTGACTTACTGACTGATTGACTGACTGACTGACAGACTGATTGACTTACTGACAGACTAACTGACTCACTTACTCTATGACTTCTGACAAACAAACTGACTCAGCTACTTAACTTTCTTCTAAAAACTTACGTCATTTTCCTGTTCGTTGTCAATGCTGTTATTCTCTGGCCGAATTTTTATATTTTCGTTTTTTATTTCTCCCAACACTGCTTCGACAATCGGTACCATCATGGCAGTGGTAGCTGTGTTGCTGATCCACATGGACAGAAATGACGTGGTTAGCATAACACCAAGCATTAACCTGTGAAGAAATTTAAAAGCAATTCTTTAATGATTTCTTTAACTGATACTTCTGGAATATTACCAGGAATTCATTTGATTGCTTCTTTAACGATTGTAATGGGCTTCCTTCAGGTTTCGTTTGATATCGGATTTGAAGCAGCATTAAAAGTAACTCTAGGTTTTATAACAATACGCATGTGGCTAATAGACCACAACAACGTCAATCACCAATCTCTGCCCTAAGCGGGGCCCGCTCTTTATTTTTGTGATAAATAAAGCGCACTTGACCTAACGGGGTATACATTGGATGCCCTTTTAGACAACGCGGAAAGCGACGAAGGGCTGGTAGTCTGTCAGATGTGTCACCCGTCATAGCCCTTCTCGGCTGTTCACTTCCGCTTTTCGCTCTGACTAAAAACAACGAGCGATAGCATGTTAAAGCTGAATTACATTCTTATCTTAATTATCGTAGGACAGTTGTTTGGCATTAGTGCTGAGACTCTAACACATTCAAACCCTTAGTTTTTGATCATGGTCAAAGTAGAACGCTTGTGTTTTAAGTTTCTGCTTTTTTAACGATTTGAATCTTCACATCTATGTTTAGAATACAAAATGGTGACTTCTCTATTTCACCCGAACATTCTTAGGACGGTAAATAATGGAATCGAAAACTACATCAGATTGATGTACCAAAGTACTACAGTTCTGCGTATGAAGGGGTCAATGATTTCTTCGGATCCTTTCAGCAATGAGTGTTCCCCCCTGACCACACCCTAGCCACCCCTTCCTTCCCGTCCCGTCATAACTGACTAACCGTCGTGGCTGAGCTCCGACCAGCAAGAGAACACGAAGAGCGATCCGCTTGTGCAAGTTCCACTGTTCAACAGCCACAGCTACGACGAGGCCGCCGAAAAACAGAACATTTGTGTCTTTGAAGTAAGGAGTGGAGACTTTTTTAGAGCCCAGGACTCCAAATAAGGGGAAAAGAACCAATGGGAGAAGAGCTGTGACGGCCAACTCCACAACCTCTGTCACCCAGTACACCGCCATGATCAGGATACAGTACGCACAGCGGGACTCCTGGTGCAATGAAAACATTTTTTAAAACTTGTTTTAAAAGGGGAAGTATGTTCCGAAAGATGTAATCCTCGGATCAATGTCAATATCAGAGCAAGAGGGGGCATTGGGTTTTTCGGTTTTGCGTTATTGGCTATTTCTTAGATCGGTTTTTCGGTTTTTTTGTGCCAGAAAACTTTTGTTTTTCGGTTTTGGCGTTTATTGTGTGTGACGGATTTTCCGTTTTTTAACAGTTGGTTTTTCAATTTCCATCAAAAATTTTAATGGGTTTTCGGATTTGGTATCCGATGTAGTTTTCGGTTTTTCTTATTTGGGTTCCGGTTTCACTTCGATCTGAGTTCGGCAGTTATCTGATCTCGCAAAGCAGCAAAACCTCTATGCGCTGCACTTGTCACCACTGCGTCGGATTGATTGGGGTTTTGATAACTAGCTGGGATACGACAATTTATCGGTTTACACGGTTTTGCATGCGGGAAGGGATAGGACTGACTGACATTGATCCTTATACTCAAAGGAATTTATGAAACTATGACACTGATCGCGTTTTGAGATTCCAAATGGTAACCTGAACGATGTCTTTTCACGTGTTGAACTCCGTAATTTTTAATTTTGCCCGTCAGCCCCGCTTCTTACTGGCGACTGGTTCTTGCTTTATTTATTTATTTTTTTTCATCTCTTAGCAATCTCTTTGAACAATTAAGAGTTACACGAAAAGGTAGCTCTGATCCAAATAACGATTTTTTTTGTGCGGGAACTAGAGCAGTAGTTGTTACTTGAAATGCAGTAGATAGCACAATTTTTAGATTTAAACTGTTAAATGACAAGGAAAAAAAGCCGTGCAGGCCATTCTTCTCCTTCAAGTCAACTGGTAATCATCACATCATCTAGTATCTTACAATTAAATAATTCCTTTTCAAACAGTCTTGATCAGTTGTCAAGACCTATGTCTCGAGATGTCGCTTATTATACGATTTAATCAGTATAACGAAGGTGCAACTGTCGCTCACAATCAGTCAACCGTGCAGTCAATCAATAGAACTGTTTTCTCAAAGAATCTTGCGTTCTTGTTTATCCCTGCGAAGAGTTTTTGCCTTAAAGATTAAAAGTTGTCTCTCTTACTGGTTATGGTTGAGAAGGGAGGGCTGGTTGGGAGAGTCAAACGCAGGTGCAAATGACTATTGTCGCTTTTTGCGCGAACCTACTCTCCTTCCTTGAGGATATGTTGATATGGAACTTGTGTAAGGAAGGAGGACTGAAGGGGAATGAGCACATGATACTTCTGGCGTGCTTCAACATCAATAAATCAACTGGAAAGCCCTAGCTTTTCCAGACAAAAAAATAAAAAACGGGAACTTGGGATTAAACACTTCACTTCTGACAGCCATCCAGGTCTCAAAAATATGTGAGATTAAGCTCCTTAATACCCCTCGTTTTACAATTCAGTTAATTGCTCTTTTATGATGACCAATGTATAGTAATCAAATGAAAACCCACCGCAACCCTAAGAAAAGTCTATTACCACAAAGGCATATCTCACCGTTCCTCTCACAGCGATGGGTAAAGGCATCAGTAGTATCGGCGTCATGATCAGTATTATGTATTTCCTCCATGCTAGAATTCGTTTTAGAAATGGAACGCGTTTCGCTTTAACCGGTTCTTTACAGTTTTCGTTAGGACGATCCGACTCCTCAGTAAACGGTTTTGTCTCTGCCTCTTGGAGATTACTATAGCCTCCAGGTCTTCCGTCAGATTCACTCATCTTTCTCTACAATCTACAGTATAAACCGATAAGATCAGAAAAAATTCTTAATGTTAAGGTTAACACAGCACGAAGTGAGTAATTTGGGTGGTTAGAACCTCAGTTTGACATTGTTATACAATTTCATTCTGATATTTGCCTCAATTTCCTTAGATCCCAATTGGAGAAGTGTACTGACTAAGCCAAACATAGCATCTGTGGTATTCTTCTTTTTTAGACAACAATTGTGTGCGATTCTAAAAACATACATAGGTCAAATCCCATCGTTGCTACGTTTGGTTATAACGTCACGCTTTCCCGTCTTACGGAACAGCTCACGCATCACAGCCTATGCACAGCATGAATTTTTGTGGAATTTCGAACTTAACCAGCACATAACAGGAAAAAGCCCTGAAGCACACTCGCCTCCTGTTTCCAAAACGCCATGTTTCTCTCTCCTATCTAAACTAACGAATCATAAGCGAAAACATTTTCGTTCCAGAGAAGGAACAAATATACCCATGTTTAGGTTGACTCAAACCTTTGAGAATTTACTGCACCTTAACTTCCTCTCTCTAATTACTCCAACAGATTTCATGCAAACGTGGGCAGCAACTGTTTAAAAGGACGTGCCCTTTTCCCTTACTTTTGTATGGTCCATGGTTCTGTAATCGTTGCCGTCATCGTCGGGTAATTTTACGCTCTTACTTTGCAAAGAACGGCTGTTCAATAGGCAGTTTTTAAGAATACATGCAGTCATTGTTCTGGTAGTAAATCTTCTGTTCCGACCCACTCTCGTTGTTGTTAGACTCAGTGAAAAACATCAAGAGTTACTCGAAATTCGAATATTTAAATTCAACGCAATTGTGATTGCGTAAGGCTGTCTAGTAGTGTTCACTACGACAATAATCTCCACTTGGTGTAGGGACGCCATTTCTTCACGAATGCTGGAAGAGAACATTTGGTAGATTGACAAAATTGAATGCTTCTGCGGAGTCGAGCAATAACACATGACTCGTGAGACTTAAAAAAAGACTTTATTATCACATCTAGCGCATACAAATTCTGTATATAGAGTCCTAAAGATGTGCCGTTGCAAATCACGCTTTACATTTGACGGAAACGACTTCAGTGTTGTGTTGCAAAAGCTTTTCCATTTTGAGAAAAATCATTTATTTACATTTTAAGACTAATTGTTCACTTGTGTACATGTTTCAAAAATAATCACGAGCAATTTAGACTAAACGTGAAAGTATAACCTCTTTGGAAATACTCAACTCATTTTGGTCGACATTTCTGTACACAATCGAGATATTAGGACCATTAGATTAAAATTGAAGAGAAAAAGTTTATAGTAAATTGTCGCAACATTTATGCGCGTTAACAGCTCAATATGTATCTTGACCCAGGAGTAAGTGCGATATTTCTAGCGCCAAAATATCACATAAAGAAAAATTGCACCCTTCCATTGAAAAAAATGTAAAGGACACCCAAAAATCAATGATAAATGCGTCACCATGGATTTATGAGGAGGGCCTTCCTGGGGTTTGGGAAATGAAAGAACAAGATCATTCAATTGTAGAAAAAAATGAAAATATTACTATAGAATGTAACGGTAAGGATAACTTTAGGGCTTTCCGGCTTAAGTTATGCCTCTCCTAGCTGAAGTCACATTTATAGACATATATGATTGAATGAACAAATACATATTGATCATTCTTGAAAAGTTCCTGAGGTCAAGGAAACACGGAACCTTTAACTTCTGGAAACTGGGGGATTTAGCTCAGAGCCCCTCCTGTGAAATCAATTTTGTTCAATAAATTAACCATAAAAAGGATTGAAATACTAGAAAATTTCTGGGAACAAAGAAACCTGACTCTCCCCTCCCCCCGGAAAGGCCCTCATGACGAGGAAATTTACTGTCACTGTTTACCATTCATCCCCGCGGCCACTCGCTTTTTTACGTAACTAAAGAAACGAGGACTCTGGGAACGAGAGTGAGCGATTACGGGCAAATTTCGAGTTCATTTATGCATGTATCGTTTTACAAATTACCAGTGAGCCGTCATCTTAGGAAGAAGTGAAATTCTGGCATAAAGTCGTCAGATTGTCACCAACAGTCGGTGTTGCAGTGGTACTCAGTGCACTTTTACCTCCAGCCCAGCTTGGAAAAGTACTTAGATTAAACATTGGAACTCCGTAGACATGTATGCAAATTACCAGAACTGTGACAGCGAGGATGTTCATACCAAAGCCAGCCTTCGCCTAAGAGAACGCACGAACGTTAATTTTTTGAGTAGAAGATTAAGTGGGCATGACAATGGGAAGAAACAATCAGTCTGATTACACAAAAATGAGAATATTATTAACTTTTACTCCTACTCAACGCCATGAAAGAAGCTGGAAAGACTACTGTAAAGGCGTTTTAGCTTGAGGCGTCAAAGAGCTGAAACTTTAAGGTAATTATTATCTCTCCGGTATTCACCAAACCTGAACATTATCAATGATTTTGGGTCATGTGCTGAAATGTGCATAAATTTCTGATGGTATAAGGCAGCATGCACTTTGTGAATTTCCAGGCACAATTTGGTATTTTCCTGCGCCCATTCTTTTTTTCGAACAACCCCAATCTTTTGAAGCAAAACATACATACCATATCTTTTACTTTAAGATGTCCGCCAGAAAATACGATAGCATTTGGAGGTGTAGCAACCGGCAACATGAAAGCGAACGAGCAAGAAATGGCAGCAGGAAGCATAAGGTACCAGGGATGAACACCAATTTCTTCTCCCTGCGAATTGAAACAAAGCTTTTCAGGGTCATGAAGTCACTGTGGCTCATACACAACTTTTATGTTTATGTTTGTGTAGATTGACTGATTCTTTCAGTCTTTCCTCTGGGCTGTAAATCCAAATACACTCTAACAGAACTTACCAACGAAGCCAGAATAGGAAGAAAGATAGTGGCCGTTGCAGTGTTCGAGGTCACTTCCGTGAACGTGGTGATCATTACACACACGATAATGACAATTGCATAGTCTGGAATGGTGTTGAGGTGTGCCAGCTGGGAACCAACCCACTTGGATAGACCAGACACCTTGTAAGAGAGTCACAATTGAAGTAAATTTAAGTGCTGAAGGAAAATAGGTTTTCTTATGTCTACTGAGCTATATTATTGCTATAAAAACCTTACCTTACAAGCGTCTGCAAGGGCGAACCCGCTGCCAAGCAAAATGACGATATTCCATGGAAACTTCCTCGACATCTCCTTGAAATTTAGAAGTCCGGGTGGCGGTTTGTTGACTAAGCAAGAAAAGTAGCGTTTACCAAGGGCTTACGGCAAATTTTACAAATTTAACGACTAAAAAAAACATCAGTTAAAGCAATGGCATTTTCACAACTCGACACAAAGCACGGAACACCTTAAACATATCTAAAATATAAAGCAGTTGCTTTCAAGCCAAGCTTGCAAATGTGAGGAGTAGGAAAAAAGCTCACCTGATCGATCGGGGGCAAAAAACACCGGCCTCTGAGAGGGAAATACGAACAAAGAGAAAGAGATAAAAATGGCCACAGTGGCGTCACGGACGTAACTGAAAAATAAAGCAGGACGATAGCCGTTAACTTCTTTATAAAAAGTGGAAAGGGCGTGTGACTCCCCAACCCTCTTTCCATGTTTGTCAAAAAAACTGATATTTTATAACACTGAATCAAAATTGAAGAAAAACACAGATGTAAGACCTCCAATACCGCTTACATTTTTAACAGAGGAATTAGCATTGCATAAAAGATACTTACTCTTTCTTGAATAAAATGGCCCATCCTTTCATAAATTTCGGATCACGAAACAGCCACAATAAAGCTAACAAAATAAAATGACCGAGCACGGCTTTCTCGGCAAACCTGGAAACAAAGGTGGAGAGTTTCTTTAGTCCTCTGGGAAAAAATTCGAATAAAATATGAAAAATATTATTCAGTGATGACTTTAAGTCCTTTACTCCGTGGACAGAATCTTTTTTTACTGATTTCTTGTGTAAAATTGCTTTGCTCTAAGAGATGCAATTCGGGAATAAATCGCACCGATGACAGCCAATCAGATTGCAAGGACAACCAGTGTTTTAAAATTGTATGTTACAGATTGTGATCATTTGCACACTATATAGCTTCAACTCTTAAACCAAGCTGGCTGTCTTTGACTGTGTTAACAATACATGCATTCACAGAGCTGTTGTCAGCTCAAGATGTACATTTTGTGCGTCAAATTTAGGTAAGAAAATTAGATCGACAATACGAAATATTTCTCAGCTTATTCGCAGTGTTTTACAAGTCAAACTACATAAGTGCATACGTGCGTTAACTTTTTATGAGAAAAGTCACTGAATCTTACGACATTGGCCCAAGTGATCTGTATTGATTCGCCAAAACCTGCTTGATGGCCTTTGCAGATTGATTGTTCCTCTCTTGCGATCTTTGTGACTTACGGAAACAGCAACAGAAGCACCTATGGCAGCATTCACGGATGCTGAATGGATAAGGAAGTGAAGTGACGATGTTAGAAGACGGAACTGAAAGTTCACAATTCCGACTTTTTTCAATGGTTTAGAGTACAAACAGAAAAACTGTAATTTGACACTTTTTGGCTCACCACTTCCTCTACTTTATATTTTGTTCTAACATTAGATTAAAATAAAAATAACTGAATTTTTGCGTAGAAAGCTCTACTTACTTCAATTTATCATTCCCGTGTGGTGAGGTTGTTAGACAAAATACAGTAGCGTGGCGAAATCTTTAGGTATTATCTTCCGTCGAAGAAAGTTGAGGATAGTGTCATGAACAGGTTGTGGTTGGTGGTTTGAAAGTTTGATTGACCTTAATAACGATTGTGGCGACCACCTGATGAAAAAGCGCGCTGCAATAGCGCTGTAATAATTAAGCGTGAGATGCTTATTTTACACACGGCGTAGTTTAACATACCTAAATTTGAGAAACATTATTTGAATCCAGATCCAGGCTACAAACAGCAGAATAACCATTTGAGGAAAAGCGTAGCCAAACCAAGAGGCAAAACTAAATCCTGGACTGGTGGGATACAGGCTGAAAGACGAAGAGAAGGCAATAATGTGAATGTAACAAAGACTGCTTCTTAAATCGTGGAAACCCTTTAACTGCAATGTTATGTTATGTTAGTTTCATCCATTTCCTAGAAAATTAGTCTAGAGAATTTGGTGATGTATAAAAATTTTAAAATACACTCTAACTGGTAAGTTTTCCCGAGCTACCCCAGCTCTTGTTTATCAAATAAAGTATTTAAACGGTAGGGAAAACTTCATTACTTTTCATTTTTCTCCGCTCCCAGACCTTCCCGTTTTCAAGGCTCTGCCGCTTGCAGTGTCAAGGGAAAAAAAACCACCAGCAGCGCAAACTAAGAAAGCTCATGGACAAAGCTAATAGTGAATCTCACGACAGAGCAAATTTCAGATGAACGGAGAGTTAGGGCCACGTTGAAACCTTACCTCGGTTTTCTACAGATAAGGAAAGAACACGCAATTTCTTACCACTTGCGTTAATTGCGTTGCGTTACCTACCACTGGCTATAGTAATGTAACCCAAGTAACGCAACGTAAATAACCACTAACGTTAGTTAAGGTGAATTATTTAGTACAAATCGCCATACTTACCTATTCACCTGTCCACTAAATACCAGATTGGGCGCAGTGCCTGTCAAGGTGGCTGTTCCACCGATGTTTGCAGCATAAGCCACAGCTAACATCATGGCTTTGCAAAGCTTGTTGTAATACTGGTCTTCGGCTGTCTGTAGAACATTATAAAATGTGATGTTTATAAATCACATTTCCACACGGGAGTTATAATAGAGGGCAGCCAGAGACACATAACCCTCTTGTACTTCTGGTCTAACGGCAAAGGTGTTAGTGAAGGTGCTAGGTGAAACACGAGCAATTTTGAAATGAAAAACTATATGTTTACGAGGTACAATGCGGAAGACACGGCGGCCCGCTAACGGTTACCACGCTAGTCTCTGGTTGGGTATGTCCGCATTGAGAGTTGAAAAAGTCATCGTATTGTATAATTCTTTACCGACAAAGAATTTTCACGACGTCTCTCTCTGAGTATCCACGAGTGATATTAAAAACTTGAGCCTTACAAATAGCGTTTCTTTGGATCAAAATGCAAAATCTCAGTTGTTTTCACTCATGAAAGATTCCTCACCTCTACGATTGCGGGCTCATTCAAAAGGAATAGAGAATATATTCAATATGAGGCACCGTATCTCTCAGTAAGTGCACGCGCTATTAATTTTATTCAATTCAGCAGGTCGTATTTCTCTGTATAGCTCACTAAATTCAGAACTGGTTGTCAGAATTGAAATCTTCTCCCTTCTATTGGATCCCAAGGATATAATAAGTATCTTACTAAGGTTGTTTTCTCGGTCTGTGCTTTAAGTTACGGAACCTCGTTTTTTACCGCCTGGATTTATAGCCCGCGCGTAAATCTGAGCGAAAAAATCTCGGTTCGTAACTTACAGTGCGGCCCTCGATCTTGAGAGAGGTAAAACAACTGACAGAAAATAACTAAAGAAATATATAGAAACCAATAAGAACAAAAGCAGCAACCGCAATAATTACTTCATTATCTTTATCCTCTCGCAGTAAATCTACAGCGGACATTCTGGGGAAAAAACATGGGAAAATTTAATATCATTAATAATTTCCCGATAATTTTTTAAAAACAAACAGGCATTTGGAAGATTGACAATTACATATCAAAGCAATAACTTCAGCCAATCAGAACAGACACAGACAGCAATGACCAATGAAAGGACAAAGCAATTTACACGTGACCAGCTTCAAGCCCGGAAAACACAGGCCTAGCTGGCGCCTCTTCGGATGCCAACAATATGGCGAGAAAATCGTTATATGACGAGAGCCTTATGTACGAGCTTTGTGTTTGTATGCTGGACTGCCCAAAGGACCACTTTGAACAAAAAACAACCTGATCAGCTTGGAGAGTGGCGTGCGTTTTAAGGCCGATCACAGATCACAGAGGGTGGTCACAAAACCTGCGTGATGCGAAATTACATTCGACCCTTCATTCTGAAAATTTTTTTTTCTACTCTGAAGTAGGGTCTACCTTTCATCCTTTTTGTAGTTGATTCCGCTATCCGCGTCGTTCTTTTCTTTCACGATATCAACTTCCTGGAATGTGACGTCTTTCTTTTCATCAATCTGGTTGGCATTGTCTACAGTCATGTCACCAAGTTGGAAAGAAGCCCGCTGTAGAGTAAGGTCGCCAAGCCGTTGAGAAATAGCATACGTAACGTTCATTTGCATCGGGAACTAGAAATTATTCCTAATTTGAGTAAGAAACTATAACTCGACCTACTTTTTATTGCAGCTAGAAACTGGGACAGACAACCGTATTCAAACTCACACAAATCACATTTCAATTGACCAGCGTAAACCAAAACCACAGGCCAATCAGACGAAAAGAAAATATCACAAGGAAGCAAATGAGAACCGGTAAACAGCCTGAAGCGTGGAAGACCTTTAACAATCAAGTTGCTCTTAGTTCTGGTTTTGCATCGCATAAGTTGAAACGGGGGCGCAAGCTCCCTAGAATAATCACAGAGCAAAGCAGAGCAAAACTAATGTAATCCAAGGTTACTTTCGACTCCCAATTGAAAAATTACTTTTAAATGAAGGGGACGCTGATGATCTCCCTTACAGATGCAATTCACTCATATTGATTCCACTCTTGAACGCTTTACGCTTTAGAAGGGCGTAAATTGAAAAATTCCAACAAACGACCCGGCTTATGTTTCTACTACGGAGTCTCGTCCTACACTATTTTTTCATTTCAAAATCTCTTTACTTAAGCCATTAAGCCCAGTGTAATCTATTTCTCGCGAGATAGATTACACTGCGTCTGAAGAAGATTTTGATGCAGTCATGAATAAATTACTCGTAATCTGGGAGTATCGGTGGGTTCTGATATGTTTGATTCCATATCTCATCGTCTAGGAAGCATCGATGCGGGATTCTACGCTGATAATTGAACTTTGAGTGGTTCAGAGAAAAACGAAACCTTAAAACAAAGCTTATCACATCCAGGGGAACTTTGAACACACCTTTCACTCTGGTTAGTTAATCGATATTTATTGAGACTATTGTTGTTATTATTGCTATTACTATCATCTTCATTATTGCCCTCCACACTGTAGAGTGACCATCAAGTGACAGTCATACAAGAGGATCATATTTGGAGACCTCACTCACCTCGTTCGTTTGGCTGTTGTCATTTTCTTTTCTCTCCAGCTGGTTCTTGATGCTCTCATTTTTTATTTCTCCTAGCACTGCTTCGACAATCGGCACCATCATGGCAGTGGTAGCTGTGTTGCTGATCCACATGGACAGAAAAGCTGTCGTCAACATGAATCCCAGCATCAAACTGAGGCAGAACCAACCAAAAAGTTAAATCAAAACTGCAACATCTAATATTCAAAATTTCATACCGATGTGACAGTTTTGAAGTGGTCGGTGGTTTTGAACTTAAGCTTGCTAAAAACAGGTTCCAAATACAGTGATTTTGACAGAGAAAATGGTGTTAGGCTGAGGGTAGCAGTTGACCTGGAATCAAGTCCTTCGACGGCCACTTCTTCTGCACAGTAGTGACTGGCGAGAACCTTATCATAATACAGACTAAACACCGTAAACGAGCGACGAGAAATGGTGAAGTAAACAATCACATTGCCTTTTTTTAGAACTCTATTCAATTTTCAACCCACAGCAAGAACTTCTTTCAACAAATTCCGCCCTCTGGGAAGCCGGTTTATTTACTTGAGAAAAGGCCAGACAACTTGGATAAATTGGAGACTAAAATATTGAAACAACTGACCAACAATTACCACTTGACCCTGTTGATGACATACGATTATATTGCGGAAACGAAAAATACTCCTTAACGGCCTGAATTTTTTTCAGGCCTTATTTTTACTGCTGTTTAAGTGGTGTTCTGACATAACTGATAAGATCACTTTCACATTCATTTCTTAAAAATTACTTGCAGTTCACATATACGATTTCCAGTTAAATTCACAGTCGTTGATTCATCAATTCACAAGTTTGTTACGAACTAACATAATGACCAGCTCTCAGTTGGTAGAGCTCTGCACCGACATCGTAGAGGTCATGGGTTCAAATCGTGTAAAAGCCTGAATTTTTTCAGGCCTTATTTTCACTTCTGCTTAAGCAGTGTTCATTACTGAGAAGATCGCTTTCATATTCATTTCTTAAAAACTGCAGTTCACACATATGATTTTCACATATTCATAGTCTGACCCGGAGGCGGTCGAACAGAGAGAATCATGCAAATGAGTCTGTCTTTCAAGTGAATAGATCACTCCATCCAGACCGCATATTCATTATACTAAGCTGAAGAGGATTACCTTCGTGGTTGAGTTCCGACCAGCAAGAGGACCCGAAGAGCAATCCGCTTGTGCAAGTTCCAATGTTCAACAGCCACAGCTACGACTAGGCCGCCGAAAAACAGAACATTAGTGTCTTTGAAGTAAGGAGTGGAGACTTGTTTAGAGCCCAGGACTCCAAATAAGGGGAAAAGAACCAATGGGAGAAGAGCTGTGACGGCCAACTCCACAACCTCCGTCACCCAGTACACCGCCATGATCAGGATACAGTACGCACAGCGGGCTTCCTAACAACAGAAATACACAAATATTCATCGAAAAGTAGGAAAAAGAAACCTGTGAAGTGGGTTACTGTGACTTCTTTTAAGTAAGAACGGGTCAGTTAGACATCAGTCAAGTTGGATTCTTTTATCATTAATGGATTTCCTTTTTTTAAAGCGAACGGCAACATGGAAGCAAATCGCAAGAGGCGGTATGCAACCGATATCTTTCTGCAGTCTAACTTTGTTCCCATTCTCAAACGTAGTGTCTCCTTCTAGGTCGTCTGATCAAGCCTGCGCTTTCCATGGTTTCGGTGATTTCGTAGAAATGACGAACAGGGGCAAGTTAAAAGTCTTTAGTTATAACCCTTAGAAATTAAGCCATCCGCCAAACTTCCTTTTCGTCGAAGAGAATTGACCTGACCGAACATTTTTGTTTACAAAGCACAAGCTTCAAGTTCCCGCTGTCCTAGACAAAACAGAACTCTTGCCCCAACCGAAATAATAACTATGCATTGCTTTATTTCCTAGTTTTAGCTACCATTGTTCGCTTACCAAAGAGAGAAATTTAATCAAAGATCTTTTGTGTTAAGAACATTGGACGGATGATTAGTTTGAAAAATTTTAATATCTATATTCATGACACGCAACTTTCTAAAATTGGTTTTTTTTTTAGCCATGAATGCAATGGACTCACTTTGGCTGCAATCTATATGGCCCAGAGAAGAGAGGGAAGTATCATCATTCAAATTTCCATCTAATATTAAAATCACATAATTTTATCAGCCCAAACACAATAGATTCTTCTGTAGAGATACTTTCACGGTCCACTAAGCAATTTTCGTGAAGACTGTCATTTTAAATATTGCAAATTAAAATGGGGCCAAATACATCATTAACCTTAATTTCTGGAGATATCTTAGATGATCCGCTATAGTCTTTCCCCCAGTCTTTTCGATAATCATTAATTATTTAATTTTGCATTGTTTGCCTAGCCTAGCATTTATTACCTATAAGTCTTAACTTTGTTTGACAAACATGTCCAAAATTGCTCTTTGATAAATAAACAAATTGATTTTCTTGTTACGCATTTGTAAGTCAGAACTGAACTGCAACGTGTACAGCTTCTTTGGACTGCTAACGATCTTTAAGTACGATTATGCATCATCTTGTAAAATCTCATATCTATCGCCAAATCTTTCTCAGAACTCGGCTACAACCAGTAGTATTCCCGAGCATTATTAACTCTCTGGCATCGTTCAATACCGTGATAAATCGTCCTTGAGATTGGAGCGCATAGATCATTGTCAACTCCCTTAAAACACCCACAGGATTTCGCTGCTATTTGATTCTAGAAGGGGAGAGTCAAAGGTCCAAAAGAAAAAACGCTCGTCAAAATTTTTGTCGAGTGTCAAACGTCTCGTAAGCTTGGTTTTGACCATTTCTTTCCATTGTTGTCTAAGTCTGTCCCGTGGTTTTGAAAAATTCCTTGCGTGTTTAACATGGGCTGAATTGGTATAAAATCAAGAACACCCCAGATCCTTGAACAACGAATGGTGAGAATTCCAAGCCTCAGTCTTAATAATAAATATATTCCAAGACGATAATTCGAGGAAAATCACTAAGAGCTAAGCTACGGAAGCCTAAGAATTTCAAGTACTATCTTATTTGCTGGAGTAGGGAAGATCTAATCAAACATTAAAAATTGATGAGAAATCCTGTATAAGAAATAGCTACTCTCGCCGCTTTCGCAAAATATCTAGTAAATAAGACCATACTCAGTCCTGGATATCGCATGCATCATGAACGATCGCCGGGTCATACGAATCTCGAGAAGCGAGAGGTGTTCATAAAAGGCTCAATACTGATTTATAAAAACAGCCGTAAATCAAACAGCACGTACATCGACGCGTTACTTTGTGATCTTTCTTGGGCTGAATTTGATGAGTCTGACAAAGCTGGCCTTTCCCCATGCAAAAAAAAAAACAACCAAATTCATGCGCTTACCGATGTTGGAACTGCTATGGGCAAAGGTGCCAACACTATTGGTGTAAGGATGAGAACGACGTACTTGCGCCATTTCAGAAAGCACTTCGCGACAGAGGTATCCACAGGATCAGAGGAAACTGCCTCTGCGGAACTGGCCGGTTTCTGGTGTCTGTTTTCCGAATTCTCAGTAGCATTTTCGCTTACGGCTTCAGATGAGAGGCAAACCACATTTGTTTCCCCTATTTCCATAGTGTTCATTTCTTGATTCGCTCTTGTAGCAGCTTAAAATCGACCGAAACAGGGTTATTTGTTTTACGACGGATCTCTCTTGCCGCCAGGTCGACTTAGAGCGACTGGAAAAACCTAGTAATCTGAACAAGGTTTTACCGAATGTGAGGTTAAAGTTCACATTATATATTCAGTGTAGCTTGGTTTTAATTGTTGTTTAAGCCCGCCGCTTAAACAACAATGACGCAGCCCCAAAACAAAATGACGCAGCCCCTTTCTTCTTTGTTTCCGGAAAACAAAAATAATGTTTATTGGTTTAAAAGTTAGAACGGATTTGATTAACTGCCAATCAAATAAGCACGACAAAAAGATGTAAATTACAGCAAATGTTTCCTTTCCTACAAGCAGAAAATGAAATAGGTGGTGTTTTTGATCAACATTCCAAAATTTGCACTCTTCATCCAGGCAACATGGATATTGGTTACTTAATTCAATTCCAGGGCCAGTATATTTATTTTATTTTCGTATTTATAAGTCGCGAATCCCCACTGGTGTTCCTAATGAAACTTCGGTTGATATGGCGAAACAGAGGGATGAAGAATATCTTGGAAATTGTAATATTACCATTAAGCAGGCAGCTTGAGAAAGAGGTGAGTGAATGCGCGCGCGTTCTTTTTTCGTGAGAGCTTATTTCGCGTCCAGTACTCTAAGCATTCTTTTCAAGTGGTGCACTACTTCAACAAATGCTTTTTATCTATAATAATGATGAACTTCCTCCAATCAGCTCAGCAAAATATTGGTAATCTGGTGATGGCAGGTATAGTGTTTATAGTCACGCAACGTACCCACCCGTGGCTGCCAAGGACAACAATGAACTTGGTATTTTCTCCGTCACCAAATACATTATGCGATTACAGATTTTTCCTCTACCCTAACTGCAGCTCTAATTGCTTAAGATTTAAATTATTTTAAATACACGTGTCATGAAAATGATAATTTGGGTGTTACTCAACTGTAGATTAGCAGACCGCGGAACCTGTGGAACCTGCGGAACCCTATAATTTTTGTAAAAAGACCTTAACCCTGATTGAAATTTCGTTTTCGGTACAGTAAACAAGATTACTTCAAAAAGACAATATGTTTTAATTGTCCTTGACGTTCAACTTAGATTGTGGCGACATTCACCGTACAAGGGTATGTAATGTCATACCCTGAGTGTCAATTTAAAAGCTCTGACGGTTTGGGTACCACGATATCCGAATAACGCCCCATCCGAAGGCTCTCAACAAACCTTTAGGCTGAAAGTGGTGGACTTTAATTCCATGGCCATGCATTTCATTGTACACGACCTTGGACTGAAGAACACCGCCATATAGAAACACCATCGTCTGTCGTGCATGTAGAATTTCGGGGTGATCGGGGAGTCTGGAGCGAATTTACAGCGTCTTAGTTCCAGTGGGTTCGTTTGGTTGGCGTTAATGACGTATCTTGGAAAGGATTATGTAGAGGGCAAAGCAGATGAACTAAAACCGAGCTAGATTGCCCTAAATAAGTCCACAAAATTGACACGATACAAAAGAACAACCACTTAAGCGGGGTAAAACTGATCTTATTCAAAATTTGCGCAGATCTTTTAAAGGTTAAGAGCGCGTCTGTTCATTCCCATGCAAATCCTCGTATTTCAACCATCACCTATCGTACAACGTAACCATGCCATATTTATTCGACTCAACGCCGCGGCTTTTCTAAAAAGTCATTTTTTATATCGTTCCTAATTTCACAATTTGCATGTTAGTACTACTGCATCACATGAAAAGTGAATATATATCTAATGATGCTCTCTAGGCATCAGAACTGTTCCATTCAAAACTTGTGCCTGGTTCGCTAAAAATTTCCAACTGCGATCGAAGCAATGATCGCTGTGTGCTTTTTGAGTCTATTATTCGAGTAAACAACGCATCGTGATGCGGCGTTTATTCGAGGGCGGCGTTAATTGATGATTCTTCCCTAAAATGCGGCGTTTAATCGAGGGCGGCTGTAATTCGAGAGCGGCGTTTGATCGAGTAAATACGGTATTTGGATATTCACAGAGTTCACAAAGGCTCATTGTGTGAGTGTGGGCTTCCTGAGGTTGGAAGTCAAGGTAGATGAAAAAAAGAAACTTTAACTTTATTTATACCAGGAAAAAAAATTCTCGTGAAGTGTTAAGGTATTATTATTTTTCATTTTACATCATCATTTTTTTTTAAACAAAAAAACAATGGTTCCGCAAGTTCCGGTAGTTCTGAAGGTTCCCGAGCTTCCGCTCTGCTGATCTAAATTTAGTAACTCCGCAGAATATTCATAACAATGATATGTAAGTTATGATTTAAGTTCTCTTTGGATATTCAAAAAGGAAAAAAACAATTCATAATATCAATGGTTCTGAAAGAGAGGCGCACTTACAAGAATCTGCCGCCTCATCTTAAAGAAGGTAGATCATAAATTCAAACGTCACAAGCTTTCCAAGCTTACCGTTCCTTCTATCGCGATGGCTATGGGCATCAGAAGAATTGGAGTCAAAACAAGTATCAAATACTTTCGCCATGTTAGGATTCGCTCAAGAAGCGAAACTTTTGCCACTTGTGGCTGCTCGTCGAATGAAAGGTTAGGAGAACCCGATACGTCTTCCAAACTACTGTAACCTCTACCACGCTCGTACTCTGCCATCTTTGTAGACCGTATGCTGTGACAATAAACACATGTGTATGTAAAATAATGCGCCGGTTACAGAAAACGAATTAAATTTTCCTATCTTACCGAGAGCCAAAGCGCAGATTTTCATCGCCTTATCTCAAACAGGAATTAAATCGATATTCGATCACCTCACAGTTCATTTAAATCACGAGCACGACGTGTTTCGATACTTAAGAACTGAAATTAATCGCAAAGGATCCTTGCCTTGGCTCACATTTTACAAAGGAAACGGAAATGAAAATGAACAGCAAAATTATATTGTAGCTATGGTCCTAAAAATTCATTTCAAACACAAAAACACTAGCAATTAGCTGACCTTGAATCCAACACCGAAGAACCAGATGATCAATATTCAGAATACAAGCAGATCAGGAAGCTGATCATTTGCATGCGTTGTGTCGAAACGGCATGTGTCACGCTTATTAGCAGTCACGCGTGTCATGTGACTTCCTGGGAAGACGACATGGTCCCAAGTTGTCTGAATCGAGAAAAAATTCTTAACAGGCAAGTCAACAGACCTTTATTCATTTTTAATTAAGTTTTCGATCTCCAGTGCCTGTATGGCAGCTATGCGATGGATGAATCGTTATCCAGCAGATGAGTGTAGACAGAACGTAATGCGCTGTCCATCGGAGAGAGATTTATCCAGTGGTTTCCACATCAAGGTGATCTCGAGCACTAACTTTTAGTTAATGTGCAGAAATCTCTTCCTTACACCTTAGCGAGCGTGTGTGAACGTTAACAGTTTCATCAGACCTTCATGTGTGCATATCGCACGTTATCATTCCTCCGCGAAATTTTATTTCAGTTAATTAAATCCTGGGACCTTTTAACGGTATAAAAGTAGAAGCCTCGTTATGGCAGCAGAGGGCAGGCAACCAAAATAGAAAGTATTGTTAATTTTCTCGTGATTTTATTTATCTTTTCTTGATCCTTTGTATTTTTGAAACCATGAAATGTATACATTTTCTTTCATTTTTTCTTTAGTTTGACGATAAACATAATAAACTATAGTGCAATATCTATCAAACTGTCGAAGTCTCTTCCGATGGGCGAACTAAATATCTTAATTGCAGTCACCTCGCCACTAGAAGACTCTCCACCAGCGAGCTCGCTACTAATGTAATCTCGTCCCTACTAAGTCCCCACCAGTAAACTCACCATAAAGGTCGCCACCTACTTTGATATAAATTTAAAGCTTTAGCCTACTCTACTAAAAATAAAGTCTTGCAAGCCTCGCCATAAGAGTGCCTGTAAATATTTGGAATATTCACCTTTGACTTTCTTAACAATAACAGCTAATTAGTGGCTCGCGGAAGGTAAGTGTGATGTTTCTCCCCTTGCTGTTCACAGAAGAAGTATATTAGCCGTTCTTCATAATAGCAAGCAAAATATTGTAATTCGATTCAATATTATTATTTTCCAAAAATTGACGCATTAGCAATAAAAAAGAAGGTCGTAATGCAAGTTTATGTGAGATGGAAAATGAATTTATGTGTGTCTGATGGAAAAACTAGGTGCCTCTGTCTTATGACTCGCAGACCCCGCATTTTCGGTTCCAGTCCTTTTATTGGTTGAAGGGGGTAAGTCTTTAAAGACACTGTGGTGCTGTGGTGTTTTATCTGTGGAAGGGGATAATTTTTTAAAGAAACTGTGGTGCTGTGGTGTTTTATTGGTTGAAGGGTATAAGTTTTTAAAGAAACCGTGTTGCTGTGTTGTTTTATTGTTTGAAGTGGATAATTTTTTTAAGAAACTGTGGTGCTACATCGGTAGGAGAGTATAGCAGTGTAATTTGGTATTTAATCTGACTTGATAACGTAAATTGGTCTCCGTAAAGTTTCGAAGCTGACGTTACGAGCTTCAGCCTTTCGTCAGAGCGAATGTTTTATCGGGTGGTCGCTTATGAAAAAGAATACCACGTAGACAGAACTTATTAAACGCAGGTAATATTGCTATTAACATAAGATATCCATCTTTCTTCAGACATACTTAACATGGGAAACATTTTATTAGTATGTGAACGAAACAACTCAACTGGCTTGGTGCGAATCGTCCGAGCAGGATACGAATGGACTGGGTACGAAACGGCTTGTGAACGCCCAAGCAATTTTGATGAGTTCTTAATAATTTTTCATCGCGCTTGAATATGCCATGTTCGTGCCGAAGGCGCGTTATGGTTTTCTGGGTTTCGAGAGGTAATGGGTTGAGCATTACTAGGAGTGAGCTTTTGAAACAAAGGTGATAAAGTGTACTTATATCTCTCGGAAAAGAAACACGACAGAAACACGACAGAGGTTAGGTCATTGTTATTCCATCGAGTTATAGTTTTAACTGCGCGCTTCACGAGTCGAGTCGCCTCAATATTTTAAAACGACATGTCAACCCAATCCAGTGTAAGTCAACTTTCATACTTGCAAAGGAAATAACCAAGTAAGTTGAACTAAACTTTATTACTTGATGGCGAGATAACTCGCCTTGGTAGCGAGATCGATCAAATATTGGAGACGAGCTTGCTGGTAGCAAGTCTTCCTGGTGGTGAGGTAAACGAATACCAAATAACCAAATCACCTCATTTTTCCAAAAGTTTGAAAAGTATCCGCTAGAATGTTAAGTGATTACTTCTAACACTATGGTCATGGCCCCATGAATGCTCTCCGACCGCGAAATAACCGCACACGCAAATGATCCCCAAAATGAATAAACAACAGCGAGGGAAAATCATGGGAACATTATTTCTTCTTGATACTAGACAACGATCTTAAACCCAATATGCGAATAGACTCGTAAACCATCTTGCTTTGATTATTTAATGGCTAGAAATTGAGGGATTATTGGTGCTACGGCACGAACGACATGCGAGTGTGCGAGAGTCTTGTAGGCCTCTCGCGTGCTCGCCAACTCGAAACGCGCGGACTTCTCCGCTCGTGTCGTAGCGCACCAGGAAAAGTCTGCTCCAGCCCACCAATTTTGGTAATCGTGTATTATTATGGACCAAATTGTGTTGACCAATGTTTATTTCTTTGAATCCTGTTTTTGTCCATGTTTACAACGGAAGAATAGTAACGTTTTACGTCAGTTACAAGAATAGTTTCTGACGAAAGGCTAACGCTTGAAATGTCAGCTTTAAAACTCTTTACGGTGGCTAGTTTAAGTTATCAAATAAGGTTGACAATACTTAATTACCTTGTTATACTTTCCCACCAACACAGCAGTACAGTTTCTTTAGAAAGTTACCCCCTTTGTTTACAAGAAGGGTTGCTTCGTTCGACCTGTCATCACAGGTTGCTCAGGCTGCTTTGTTAAACGTGGTTGAAAATTGTTTTCTTCAGAGAAGCCGCTTAAACCGATGTTTGTGAACCTCGATTTAGCGCATTGAAAATGCAAAGTGGTAACTACTTGATATCTTTGGAAAATTCAGTTTTTCGATTCTCACTTAACATGTTTGCCGATATGAATGGGGTATAAGATGAAAGGCATGACTTTCTTATTGCAAGCTAGCAGATAAACCAGAAAATAATAATAAAAAAAATGACCTTTCATATTGTTAGTCTGCTTTTCGTTTGAGTCTGGCGGAGTACAGTCAAGAAGATTCTTCAAGCAACAAGTTCCTCTTCGTCGCTCGCGGGCTAATTTGCTCTGAAAAAAATAGACACATCCATTGAAAAATGCGACCTTTATAGCACCCTTCAATGCGTGCACAGTATGAGGCATTGTAATTCTTAGCTTATTTTGGAAACAAAGGCCCCAAGCAAGTGATAGCGTATAACCTATTTCCACACAATTTCTATAAAGGGCAAAAACTGCTTCAAGCAACAAACTCCTCTTCACCGCTCACGGGCTAATTTCTTCCTGATAAATTGGACACATCCATTGAAGAATGCGACCTTTATGGTACTCTTCGACGTGTGCACAGTACGAGACATTGCAATCCTTAGCTTATTTTGGAAACAGAAGCCCCAAGCAAGTGATGGCGTATAACCTATTTCAACCCGGAAAATTAAACGGCGCCACTCTGTCGCAAGTACATTTATACACGCGTCGATCATTGGATTAAAAGGTTCAACTTTAACTTTCACCTTTATTGCTTTCTTCCCCTTTGATATCAAAAGGTTATATCAACATTTAGATTACCATTTAAAAAGAAAAAAACACGGTTTCTGTAAAGGGAAAAAAACTGCTCCAGGGCATGCTTCTTGATGCAAGAAAAAGTAACTGAAATCGACTATAACGGAACATCTTAAATAAACATTTTCAATATATTTAAGTGCTTTTCAGTGTCTTAAGCCGCCTGAATAACGCATGAACGGTATCACGGTCACCTTCAGCATTTTTTTTTCTCCGGCAAAATGTACTTTCACGTCATAATCCTGATAACTAATGCAAATCATTATTGTGTTTAGTTGTTGTTAGACTGACCTGCATCCTCAAGAAAAACTTCTTGCTAACAAGAGTGATATCATATGGAGTGATTCCTAGCATTAATTAAGGGCTTTTGATATGACTTGGGAGGAAAACATTAAAAAAAAAGATAAAAAATGAAATTGTAAGCAATTAGGTTTTGAATTTGGCGACAACAATAACAAAATATTCATGAGATAGAGACACACACCTCTTTAAGAGCGAATGACGTGGCAATATCAGTAATTGTAAACTTCACGAGTGACTGTAAGGACAAAGAGAAGAATTTACAGGTACAGTAAAACATATTTGACGTTTACTTTCAGTTTAGGTAGTAGTTTTTTTTTTTAACTTCCTGAGCAAATTAATGACAAAGTACTTGAAAGAGTAAGCTTCGTTGTTATAAACGACACCAAAGGACACAAATGAGAAAAAAACAATGAATTTAGAATTGTGGAGACTAAGTTGATAAGATCAAGAGACACAAAAAAACACTATTTTCCATTTATGTAACAAAGTATGATCATTAATTTGCTGTTCAAAGGGTTGAGTGAAACTTGTATCTCTAAAAAAGCAGTATCATTTTTTCTTTATGGTTGCCAGAATCAACTGAGTGTACTTCAATGAGATTATCAACAATTGGAAGCAATTCGCTTGCATTCAGCATTATTTATCCTTATAAAATCCGTCAAGAGTTTTCTTAATTAGCCGTACCATGACTTTTGTTGACCGTGCAGCCAAAACCTGAACTCATTTTTAAGAAGTTCATCGACAAATGCAATAAAAATAGAGTATTTCAATTAGCTGAGTTCATCCCCTGTTAATGGAAACTACCTCAAGAGTCTAAAAGTGGAGCCCTAGTTTCACTGAAGTGAACTGTAAGATTTTTTAGTATAAAATGTTCCAATTGTGGAGGAACCACTATGATTTGGGAGTCGTTTGAAAAAGCTCTGGCGTTTTATTTCAATTTATGCAAGTCTAAACGTACACGAAATTTAGCTATAATTCTAATTTGAATCATTTTATTTGATTTCTATTTCGGAATAGAATGCTGATTCCGATCTCGATTAGTAGTTTTACTGCATGTCACTCACTGCACGTGATCCTTTGGCGTCGAAGAACTTTGATTTGACAGTTTCAGTTGGTCACGTGCATCCACGCACGTGAGCAACTGATCTTCATGATACACAAATATTACGATAACAAAAATTCCAGAAATTCAAAGCGCGTTTCGTCCAGAATAATTGCCACGAGAAGCTGGTAACTGCTTCCCTCTTAAAGTTGCCCTGTTACCTACTTTCTCGACATTTTGGCTGTAAAATTTTCTTTCCTTACTCGGTAAGCTTTATTCGAATTAACTTTAGCAGTATCTTTTAAATGCAACACTGACGGTTGTAAGAGACTTGTTGGAAATTTTTTCTTGTCAGGTATTTCTTTATCTGAAATGACTGCTCTGTGGTAAGTTTTCATTTTTATCTCTTTCCTTCCTCAGTTTGCTGCAGCGGAGCTCTGCGGCAATTTCAGCTTCCGAAATTAAACAACCATATTTGACACGAAATCAACAAACGAAATTACACAATGATCACAACGACGTCTCCTGTCAATTGGTCAAACGTCGTAGAAATAACTGACACTTCCTTACATTTACACGACATCAGATACAAAGCATACATCGCGGTTATGTTTTTCATCCTCACGGCTGGTTTCCTTGGCAACGTAGTGACAATACTCGTCCTTTATCAACCGTCACTGCGCAGTGAAACCTTGACCCCACTCATGGTGAACCTTGCCTTTGCTGATCTTTTCCTAACCATATTTGGGTACCCCACGTCCATCACCATGCTCCTTGCTGGAAGAGACATCGGAAACGATGAAACAGGTTGTAGCTGGTACGGTTTCGCTAACGGAACTGTAGGAATTGCATCTATTGTCACCTTCACCGAGATGACTATTGTTTTGAGTTATATCATGCATCAAATGAAGCCCAGATACAGGTGCTCACGAAAAGTGACCTGCGGTCTCACTGTAGCACCTTGGTCTTATGGTGCGATGTGTATGCTTCCCCCTCTTCTTGGTGTGACGCACTTTTCCCCAGGGGCTGCTGGCATGAACTGCGGTCCTGATTGGATAAATATTTCAACCATTGGCATGGTCTACAGTTTGCTGCTGGTCACAGCTGGATTTTTCGTTCCACTGATTATCATCTCTCTTTGTTACTTCAAGATCTTCAGGTTAGTATTCTTGGCTCAAATGCTAAGGTGACTATGTAATGTAACAGCGCTATTTAGGAGTTCTCTTATTGAGCTGAGCAATTGCAATGTGGCATATGATTTGTAATCAAAATTTATTGAAACTCCTAAACTTTTTAGTTCAAGAGAACTAGAGAGGAGACAGTTGAATGACTCGAAGTATTTTTATCTGACTGAGTTAGAGTAGCAATTTTGCAATTACAGAGCCAGAAATTTAGATACTTAGATATTTCCCAAAGCTAGATCAAAGCAGTTTTTAAAAATGGTATTTATTCTCCATGTAGAGTCGCTTGAAATAAGCTAAACCATTCATATAAAGTATTCATTTCCATTAGTTTGATCCTCTTAATACTAAATCAGTGACTCACTTAGTAGTTAGAGCGCTTTTCGATTGAATGTTGTAAAACCAAACCCAAAGTTATCACAACAGCCAATCAGAATAAGAGGAAATATCACAAGGTGCCAATGGGAAGGCAGAGTGAAAACGTGTAAACTGCGTAGAGCGCGGGAAAACGCGGGTGACCAAGGCGCGATTGGTTTTAGGTTTTGCTTATGATTGGACGAGAGAGTGGTGCAAGTTTTGTGGACCAATCATTACCCTTGACAGTCATTTGTAAATTACTCTACTTTCATCTGCGTAACATTTTCTTACCAGGCTCCTCCGTGAAGATCTCGTTCCAGGTAATAGACCCATAAGATTGCGGCGGAGAAAACGGCAAATTAAGTTACTGCGACTGACTGTAGTGGCCATCACTGTGTTTATACTGAGTTGGTCTCCGTACTGTATGGTCAGCATTATGAGTATCTTCAGGGGCGATCATTTGCTTTCACCCGGCGAAGCTGAAATTCCTGATCTTATGGCAAAAGCGTCAGTGATCTACAACCCCTTCGTGTACACAGTCATGAATAGACGTTTCCGTCTGACGCTGTGGGCGGTTGTATCTCGTAAGAGTCATAGACAGCGACTTTCTAGTAAAAGTAAGGAATCAAGTACTTCTGTGCATAATCGTATCACAGATAGTAAGAGTTTGAAGGTGGCTTTTAACGTGTAGGCCTATCAGAACTATCCATCCATAATTATATGTAGTCTCACATAGAGTTGCTCTTCGAATTCATCCGGATTCCACAATTCTACACAAAAGATAAAACTTTCAGTCTTTATTGTTCTTTTTGTGTACAGATTAAACACAAAGTACGTCGTCATTCTTAAGTGTCAATTAAAAGATAGTTTCATTAGTCCATTTTATAGTTGTGTTAGTTGCCAAGCCTTTGGATAGGAGTGAGGCTAAGGGTGACCTTGTTATGATACAAACATCGCATTACAAATGTAAATTACTTCGTGATACTGGTCTCTATCCCAACAAGATCACCTTCAGCCTAACTCCAAATCAAAGGCTTGACAACTAAGCACACAACTGTAAAAATAGTCTATTCAGCGTCACTTGTGAAATAATATCCTAATAAAGTCTGAAAAGTTGAAACGAAATGAATCAAGTGTAGACAACTCATTCTATATTGTAGAAATGTTAGACTAAATTTCTTAAAACCTCTTGTTACTATCAAGTATGTCATCAAATAACTTATCATAATCCTGAGGTTCGTAAACAATAGGTTTATCATCATCATTTTTATCGTTGTCGTCAAACAGAAATTTATAAACTGCTGATGCAGACGATATGTCGTCAAAGTTCTCACCACTGTTGTCATCTGCGTGAAACTTTTTTTCATGGTCATCATCATTATCATCATTTTCATCTTCTTTTTCCTCTTCATAAACATCATTTGAATCATCATCGTTTTCATTTTCATTATAGCGATCTCGATCAACAAAATATCCGCCATCTAAATATTTTTCTTCATTATCTCTATACAAGCTAATCCTAACCTCGGACTTAACAACAACGCTAAGGTATTTTTTAACACGAGGGATTTTCAAATTCAATTCCGATACATCATCGCCGTCAAACACATCAGGGAGGAGGTCGGACGACCAAGTAACTCCTTTCTGTTCGTCAGAGAGATGATGCTCCACTTGTGAAAGTTTGAGTTCTTGTTGATTCTTATCACCATGGAAACTCCATAGGTTGTCTACCATCGAGAGGGGTCTTCCTTGTACACTATTGGTTAGCACCAACAGGCAAACGATCAAGAACGTCGTTTTTCCGATCATCGTCTGTTGAGATGAAAATTAAGATTCAGTCACGGAAATGAATAAGATGGCGATGAGAGATGAGATTGGATAAGGTGCACCACTAATGAGGAAAAAGGTAAATAGGATTTGTGGGAAATCTTTTGAAAATTACTGAGTGAACGGAGATTGGTTTGGGAAATGGTATGTTTGCTGTCCATGACGTCAGCATACCCGAAGAATTTCCTAATTATTCATAAGGAAGAGATAGCTAGTGACCTATTCCTTTTGTTATCGTCCGAATGACGGCATTGCAGTTAATTATCTGTTACCGAGGGAGATACGAGACCTCTCATTATTTTGTCAGAGTATCAAGACTATTTTTTTTTTATTATTGCGAAAGGCTCAAAGAGAGTTTTTTTTTCCCGTGGAAGAATAAGAGCACCAGCACCTGGTGACATTGGACATGATAATTAATCCTCGAAGTCTCACCAAAGTATTACAAACAAAAATCGATGAAGATCAGTGAAGTTACATTGAATAAAATTAAAGAGGTGTTTGCTATATCAGGCATAATTAGCCGTAAAATGATGCAATTTATTTCGATCTTGCTGAAATAAGGAATTAGAATTGGGAAAAATTCCAACCCACATTTAATATCTATTTTGTTTCGAGCGTCCTTTGTGATTTGTAAGAAGCTGTTTGTCGTGAACGTTAAATAAGGAAAACTGGTCAACTGTAGGTATTGTGAAGTTAACTTTCTTCTCTTCAATTCAATGCCTCCGGCACGAATATGCTGACTATTTTGAAAATCAAACTGAACACACGCAGGCATGTCCATTCTTACCTAAGCTAACCTAAACTTCGTTGACGAGTGCTTTCTTAAATTTCTTGACATTGTGCAAAGTTTTTCCAAGCTTCCTACGTAAGTAATTTCAGAACTGACCTTAACGTGAAACTTAAAGGAAAACGAAGAATGTAAAAAACCAAGCTTACTTACGACAATGTTATCAGATTTGTTTCCCCAAGTGGCTAGTCTGAAAACGTCAAGTTGTTTTTTACGATGGCTGTTCACCGTTCACCGTCAGTCGGCGACGATCACAAAGATTCTGAAGGTGTGGTCAAAGTTTATTCTTTAAATAAACGGCTGGTTACTTAGTAACGTTCAAACTGTAGCTTGCAAAACAAAAACTGGAGACAACTGGCAAACAACCATTCAATCGAGCTCATTAAGAGTCTCATTGAATTTCCGTTCCTAACTCAATTTGTCTCTTTGATAATCTCTGCAAAGCTGTTATTCGCATTTTGAGAGATCGTGATATTTTTGTCGGCACATACATTTGTCGGCGAATGTTCCTGCTCAGCGACCGTTTCGAAAACAAGAAAAAAAAAACATGGAAATTCCAGCCAAAATAGATTTTTTTGTGAGAAGAAATTGTTTCTGCCTGAGAAATTCTGGTATTAAATGGGAAGAATTAAGACGAAGTACAGCGGTAGTGTTTTTTTTTTCCTTTTCGTTTTTTCGTCGTGTTTGTTCATTGTGCTTAATTATTCTACCGGTAAAAATTAAACACCTGAGGCGTTATGTTTTGCGTGCGTTCCTGCTATGAAACTTGCCCTCTCTAAATATTTTGGAACTACGGAAAAACACTGAATTTAAAGAGACTTTATTTTCAAATTTATTCGTTTTATTATATTACATATCAGTGCTCCTCACTGAATTTCAATGACGTCTTTGTTGCCCAGTACTGTAACTGATCTTGACAATTATAAGCCCGCATCACATTGGGACCGTTATTTGAATGGTTAAAGGTTGAAACGTAATGAAATTAGCGCAGGGGTAGACGTTTCCTCCATGCGCTATGCATTGGGGTATGAGTTAAATTACCTGTTGCTGTTTATCGACATGTTGAAGTAGATATCAATTGTGCACAGCACAGACAGCCAAGTTGGAGAGATAGTCTTGCGAATATAATCCACGTTTCTGACTGTTATATTTCGTCACACTTTGAAATCTCGGACACCCTCTTTTACAAGAGGAAAATCTCCTAAGGTAGCTTATATTCAGCTTGTATTTTTGTACACCGAAGTTTTCCTTTAAAGGATTAACCATAAGAACACCAAATCATGGTGACTCGTATGTCAGTTTAGGAAAACAGGTGGTAATTTTACATACACACTGTGTTAATAAACTGTAAATCTACAATAATTATCAGATAGAGAAAAAATTAGCTTCCCCAAAATGGCCTTTAGTTGCAGCTATTCGTGTCAAATTTTTTGACTGATCATCATCAGTAGGGAAATGGAAAAAGACTTCTCCACATCGGAAAACTTGAAGGTGCAGGTCGAATATTGTGGCTTGATGCTTACTCACACTATACTTTATTTCATGCATATCATTTTGCCATCTCCACCCGCAAATAGCAAAAGCTAGACGAGGCAGGCGGAGAGGAAAGGTTACAGCAGTCATAAGAGATAATATAATAATTGTAAAGTAACTAAATAAACTATCTGGATAAATAAGAACTACTGAAAAAAAAAAAAAAAAAAAACAAGCTAAAGTTACAAAATATATAGTCTTACAGAATGATATTACAATCAAATTTACTACTAACAGAACTATCAATTATATACATTGAGTCGAGGATGCAGAATTTGCCATTTTTTGTAGGAGAATGGGCACTTCAACATAATCGTCCTCTGCTTCCATTATCGAGAGCAAAAAGTCATGAAAATTTTTCTTAAAAGCTCCTTTGGAGAGTTGACGAAATTCGTTAGGAATTGCGTTCCAAAGTTTAGCTCCAAACCTGGAAAAAGAATCTTGATTTAAATTCAGTCTTGAAGTTTGAACATAATAATTTCCAGAAGAAGAAAACCTGGTCTCATGCCTGTGCTTTGAATTAGCTTTAGTGAAGAAATCACAGATGTTAGACGGAGCATTCATGCAGGAAACGTCAAACATTATAGAAGATACTTTTTCAGCATATAACATTTGTAGGGGTAGAATTTTTGAGGAAATAAATAAAGGCACAGCATGGGCTCTAGGTTCAGAAAAGTACATCAAACGAAGGGCTCGTTTTTGAAGCACGAGGATTTTTTTTAAATGGGTTTTGGCAGCTTGACCCCAAGCCGCCAAACCATATGTCAGATGAGGCAAGATCAATGATTGATAAATATTTAAAAGGGTTGTACGTGGGACGAAGTGCCTAAGACGGGCAACAACACCAACAGTTCTGCTTATTTTTAATGCAACATTATTTATTTGAAAAGCTTAAGTTGCTGTCCAATAGGACGCCAAGATATTTAACATGGTCTTCGCACTGAAGCGTGGTAGGAATTTGAGTACAGTTATCGATCATTTCAATGTTAATCGAGTAGTTCAACTTACGTTGATATGGACGAAAGATAACATAGTTTGACTTTTTAGCATTGAGCGTTAACTTATTTGCATTGAGCCAGTCAGAGACTTTGAGCAGTTTGCTATTGACGGTTTTTTCAAGAGATTTCAAATTAGAGTCAGCATACAACAAGCTCGTGTCGTCAGCAAAGAGATAGAATGACAATTTCGCTGAAGAGTTGTGAATATCGTTAATATAGATTAAGAATAACAGAGGACCAAGCACAGACCCCTGTGGGACACCACATGAGATCATGCATTCGGTAGATAAGTTAAAACCCACTTCATAACGTAAAAAACATAACGTAAAAAACATAACGTAAAAAACAACTTCAAATTCGCCGACCGCTGACCTCTCTTCGCCCGCAGTTAAAAACAAAATGGCGCTTAATTCGGCCACTACTGGAGGCAAGAGTATTTGTTAACTCGTCATCTTCTCCGATTCAGTTACACTGAGTTTCAGTCAGAATCCTTTAACTATTCATATCATACACCAAGTTGTGAAAGCCAACGGTGCAAAGAATGGAGCTAAACAAGAATGCTCTGGCATACTCTGCCACAACACTGGCTGCGACGATGATGAATTCCATCTTCACGTTTTATTATGTCAAAATTTTCCTCAACGTCTACAAGTAAGTTCGAGAGTGTATGTAGTAAAGCCTTCAGTCGATTTTATTGTAGAGATTGTGGTTTAATCATAGCAATTGCATTTTGGTTTTCTGAAGTTTAAGCCTGGCTTACTTAAGGAAGCCACGACTGTGAATCTCAAATATTTGAACTGCAGATTAATAAATGAATATTAATATGAGATAGATCCTCGAAGTTATGAACACTACTTAAGCAATGGTGAAAATAAAGCTTGGATGACACTCACCTTATTTTTAAATTTTTATCACATGAAACACAGATTCCATGTTGCCATGGATCTGTACAGTTACTGTTGTAATAGATTACAGAAGACATCAAAATGTTATAAGAACTTTAGTGACACACTGGACTGCGCCTCATGTGCCACTTCTTTTTTCTTATGACATGGTGATGTCATCTGTGATCTGTCACTAGTCAGATGCACAGCAATGTGGAATTTATTTGTTAATTTTTTTCTATCTCCTTTAATATTGCAACCAATGGACTGTGAGAGCATGTGGTATGTTATAAGTTGTTCTCCAGTTCTAATGTTTGATGAACTTTTTCTCTAGGATTTCAAACTACTGGTTCAATGTGGCTCAAGTTGTATTCCTTATTTGGAATGCCATTAATGACCCTTTGTTTGGATATTTCCAGGTAAAAAATTAAATCCCTGCCTATTTTAGTTGGTATTTTCATTTTATTACTAAAAGAGTAAATTGTCATGTGCCAATCAATCAAAGCTTGAACATCCCCTCCCCCTCTGGCAACCTATCATCCATGCCAGGATGGGAGAATTTGAACCTTGCCTGGGTGGGATGGAGCAGTTGAACTGAGAGCATCAAGTCTGTCCAGCATAATACATGTGTTTAATGGAGAAGTTAAAAGGTAAAGGGACTACTTTCATGAGCAAATGGCCAAGAAAGACGATTTCTACTTCACAGATTAATGCTTACAAGCAAAAAACCCAACAGTAGCACCAAAAAGTAATACATGACTTTGCTAAATTCTACAACATTTGCTGATCACACTAACAATTATTCAATATTGAGTAGGGTATTTGAAAGCAATTTTGGCATGGGAGGGGAGGGAGTGGGATCTTGAATGAGCCAATCCTCAAAAGTTCAAATTCCCAGGGATGTTGAAGCTTTAAATGATCAATGCATAAGTATATGTTGCAGCCAGTTGACTAATCAGATCCAGTTGATAGAGGAAATTGAGAATCAACCTTGTCAAAAAGTTTCAATTCAAGAGTAAAATTTAACTGCAACATATTTGCTAAGGAATTTACAAGTTTCCTTGAGCATGTACATATTATGTGGTGTATCTGATACAACTTTTGATAAATGACTTTAGAGTTTTAATTGATTTAATTTATAATTATTACTATCCACCAGGACAGTTCTACCTGGATGGTTTTAAGGAAAAGGAGGTTAGCTATCCTATATGGTGCTCCTCTATTTGCAGTGAGGTAAATGACAGGAATACTGCCTATTATGAATTTATCATTTTATTTTTCTTGCACTTGAGTGTGGTTTTATGACTCTTCATCTTTTATGTGTCTGTTTTAAAATATAAGTATATACCTGAATAATGTTTAATAATGTAACTGTTCTTTCAACCTTTTCACCCCCAAAATCTTGGTTTGGTAATTCCCATTACTTTCTGCCATACAGTTTGTATGATATTAGTTTGGAGAATTTGGTATTGGATCAACTAATAATCCCCAAGTTGATATTTTTCTTTATTCTCATTACTTGTGTGCTAGATATTGTATTGATTCAGAGTAAAAGTGTCAAGAGGTGAAGATTAACCCTTTAACTCCCAAGATTTCATTAGTAATTCTCCTAACTGTCTGCCATACAGTTCTTGTAATGTTTAAGTTTGGAGAATTTGCTATTGGATCAACTTATAATCTCCCAACTGATATTTTTCTTTATTCTCATCACTTATCTGCTTGATATTGTAGTGATATTGTAAGGAGAAATTCTGTCTTGGTCATTCATAGGAGTTAAAGGGTTAATAGATAAAATTGTTCATATTAAATGGTATGTCTTATATTAATATTGTTACATTCAATCTTTATAAGTTGCCAAATTTTTTCTAAATTTTATCTTTGTATATTTTGCATAGCTTCTTAACCCCTTGGTTTCCATGGACTTGGCTCGGTTTAACTGGTGACTGGGTTGTTGGACTTCATCTAATGACTTCACTGTGCTTATATGATGGCATGTTCACATTTGGTATGTAGAAACTGTTGGTAATAGTTCCTTCAATCCTGTATGTACAAAAACTCTGCTACCTTGAAATCCCAAGGGAAACAAATACATGCTTCAAGTTTGCTGTGGTTTGAGTTATGTGGATTGGTGTTAAATTTTAATTACAGCTCCTGATATTAATCAATAAGCAATCATTTTTATACCATTCTTGCACAATCCACAGTCATTTTCATATATCAAGTTTGTTTCATAAGTCAGAGCCCTTTTATATAAATGTGTTACATTTCATATTTTAATGTCATGACATTCTTATTAATCACAATTTAAGGTTGAGACATCAATCATATATGTTCTGACATTCCTCAACCAATATTTTTTAATTAAAGTTCCAGTTATCAGCTGAGGGTAAACTGGAGCAAAGGCAAAATAAAATTAGTTTGAGTGAAAGATTCCTTTCTCACATTTAAGACTATTCTAATCAAAGAGCACAATCTGCTATTTGCTTTGTAACATCACACTAGCATTACCATTCGACTCCAATGCTCTGCGCAGGAATCTATTGTCAGAAACAATGACATACACTTGGTGATATTGTTTGGTGATCACATCAATCACTGCATTACTAAGCTAACACATGACAATGTTTTTTTTTTCTTTTTTTTTCTCCTTTCTTGTTTTTACATGTAGTATTACTTGCCCAGTGTGCTCTTTTTGCTGAGATTTCAACTCAACAAGAGGAAAGACAGACAACTCTCAAATATGCGTAAGGAACTAAATTCTAAATGAATATACTATTGTGTAAAATAGGATAATACAGTATGTGTTATTGTCATGTAAGTCATAAATACCATGTACACTGCAGTTGGGTCCTTTTTAGTTTAATAATTACACAAAGTTGTTTTTTTTCGTTATAGAGATATTATTAGTCAGAGTACTTTTTTGGATTGGGTAAGCTTTGTTCACCTACATGTATGTGCTTAAAATGAATCTAGAGTAAATATTTGTTCTCTTTATGTTCCAGACAAGTGGCATCTATTATTGGCTCAACAGCTCTTTTAGTCAGTACAAATGTTTATCAGAATGAGGTAGGGTACCAAGTAAACTTCTTGCTTGATTATATAATTGTCTTAATGAAAACGAACCTGGGAAAATGTTTAGGGAGCAAATTTTACAAACAACTAAAGTCCACAATTATGTGATTTTGATAAGCTTCATTTGATACAAAATTTTATCTTCTTGTAATTGAATATTAAGTGTTTTGTGAGCTGTATCTATAATTTAAGTTAGTTTTTTAATTCAATATTTATTACATAAATAGTTATTGTAAAAAAAGAGTAAACCTCTTGCATCATACAGTAGCTGTTACATTGTAGCTTTAAGATCTCCAACAATACTTATGTGTGTTATAGAATAAGAAAGATCATGGAGCTTGGTAAAAGCACTATTCACCTGTGTGTAGTTGTATAATTATGCTAACAAGATAAAATCATGATCAAACTCTCCAAACCTACAGAACACATTTAACATATTTGAAGATGGCATTGACCCTAATTCAAACCCTGATTTATTGCCTAATATTTGATATACTACTTAAATTTTCTTAATGGTGAAAGTAATGATTCTCTAAGATTTATAATTTCAGTTACAAAAACAGTCATGACAATTTCTTTTCTTTTTTTAAAATTTAACAGCAAAATAATTTCAAGTCATTCCAAGCAGTGTGCATTATAGTTGCTTTTCTTAGTTGGTTACTGATGAGGTACACTGGTATGAATGTTGAAGTGGCTGTGGATGCAAGTGTGTCTGGCAGTGGAGGAAATCAAGGTACTTTTAATAACCGTTTGACTCCCTAGGAGTAAGTAGCTATTAGTTTCTCCATACAATATCACCCCTGAATCAAAAAGTAAGGTCATGGGAATGAAGTAAATGATCACCAACTAAAGAAGCTTTTGATTAATAGACAAATTCTCCTTGTCAGCACCTTTGGAAATGTATAGAGAACAGTGTGAAGAATATGCAGACTGATGTTGGGGTGTAAAGGGGTAAAGAATTTTCATATGAAAGATACTGTATGCAAAATGGTACTCTGTACCTAAAAGGATTAATTTCAATGTGAAGAGATTTTTCATAATAAGGTAGTTGTGAGTTGCAGAGATGTTGTCTGATTTACAGAGCAAATTGATTTCTTCATACCTCAAATTTTTAGGAATACAATAATAGGATCATTGCAACATCAGTTGTTATGGGTAACATGTCTAATACAAGTGTGTGTCTGGGTAGAGTGACAAGTTGAGCATACCTTACAAATAAGAACTTGTCACACATAACCCTTTACACCCTAACATCAGTATGCATTTTCTCTTTACTGTTCTTTACATATTTCTTAAGTTGCTAACAAGGAGAACTTGTTTAACAATCACTTGAAGAGCCTCTTTAGTTGTTGATCATTTCCTTTATTCTCGTGACCATAATGTGTGGCTCAGGGGTGAGCCACACATTAGGGAAATAGGGAAAAGTAGGGGCAAGTCACACTTAGGGGTTAAAGGGTTGTAAAAATTAATAAACAAACTGTTATTGCTAGAGCAATAGATTTCATTTCGATTGAGTATGGAAAACCAATCAGAATTGAGGGGCAAATCGCAAGGGGTGAGTGAAAACTACAAGTACAAAGCAAGTAAACTGAATGAAATAGGAAAACAAGGTTGACCATGGTGTTATTGAGTTGGGTTTTGCATCTGATTGGTTGATAAAGTGGTGCAAGTTTTCTGGACCAATCATAAAGCAAAGGAAAGGCAAGTACAAAGAAATCTCAGAATGCTTTGGACACTCAATTGAAAATGTCTCTATTCTTGCTTGTCAAATCCTAAGCTTACAACTGCTACTGGAGGGCCAGAATTTATTTTGTAGTCAGAAAGGGGCATCTAACTGATCTTTCACTTTTGACCTTACATCTTATGAGAATTATGTCTTGTTGTTGAACTAGACCTGTATAACTAAATAGTAACTAAAGATTGTGGTAATTTAGTCTGAAACTGTGTTGTTCATTTAATCTTTCAGATGGAAAGACTTCAAAGGAGTCACTTCCTCTCTTTACACTTTTAAAGCAAATATTAACACAAAGAAGCTTTGGTAATTATTACCATTTCATACTTTATAAGGTTAAAGAAATTGTTTTAGAAAATAATAGTCAGAAAAGTATGTTTCTTTTTATTTTAATATGTAAACAATGATATTTTCATTTATTTTGCAGTTTGTTTTGTGGCCATGAATTTTTTCCAGGTAATCTGAAAGTAATTTTTTTAAATACACATTCCAATAACAAAGTTGACACCATAAAGAATGTGCAAACCTATCATATAATTATAGTCCCTATAGTCTAAGATCATCTGGTAAGTATATAATGTATTCTGAAGGCATTTTTATCAAGAAAAGTAACAAATGTTTATCTCTTTAACTCCCAACGTCTGATTGTTAAATAAATCTCCCTTTTAGCTGCTACACATTTACTTGTAAATTAGTTACATGAATTTGGTGTTAGATACCAATTTAGATTACAACTTCTATTTGATACATTTGAGTATTCTCATCTCTTGTTTGCTGGATAATGTACAGATATTATAGGGAGAAGTTACATGTTAATCACTTGTGGGAGGTAAAGGATTCAGACTTTAGTAATGAATCCTATCATGCTATGAACTATTATACATGTATATTTCAATACTTTAAATTTAGAATTAATAGTCAATTTTTCGACCCAGTCACCACCAAACAATTTTTTGTGGTAAAAGAATAATTACATACTTTTTCCTCATCAGGTTTTTCATGTGACATTTTGCAGCAACTTCTTTCTCATTTTTGCGGAGCACCTTATAGGACCTGGTGTCATTCCAGCTGTAAGCTTCTGCCTTTTGACTTATTTGTAATAGAATGATCTCTTAGATATGAAATAGATTATTAACTGTTGATGTCAATGTTGTGCAAAAATGTATTAAATAAATTTAACTATGTGGTAAATGGTAAGACACTAGTAAACAGTTTAAGCATTCAGGATTCTATTCAGCTAGAGTTTTGAATTTCTTTGGTATGGTTCCTCCTTACAAAAGATTTACTGGATACTTTTTTTAAAACTACATCAATCAAAGGAATATAGTTTTGATGTACCCTTTATTATGAAGCATATGTTAATCATAATATTATGATTTAAAGCTGTATGTTTCCTTTTAAAAACTAGGATACCAAAAACATTGAAAAATTAATGACTATGGAAGACATTTTTCTTGAAATTAAAAAAATCAAAACACATTCATATATATTATATAGATGAAAAAAAACAATCATAATACTGTAAGCTTATAACATGTATGCCCTTTGTAGCTAGAGGCCAATAAATATTATACATGTGTAAAGTGACTGTGCTTTTTATTTTGACAATGTTTCATTTTCAGGTCCTGTACAGTTTATTAACTGGGTCTGTATTCTTGGTACCCAGGGTAGGTATCAACTCTCGATTTTGTTTTCTTAGTTTATCTTCTTTACTGATGGGAAGGGGTTTCTTATAGGGTTGATAAACTCACCATTCAAAAAGAGAAGCTCTCTCTTCTATTCTTCATGTCGAGTACTCTTCTATGGCCAACCCTCCTTCTCTTTGATTTGTGTAATGATAATGAGAGTGGAAGAATTTTTAGGCATCTTGTGTACTTTAGATAGCATTTCATGTGTCACAAATTTAAAAGGAAAACTTCAAATCTTATCATATCTTGCCTTTTTGTAAACATTCATGCATCACATATTATTAATTTTAGGTTTTATTAATTATTTTTAGCACCCTCTATAATTGCTGGTTTGGAAATAGTTGAGGCAGGCAGGACGTATGTAGTATCAGGGTCCATTTGGGTCCTGGAAAACTTAGAAAGGAAATTTGCTTAACTCATTCACAAGCAATAAAGTGTTAAGAATTTTATGTTATAAGAGATGTATGTAGACCACAAGGAGAATTGATTTTGAAATCTTAGGAGTTAAAGGGTTTAAGGTGATATTTGGAGTCCTGGAAAAATCAAGCTGAGTCCTGGAAACATCCTTGAAATTTGTTACTGAAAAAGGGAACAAACCCTATAGTATGCAGTGCAAGAAAAAGAGGCTTTTAAGCTTTACTCCTCCCCATTTGTCTGATAAATGATTAGTTTTTAAAATGTTTTAGCAAATATGATGTCCTTACTTCAATTAAAAATTATTACAAATTTTTTCATCAGCTGCTTGTGTTATTAACGAGTCCATTATTAGCTAAGTTTGGCTCCTACAAGGTCATTTTGTGGTCATTCTATGTCAAGGTAAGAAATTATATGTATTTCTTGTACATACTACCATTTTTTTTAAAATTTGTTAATCATAATTTATTATGAACCAACAAAATGACCAGTTCTCAGTCAGCTTGTTAACATAGTCAGGCTTTATTTTCACTCCTACTTATTAAGTAGTGTTAACTACTGCAACAATGGCTTTTATTCATTTCTTGATCTGTTGTTCTCATACAATGAATATGATTTTCATAGATTCACAGTCATTTTAATAGCCTGTTGAGAAAGGCAAACATGTGTTTTGATTCAATGTTTCTAATGTAAAATACAGCCTGTTTGCATGGACATTCTTTGACCCATTATACCCTAGCACCAGTATACATATTCTCCATACTGTTCTCCATAAATTTCCTAAGGTGCTGACAAGGAGAATTTGCTAGTCACATTAAGGGTAGAAGGTTTTCATTTATTTAGCAACTTAAAATGAGATATGGAAGTAAACCATGTATATTAAATAATCATTGATGATGTGATCATTACTTTTTTGTATTGTTAGTGAAGAGTATTCAGTAAGCATAGGCTAGTTTTATATATTTATAATAAATTATTTTTTCCTAAGAACACCTAAGATCAACATTTATTTCAGTGAAAACAGCTAACAATTTTTTTCTTAACCTATTTACAGTTGTCACTGCCTGTAGTTGTATTTTTGGCTGGAAGGAGTAACATTTGGGCTCTTTACTTCTTTCTTATCATAGACAAGTAAGTTTTTATATCTGATGAAAATAAACTTAGATATTGGTTGTACGTATATCTGATAAAGGGGGAAGCTATTAATTAAAAGAAACTTTAGCGCTGCATTAGTTTGAATATTTCCAGTTAATGTGGTTTTATTAGCCACCATAAAGATTTTTTAAAGCATGAGTCCTTATGACATTAGCAACTCTGACAAAGGGCTAATGCTTGAAACTTCAGCTTTAGAAACTCATTATGGTGGCCAATTTACATCATCAACTCTGGTGACAAGACAAAATTATTTTGGATGTGATTCAATGTTATCCTTGGTTCAAATGTGAGCTCCACTTTTAGGCTTGGCTAAATTTATATATTATTTTCTTTTGTTTTTGGGTATTGTAATGTATGATAATGAGTTTGAAACAAAGGAAAATAAAATTTGAACCAAGGATAAAATTGAACTACAACATATTATGTACATATCATTTGTTCATTACTTAATATTGATCAATTGGGTAGTAATCATCATTGATCATTGGGTAGTAAAAAATCTTTAATTGATGAGTGGAATTATTTTGTTGGGTATTGTGGAATAATTGTGTCATAAGGCTGAGAGTTTGGTTCAAGGGTTTGCTATTTTGAGGGAAATTAATCATGATAAGCCAGCTCTCACAGTTTGTGTGTTGATTTCAGCTCTCTCCCTGATGCCACATTCTCATTGTTCAATCTATCTGTTTCTGACATAATTGATGCTGATATGGAAAAATACCAGAGAAAGTGAGTAAAGGACCTGTAGTTTGGGTTAAAAAAAAAAAAAGGTTAAGTCTGCACTCTAGCCAAGTGGCCCATGCAGCTGGAGCTTGATCGCCAGGTTTTTATAGTATGAAGCAACCAAGGAGTATTGGTACTCTCTCCTGGATGGGATACTAGTCCATCGCATGGTTACCCTCCAGCATTTCATTACACTTCCCTTACAATTTGTCAGGACCCATGTATGCTCCTGGGTAGACAGAGGCATTGTGACATTATTTGATTGAATGATAGTATATTTGGTTTCTTACAACTAAGTCATGATTACCAGTCATTTACAAGACATGTCTGGTTTTCATCAGTAACATACTTTCCCCCCTTGTTCTTAAAGTGCACCTGTGTCCTCCATGATATTCGGTACCAATGCTCTCTTTACCAAGCCAGCACAGTCTCTAGCACCAATGATGGTGGTACACATACTCTCCTGGTATGGATACAAGGTAAGATGCATTTTTCTTTTTGGAAGGTTTTTCAACAAGTCACAAATTTTAAATCTGTGGCATCAAGGCTCCTGATGACATGGATGGTCTAAACACTGGAAAAGAACACTTTTGTCAATGCTACTGTACTAAAATTTCTTGCAACACTGCAAATCCCAGACTAGTATCCAAATATTGGTAACTGTGAAGAAAATCTCCCTGGAAAAACCTGTCAGCTGACAGGTTACCAACAGGCCACTATCAAAAAACTTTGATGAAATTATGGTGAACTTAGTGTGCATTCAATTAATCTTTCTTTAAATGAGTTCCTGTTGCAATCTTTTGAATGATAAAGTGCTCAGGCGGTTAACAGTCATCTGACTGTCAGCTGACTGTCAGCTAACATGTCTTTTCAGGTAGTTCTTCATCACAATTATTCATTTAAATGATTGATACTTGAATGTCTTGTTCTAAGAATTTCATTGGACTACAACATGTGGCAACTTTTACTTGGTTGTTATTTTTGTACATTTGTTTTTGGCCATTTTGGCACTGTTAAATAATAATATGATTTGTTTGTTTCCAACTATCTTTGCAGGATACCCAAGGCAATAGTAAAGTCTCTTCAGGTAACAAGTACATGAATTTTTGAAGTCCAGTTCATACTAGTTACTTTTAATTTATGCTTGTTATTTATTCTTTGAATTAAATTACCTAAAGTATCACTCTGAGGTTAATGTCAGTGACAAGAGCTGGAACTTGAAAATGTGTTTTTGAGTAAGAGGTGAAAAATTTTCCCAAAGTATCACCTTTTCATGTTTCAATTCTCTATTATTTTCTCTGTTTTGTAAAATTTGAACCCAGCAAGAAGTTGAGGCATAACATGCTTGATGTAACTACCAACAACTTGGGTTACAACCTCTTTTTGTTCAATCATAATGGTTATTGGAAGCTTTCCAACAACATTTCATTTTGTTTGGATCAGTTCTTTAAACTCAACTCACATTTAATTTCACACATTAGTTACCAATCATTTTCTTTTTTTTTTCTTTTCAGGGTCACCAGGGCAACTTTTAGATGCTATGTTTTTCCTTTTGTGTATCATTCCTCTCATAATTGCTATGGTTCAAATTGTGGTGTGGGCCTTCTACCCTCTTAAGAGACCAAAAAAGGCTCAGGACATATCCAAGATTCTGTTATAAATACTTCTTACTAACTGAGTTCCATACTGTAAGTTACAGAGTGACCAAGTTTTTTTCCTCTAAGAGTTATGTCCCAAGCACAAAGTGCACAGGCCATAAATTAAAACAGAAAAATAGGGTTCCAAACTTGTGGTACAGACCAAGAAAGCAGTTTGGCAAAATATATATTATATCTCTGGGTTCAAATAAAGGGGATAGATTTAGATTCAAACAAACTTTATAGTATGAAAGAGTCTTGTTTGTTAACCTTTGGGTACAGGTACATAATCCTTGTGTCTTAACCCCTTTCCTGTCCATATGATGTACCAAGTGCATCACACAATTTGCAGTTTGCACACCTATGTGACATACTCAGTATGTTGAGAGTTAGTAACAGTGAATTTCCCAGCACTGGAGATGTAAAGTAACCTGGAGTTTCAAACACAAACAAGTAAGAACTCTGAAAACAAATAAGTAAATTTGCATCGGCACAGGACTTCTTAGTGGGGTTTGGCTGCAAAGGGGTTTAAAGACTAGTTTTTGAGAGGGTTTTTTCACTTATTTTCGTAGAAACTCAAATTTGTGTATTTCAAGATTCAGGAAATTTAGGAAGAAATGTTTATACTTTATATGTCCCTAAATATTTAGCTACTTAGGGATTAAGGAAAAGAAGAAGGAAAAAAAGCTAGAAGGAAAAAAAGTATTAAGTTCTTAATGATAGTCTGGAACAGGTTTTATTGAAAATAGGCCATGATATTCCATGAGTATTTACCATGTAATATTGGGCCAAAATGGAGAGATACATTCATTCTTTTAATATAAATATCACATGATGAGGAAGGGAATTAATCCAAAAGTTTTCAATTGTAATTAAGAGTAGTATTTTTTTCTGAGGTACAATGTTGTAGTGAAAAGATCCACACTGTAAAAAGAGCAAGTTATTGAATTATTCCATGTTAATAGAAAACACGAAGAGAAATAAAAGGGATAAGGTAATGAGCTGAAGAACATAAATTATAGTGGAGTTTGTTTGAATAAAATTGTCAATCGAGAATGGCAAACAGTTGATGTATTTTTCCCCTTGTGTTTTATCTGTTAGTGTTGCATTAATCCTCATAGACAATGTAAAGTATTTTGCTCTAGACAAATTAATTCAGCCAAAAAAAAATTGACTTTAGTGCGCCTCACTCTGAGAGATCCACAAAGCACATTAACATTACTTATTTAATTTTATTTTTTTTTTAACTCGCAAGTCAAAGATGCCCCTTATATACTTTGACTCTAAGCTCTGTGCTCAAATCGTGTCTTCAAAATGTTACTCATACTCTACAAAGGTTACTCAAGAAATGGTAAAGGTTTTGACTGGCTGCTGGACTCTTTATGTATCTGGTGACTTCATTACCAAGGCTTGACTCAATTATGATCATTACTTTCCAAGGCTAGATTAATTACTTTGGGATTATGACTGATCTCATCAAGTATGCAATGCACTGTTCCAATTTCTGTTGCAAAACTGTTTGGCCACTTTACAACCTTAAAAGCTGATCATACTCTATCATGTCATCATCATCTTGGAAAAAGCTGATTTAATACCGTGATGAAATTTAAATTTAAAATCTCCTTCTGAACACTCCATTACTACTCTAGCCCTGGGTATGGTGTAAAAAAATAATAAAATGCCATTCTAGTTAATGGCAGCACTGATGGTATTCAAACTATTGAGTTCATTGTTTTTGAAACCCTACTCGAGGAGCTAAGTGTATATGAAGAATGCACGTGTGAGTTGAATGTCTTTTATTTGTTTTGTTAGAATAAAGACACTGTTTTGTTTTTACTCTGACATTTTGGTATCAGAGGAAGGAGTTTTCCAATATACCTCTTAAGGAAACTAAGAAAGGTATAATACTTCTACCAAGGATGAGGAAGCTACCTGGACACATTTTTTCATGTCTTACATCAACCCTTGACACCCTAACATCAGTATGCATATTCTCCATACTGTTATTCATGGATTTCCTAAGGTACTGACTAGGAGAATTTGTTTAACAATCAAGAGCTTGTTAATTTGGTGATCTTTTTCTTCATTCTCATGACCTTAATGAGTGATTCAGGGGTGATATTGAAAGGAGAAAATAGATACTAGTCACTGTTAAGGGTCAAAGGGTTAATGGCTGACACACTTATCAGTATGTATCTTGGAGCTTGGAAAGTGCTGAAGACTGCACATAGCATGGCACTGTACTCAAAATTACAATATGTTAACTATTTAATTCCCAAGATCTGATTAATTATCCCCTCAAACTGCTAAACATTTCCTTGTAAATTAGTAGAAAAATTTTGGTGTTTGATCAAAATGACAACTTCTACCTGATAAGTTGGAGTAATCTCATTACCTGTTTACTAGAGAATGTATGGATATTATAAGGAGAAGCTACCTGTCGATCACTTCCAAGAGTTGAAGGGTGAAACTTTCTTGAGGGATATAGCTGTGCAATCTACACCTCAACCATAACCATGGGTCATAAATAAGATTTTAAACATGGCAAAATTTGTAAGTTACACTGAATAATAACCTCACTACTACAGACATCAGCTGAAGATTTGGGCAAGATGTGACAGTTCAACCTTTAACCTCGGTACCCAATATCACCAGCATAAAAATTAATAAAATTGACATTCTACAAAAAAGATACACAAGCCTACTAGACCCTATGTGTACAACTCAAAGTCAATACGTTTTGAATTATAAAATGGTCCACTGTCTTCCCCAACTTTTCGCACCCAGACTCCATCGCCAAAACACCCTTGATCATTCCAAATTAACATGTATGTTGATGAATATGGTCCATAAACAGTAGCATCTTTTGTATTTTCCCATTTGTAATGCCAATAAACCTCATCTTCATTTGCTGATTCTGCTTTGATGTCATCAGAACTCTCGGTCTCCATGACTGTGTCCTCATCCTCTCCTCCGCCTTGTCTAAAAGCAGCCTCCAGAGCATCATCTTCCTCGGCTTCCTGTTGTTTTTCTTGCATAGTTTTGACTTTGTGAGCCAATTTTTCAAGTGTATCTTGATAAATACCAAAGTAACCCTTCTGAAGCAGTTGATCTGCTAGTTCCGTGAGTTTTAAAAGTTTCTGTTTGTCTTCCTCGGAAGTTGAACCCTCGTTCTCCGTAGCCTTCGGCTTCTTCGATTTTGGTTGCCAACGTGCACTTGCAGACGAGTTGCGACCACTTTCTTTTCCACCGAGACGTCTGAGAGCTTTTAAGACGGTCTCACCGGGCAAAAGCATATCTATAATATCTTTTATTGCTTGAATATGATCACTTGGTTCGTCGGCATCTTCAAAGATACCATTATCACCATCACTAACATTCTTCTGAAGCTTGTCACCCTGTTCTTTGATTTTGACCCAGTCCAGCGAATCCAGCCATTCATCTCGAATAACTTCCTCTTTTTTCTCAAAGTAGTTTCCCTCTGCGTCGAAGTGGCCCTCTTCCATTTCTTCCTTTAAATTAAACGGCGTTATCTTGATTCCTTCGTCGTAATCGATCGTAGCGTCCTCTTGTCCTTCCAAATCCTCCTCGCGCAAAACATACTTCTCATCATCTTTGCCTCCATCGTTGTCATCACCTTCTTCGTCACTGTCCAGAGAGTGCGCTTTGATTCTTGCTGGGGTAGATTCTACCAGAATCTCCTCGCTCTCTTTATCAGCAAACTGCACTTTACGTTTCGACATTTTGATTGCGAAAGAGAAAGAAAAATGGCGGAAGTGCGTATTATTATCCAGACCTCCTCAGGCCGCTTTGTTTGGTCACGTGCCCTTCGGCCTAAGGGCACGTGACGGCCCAAGAAATGAAAAAATTTACAGATGTCGATAGGACAGGAGTATAATATGCCGAAAATGAACTTTTCATTTTGATGTAAGTCTTCTTAGGAATTCTTTAAAATTAGTTTCATCTTTCAGCATATTTTTTAACCAGAATAGAGAGATAAGAGCGGAATCGTCCCTTCTGAAGACGAACTTCAATTGCTTTGTTTATGTGACATTCAGTCATGCAGATAGCTACTAATGACTAGATGATTACTGGACGGGAAGATCTGCCATACACCGAGAATTTTGGGGTTGAAGTTGCTCGTCGTTAACGAAGTTGCGAATTCAATATGGCAACCGGAAGTTGGAGTCACCCTCCTCGGCCATTTGATGATGTAGATGTGGAAGCGATCGATACACTGTCCCTTGACTTTGGACGTTTTGAAAGAGTTAACAGATGGAAAGGAATGCCGGAATGTGACGAATTTGTTGGAGCAAGGTATCAACTAGAGGGCTTATGAAGATCATTTTGAGATAAATGGCAATGGGACCCCCCACCCCCTCCCCTCCCCTCCCCCCGGCCATTATGGAAGGCAACTCTCGGCATATGGTCGTTTGGAATTTTCTTTTCAAAGGAGCTTAAAACAGTACCCCTTTTTGATACCCAGAAGACTGGAAATTACAGTTCAGATTTCAAATTTTTTCAATAGAGTGTACCTATATCTCCCCCACTGCCCCCTAGGGAAAAAGGACCCTCTTCCAGGGGAAACTGCTGGTTACCCCATCAGCAGGCACTTATAGAAAAAGTCAATGAAACCCCTGCTTTCAATAACTTTTTCATGAATTTCTACATGTAAGATAGTTTTTGTTTCACTTTCTAGACGAAGCAAACATACTCTTGTTGCCTGGAATGATGCATTGTATGTTTTTGGTGGTGACAATGGGTAGGTAAATATTTTTTTATTATTATGTCTATTTAATTATGTATTCATTCCATTTTATTAACCTGCAATTTTTTGTTGCTGTTAATAAATTTTAGGGTTCACCATAAATCTTGATGTAATTCTGTCTAATTTACAGAAAGAGAATGTTAAATGACATATTGCGATTTGACATCAAAGACAACTCATGGAGCAGGTAAAGTGGAGTATTCAAATTGACCAATAATCTATCCTGATTGACTGTTTTATGTTAATGTCAACATGATAGGGTGCCATTTGGAAAAATCTTCCTAGTGCATGCTACTTCAAAAGGAACCATGGAAACGTATATGCCACTGCCAAGCTTATTAAGTATATATATTCTGAAAGTTGACACTCTTTCTCTTGGCAGGCATGCAGAAGCCTTTTAACACAAAAATTATTTTAAAGGTTTTTCAGTTTTTTTCTACCAATAAAATAAACTGCTTTCTCTAACTTAAAAGTGAAAAAACCCCATTATTTTGAAATTTGTTACAGATTTCATTGGAAGTAATCTTTCAAAACAAGCGGACACATAAACATGATGTTATATTTTCCATGATTTGAAACCTAACAAAGTCTATTTATACTATTCAGAGCAGTAACCAAAGGAACTCCACCAGCACCTCGCTATCACCACTCAGCTGTAATATTTGGATCCCACATGCTGGTGTTTGGAGGGTTTACAGGTTATATTTTGTTATCATTGAGTAACAGGTAGTTTTTGGTTGGTCGTCATTTAGACAATTGGTTTAGTGCCATCCTCTCAATGAACCTTTTACACCTTAAGTAACATCAGTATGCACATTCTCCACACTGTTCTTTTATACATCTCTCAATGTGCTGATAAGGAGAATTTGTTTACTAATCCAAAGTTTCCTTCCCTGGTGATCATTTCCTTTATTCTCATGACCTTAATGTGTGATTCAGGAGTGGTATTGTAGGGAGAAATTAGTTGCTAGTCGTTCTCAGGGTTTAAAGGTTTCCACATGTGCTAAACTAAAACCAAGCATTTGCTCTGATGAAGGGCTAGTGCTTGAAAAGTCAGCCTTAAAACTCTCTATTAACTTGGTTGATAATTCTTAAGTACCCCTGTTTAAACCAAGCATAACTTGTTCTCCCACACTCTTTGCTGTTTTCCTTACTTTTAGGTCTCAGTGGCTAATTATGATATTGACTTTGGTTTTGATTGGCTGTTTAACATTGTGATAACTCTGAGTTTGGTATTTTAACCTTCAATTGAAAACTGCTCCCATTTATAAACTAACAAATAGATTCCATGTTGTTGTGCATCTGTTCAGTAAAAGCAAAAAAGTGGTACACAAGGCCCTGTCTAAGTGTCACTGAAGTTCTTGACCCTTTAGCCCCTAAGAGTGAAGAGCATCTAATTTCTCCTTACTATATCACCCCTGAATCAGACACAAAAGTCATGAGAATAGAGGAGATGATCATCAACTTAAGCAGCTCTTGATTGTTAAACAAATTCTCCTTGTCAGCCTCTTTGGAAATGTATGGAGAACAGTATAGAGAATATGCATACTGATGTTAGGATGTAAAGGTTTAACTCTTACCTCTTCGATGATCTATTACTATACAGACCCACAACAACATAGAATACATTTTTTTTGTATGATAACCAAGCAAATTGTTCTCAGTTACAATGCCATCTATGCATCTGTCCTCCAATAGATCATAAGATCTTAATAAAAAACCAATCAAAATGAATCCATAATTCAGCTTATCATACTTATGAGAGTGTTACCCACAAGATTTTTTCAGAGCTCAGGAATACTGAATTTTTCAATGTTAATGTTTGTTGAAGGTGACCTTTACTCAAATTCTAACCTACAAAACAAGAATGACCTATTTGAATACAAATTCAGTACTGGGCAGTGGTCCGAGTGGCGCTTAGAAGGAAGGTTTGTGATGTTATATTTTAAGTCATGCTTGATCTTATCCTCAAAATTCATGGACCAAAGAATACTTGGTTTGTATATTAGTCTTAAAGTTTGAATTTTCAAAAGTCAACATTGAACAAAATACCTCTGGAAAAAAGGCTTGTGAAAGTGAATTGGCAAATTGAGGAGTTTATATCCTAGAGTTCAGTTTTGGAGTCTATTTTTTGTACTGAATTATTAAGATATTGACATTGGATGATTTCAACAAGTTAAGAATAAGTTTTTGGATCTAAGGCAGAGGTTTTACAGCAAAGTTTAGATTCTTAGGGCAGAGGCATTTAGGAACTGGAATCAGGAAAAATTATTGAAAGCAACTACTTAATCCATGACCTCAAAGTCTGGTCTGGCTAGTCAAATTCAGCAAATATTGCTGTATATTTGTAACCCACTTTCCTCCATTCACGCAACTTTTAAAATTTCCTTGTCATTTTAAATATGTTTAATGATTTTTTCCTCATTAGATTGCCTCCTGCAAGATCTGCACATGGTGCAGCAATCTATAAGAACAACTTGTGGATCTTTGCTGGTTATGATGGCAACAAAAGGTTCTTATCTGGTCATGTTAATATTACTGAATGTCTCTTGAAAAAAAAAAAAAAAAAAAAACAAAACAAACAGTGGCAAGTCCTCTCAGGCACATCTCCTATATTGTAATTGACAACAAAAGTCTAGTATTTAGGTCTAAAGGTACTGCACAGTGGTAAAGCTAAATGATTTGATATGGAATTATGTATATTTCATTTTAGGTTAGATGATCTTTGGACCATTTGTTTGACAGATCCTAACCCAGTGTGGCAGGAGGTTGGTGATCTGTTTTTGTACTGTACCAGCTGTGTAGATATTTGTATCACTGTAGGTGGAAAACAATTGAAGGCAGTTTTACCAGGAGTGAAACCTGTAAAGCAACCACACCTGTCCACCAGAAAAAGAAGGAAGTATCTCAAATGGCCAATGAAGATGCTATTATAGCATATGATGGGTGGCAATCATGAATGACGAATTCATTAATGCAGAGCTCTCAAGTTGATTTGTCATCAAAGGGGAAATTTTTTCAGTTGCATAGCCTTTGATTGTGATGCTGGGGGCATTACTTCCTTGAGGGGTATGGGGGCATACTCCCTCAGAGAAAAAATAAAGTTGCTAAGACATGCAGTCCTTTATTCTGAGCAAGAATTTCCATCACTGTAAATTGTTTGAAGTGAGTACAAAGGGAAGACATTGTAAATTACAATTAGAAGGATAATTAATTTTATAGTTACATAATTTAAGCAGCAGTTTGCTATCTCAAAATCAAAAGTTTAAATCAGGAACCTTAAATGTGTGAGAACAACTAGTTTCAGCATGAAAGTGTAAGACTGAATTCATTTGTATGAGTATACTGCTTTAAAATGTGTGAGACTTCAGATCTTTGTGATTGGTTTTATGATTGGTTACTTTTCCATCTGATTGCTGGAGAGGGTGGCAGAATATTTTTAGACCAATCAAAAGGTGCAATGAAGCAAAAACAATGCAGTCCTGGATTACTATCAACATTGCATTGAAACATACTCTGAACCTCTTCAATCTTCAGGTGCAGCAATCGGGTGACAGGCCACCCACTTGTTGTAACTTTCCTTTAGCTGTTGTGAGGGACAGTATGTTTGTGTTCTCTGGTCAAAGTGGAGCAAAGATTACAAATGACATGTTTGAGTTCAGTTTCTTGGATCATAGGTAATAGTGGAAAGTTTTGAAGTTTGAAATATTCCTACTAGAAACAATTTAAAATTTGTGACGGAAGATGTGACAAGTGGTGAGTGGAGAGAGAGCCATAACTTAATTTGATCAGAATTTCTTGTCAGCTTTACTGTTTTTTGGCAGTATATCATTTTGAAAAGGGATTCTTGGTCATGCTGGGTTTGAATATGTGTAGAAAAAAGGGTCAAAGTTTTAATCAGTTTTGGAATAAAAACAATTTGGCTCAGATTAAATTTGAACTATAAATTACCGGTTTTATGCATTATATGGAACCAAGGCCTGGAATTGGGTATGTTTTACTAGACAACTTCTTCAATGTTTCTTGGTTAGAAACTTTCTTATTTCAGGCAGAATAAGGCAAGGTTTTTAGAAAGCTCGTTTTACGGCTAGAAACTTTAGCCGTCAGGCGTAAAAATTGACAAATTTTAAGCGTTAGTCGTGAAAAAAGGTAACCGTTAAAAGATTTCTGGTGACAATTTTGGAATGATATAAACTGTTCGCCGTAAAATGGCCAAATGTTCAACCATTAGCCATAAAAAGCCGCCACCCTATTGAAACCTTCTCACATGCGCCATTTTACGCCTCTCTTTCACCAGGTGGACTCGTATTCCTTCTGCGCATCTGTTACGCGGTTCACCCCCTCCCCCTCAGAGGCGTTATGGTCATAGCATGGTGCCATTTGACCGCTATTTGTACGTGTTTGGAGGAGTTGCAGATAATACGTTACCATCAGATCTATACAGGTAAGGGTATATATTGTATGTAACGGAAGTCACATGCCACCAAAGGTAGTCTCAAGAGTTAGCAGTGACAACCAATCTATTTATGCTGGCTGGATATAGCTTTCCAAAAGGCAGCATGGGACCTCGTAGAGCACATTTCGTTTGAGTGTCTTTAACCCTTCAAATTTGATCTGGGAGTTTAAGGATTAAGGCAAAACCAAAGTAATCGTGAGGGCCAATCAGAGCCGAGGTAAGTGAGAATTCCAGTGAACAAGTCACGATTGGTTTTATTTTTGCTTCTGATTGGTTGAGAAGATGGTGTCGTGAGTTATTTAGACTAATAATAGAACGAAGTAAAGAAAAACCAATGCATTACTTAATACTCTCAATTTAAACTTCACCAACGAGATGTTTGTATAGCTAGGTGCAATTTTTTTGTCTTTATTAGGTTTTCTCTTGATGATAAATCTTGGGAGGTTGTTCAACCGGCACAAGATAGTGAGGTAAGACTGAACCATTCGGAGGAATGAGTGTTTCCCGCGCTTGTTCATGTTTAAGAACGCTTTTCAATTGACATAGTAATCACAATGGCCAATCAGAAAAAAGTAAAATACCCTAAAGAGCCAATGAGCATGTAAGGTGAAAAATAGCCAACTGTCTAAAGCGCGGGAAAACGCCGGTGACGAAGTCGTGATTGGGTTTGGGTTTGCATCTGATTGGTTGAGAGAGAGTCGCGAGTTTTCTGGACTCATCACAGAGCGAAGTAGAGCAAAACCAATGCAATTCTGAATACTTTCGACGCTGAATTGAAAACTGATCTAAACATACATGCATAAAAAATACTCGTTTCGAAAGGCTCGAGAAATTGTTGCCTCGTGAGCTCAAGAATGTTGAGGCTCGTTTATTCATCACTACAAAGTCATTTATTAACATCCATGTTGGTTTTGTTCAAGTGAATGCGTCAGACAAGACTTACAAGCATTTTGTAGTTCCATCCTGGTGTTGCTTTTTTAGCAGGGCTAATGTCTACAGAAAAGGCTCTCTGAGTAAGATTATACCCTCAAGAGACTAATTCCGGCTGAGAATATAAAAGTTTTGTCCTATTTCTTTTTAGGTTCCGTCAGGACGCCTCTTTCATGATGCGGATGTTATCAACAATGAGATGTATATATTTGGTGGCACTATTGATAACAACATACGAAGTAGCGAACTGTACAGATTTCAGGTAGGGAAACGGAAGGGAATTGGATTAGTGGGCTTTTAGAATAATAGTTACATATATAAGTTGCATGCGTGTTCATTCCTTCCTTGTTCCGGCCTGTCTTAAAATCTGTTCATCCATCTTACTCTTTAAGTCTGGAACAAGCCGTTTTTGATGACAATACGCCATGATATTTTGTACTGATTATAAGTTAAGTACGAAAACTGCCCTTGATTATATGGAAGTTGGGAGACAATAGCTTTCCAGAGAAAGGAACGACGACATGATGACGATGGTTAAGTAAACAGAAAATTAAAACGGCAAATGATAACAATGGAGAAATTCCTTTTTCAAAAGTGATTCGAGAATTTTCTAGTTATGTCCAACTGGACACAAAGCTGACTTGTTGTTATAAACATTTTTACCCCTGCAGTTGGCGAGTTATCCCCGTTGTACTCTCAGGGGTGATTTTGGTCGGTTGTTGGACAGTAAACAGTTCTGTGATATGGTCTTCATTGTTGGCAAGGTTAGCGCAATAATCTTCTTGTAGCTCGTTTTATTTAATTGCAAAATTATTTGTTTATTCTCCACTGTTTCTTTTCTGCCTCTTAGAAAGGAAACGTATTCAGCGATCGTGTATTTTAAACTTCTTGTACTGGAATTATGTTATTTTTTTTGTTAGGAAGAAACTCAGTTCCCGGCCCACGCGGCCTTTGTTGCGGCTAGGTCGCCGTGGCTGAGGAAACAACTGTTGCGTGCTAGGGAAAAGTTGAAGGTCAGACAATTAGCCCGCTGTTTAGTTTTGGTATTTGCCGTGTTTCTATTCAGTTATAGATCACAGGTGATTCTCAAATAGGGTAAGAACAAAGAGAGGGGACTTGAGCTGAATGCTAGTGTGTGAAAGAAGTGCGCTTTTTCAGTGGAAAAAAGATAAAACAATACCTCAATAAAGTCAGCCTCGTTTCTGAGCTAGTACAAATAATTGGAAGGTGTCAATCACGTAGTGCGTGGTATTCATACCTATGTAAATAACAATAAGGCTCAAGAGAGTCAGCTCTTTGGTGGAATGTTTGCATACCTTCCTTCAACTCCCCTTGTTTGAGTGTTCTTTCGTGATATTTGTATGCCGCCTAAGGATACTAGCCATTGTGGGGCTGTAGACATCGTAGAAATGCTCCAGCTGTATGATAACTCTCGCGTTCTCTGACTTTAGAGAGCAAATGGAGACAGATATCAGGATCAAGAAGTGGGAAAACCGGAAGTAAAGCTGCCGGAAGTCGAAGTTCAGTCCTTTGCGGTGACGCTTCGTTATATGTATACAGATTGTATTTTCCCATTAGTGAAAGGTGATGATTTTTTTCCCCTTCGTCATGTACTTAGTTCAAAACATCGGTAGACAGACCAAAATAGTTGAAATTCAACCCTGTTAACGTTGCTTTTAAAAGTCTGTCATTAAAATCTTAATCTGACTTTCAGGTAGACTATAAATACTGTTTGAAAAAATCTTTCACTAATTCCAAACAGATTGCCAGGGTTCACAGGAAATAAGTCTGATCATGGATGTGTACAGGTTGGCCCTAAAGGTAAGATGGAGACAAGTCCACGTGAGCTCTTTTTGAACGTCAACGACCTCACAAAGTTAGTAGCCTTGTAGTTTCGCTAATAGAGCAGTTAATTGAATAATTTTTAGAAACAATTTTTCCTACAGGAGAGAAATACACATCTCTTTAGAGTGTCGAATGTAATAACAAAGACGAAGCTTGATTAAGATTAGACCTTTAAAAAACGAACAGAAAAAACTAAAAACACAAACAGGCTGAAATTTCAGGTATGGCACGCTTCATTGGAACGTTTTTTTTCAACTCATGTGCTATGAGAAATAACCATCGATTGTGTGACAGCGATTTGTAACGTATATATAACTCTTTTTGACCAGATGTTTCATGGCCTTTTGTGTAAGCGAGCCCCTATGTCGGTTAATCAAAATAGGTACACGAAAAGAGCAGAACTGAATTTTGATATGCTCCTTTTCCCAGCTTGAGATTGGTGCGCTTGAAGCGCTTTGTGTACAGTACATCGAGTCTTCCATCTGTCAAGAGAACGTTCTTGTAGCGCTCGATAGCGCCGCCCGGCTGCAGCTGGATCCACTAAAGGTTTGTGTTTTAACTTTGGAGCCAAGTGAAGCTTTAGACTGCTTTAAGGCTTACCTTACCCCGGTTTTTTATTAATTTATTTTTTAATGAATATATAAGTCGTATGGAACACCTCATTGAATTTCTAATACGAATCGTTGGAACTGTACTTTACCTCTCCGATTAAGGCTTACCTTACTCCGGTTTTTTATTTATTTATTTTTTAATGAATATCTAAGTCGTATGGAACACCTCATTCTCGGAGACCCAGGAGCTGTGAGTCGATTTGAAGTCAGTGCGGGAGAGCCCCTGGAGACATTGCCCTACCAGAGCTCCCTGTCTTGAAATCGACTCACAGCCCCTGGGTCTCCGAGGATGGGAATACCTCGACAGGGGAGTGTGCCGAGAATTTGATCAATCGCCAGTGAATGAACACAGAAGGGAGGGAAGGGAAAGGAGATAATGAGACAAACGAGCATTCTCCCCAAAGGAGAATGCTCTACCTAATTTTCTCTTTCGTTTTTTGTTTTTGTTGTTGTTTTCACAGGATTTCTGCCTTCGTTTCATTGTTCGTGAGGCAAACTACAACAACATCATTATGAGCAAGAATTTTGAGTCTGTACCTCAGAAACTTATGGTTGAGATTATCCGGAGACGGCAGGTTCCACAGGTAAGAAGGATAGCGCTTGTTCTTTTCCCTTATGTAAATATGTTGTCATTTAACTAAATAAATATTGGTTATTCACTTTCCTTTTTTCAGGCGATGGCTCATGTTCCGGGAGAAAATCAGTGCAGATCGACGCACCCAGGTACTTGTCAACAATTTAGCGTTCAAGCTGTTTAATCTTTCCATTATTCTTTACCACTCTCCTATGCCACTCTTATCACTGATCATTCTGAATATTTTTTTCAGAAAAGACCCTACAACAAGACATGATGGAGTTTTTCCAGGGCGCGCGCGGTGAGGATTTCCATGACATCACTTTGATGTTGGACGGGGAACCAATCGGAGCACACAAGGTAAGACACAGTTGCTGTTGTCATTTTCTATGTCACAGCGTTTGCATTATATTTAGAGAAATACCTCTTGGAAAGTTCGTCTCAGAGAAGATGTTGAACCGCAGTTTTTCGGGAGAGAAGGAGTTTCAAAGTACTTCGCTTCCCTAGAGCAGCAAGTGGACTTAAAAGTAGCTTGTGGTTTATCTCGCCAATGGGGTCTGTGCCACTCACTCGGCTGGTTGGTTATCCCACAATTGAATTGTATTTAATCCAGTGGATTCGCTCTAATTGAGTTCGCAATGTTAATGTAAGGAGATCCCGTTGTTTCAGAGGCGCAAATGAAGCTAAAATTCTTAGTAACCGTTTTAGAAATTTCTCACGGTACTTTAATGATCAATGACCAGGAAGATTCATTAAGAAGTAAAAATAGACGCCATTTTAAACCCCCCCTCCCCTCATTTGGATCGAACCCCCCTTGATTGGGATAATTTATTTTATGTTTTCTAACCAACTGTTCTTTACGTATTCTTTCTCATTAGGCAGTGTTGGCTGCAAGATGCAGGTAGGGCGTTCAATCTCTATTAGCTTCTTACACCTTTAATTCTTTCTCAGGCGAGCAGATCGAAAGATATAAAAACAAAAATATCAGCTAAGGGATGCCACCAGAATGTAACGGAAATACTGAGTTGGAATTAAGTATGTGGCAATCAAAGTGGCTCTCCGCAGTGAGAAACAGAACTGACCCACATACTGACCAACAGCAACGATTGGAAAACAACTGGAACTGCCTATGGCAGAGCTCTATCCACTTATCAATCGACGAGCTCTTATTAAGGCACCTCAACCATTAGGAAAACGATCTACTTTAACTGAAAGGTTCGACGAGGTTTTCCAGACGCTTCTGTCAATCACCAGCTTCTGTGCGGAAAATTTCCAGTATTACTCATTGAGACTAAAATATGAAGTTAGAATTAAGTAAAAACGTTAAATGCCAGGTAAAAAAAACAGTAATTTCCTGAATAGTAAACCTGTTTCAATTACCTTCTACTTGGTTTGCTTGCTCTGCGTCGACCAGTAGCGAGAGGTCTGGGTACGAGGCAGCTAGGGGTGATAATGTTAGCTGATGTTTTCTTTTCGTTTATTTCCTTTCGTTTTCTTTACAGTTACTTCGAGGCAATGTTTCGATCATTTATGCCCGTGAACAACACTGTAACAGTAAGTTATATAATCCTATTCAGTATTTTCAACATACTATCCACCACTCATTCACAAAATGATTGATTTCTTTGGGTGCCCTTTGATTTTAAGTTTGGTTTTCGATTGCAGTGTGTCTCATCCTGGAAGTGAATCTGAAATTAAGTTTAAATAAAACTTGAGGCTAAAAAATAGTGACTAACATATTTCGTATGCGTTTGATAAATTTAAACCTCAAAGTTTAACTGCTGTGAAATGAATTGCAGAATTTGAAGCCTGAATTCAGGCTTCGATGAGGCTCCAGCTCATGCCTCTTAGATGTCTTTTGGGCGTGATGAAGCCACATCTCGGGAGAGAGGCAAATGTTCTTCGTTTTTTTTCCCATTAGATTACAATTGGCGAGACGATTCCGTCGCGAAAGTCATTCAACTCTCTCCTTCACTACATTTATCATGGTGATGTATCAATGCCTCCGGAGGATTCACTGTATCCTTTACACATTTTTAACAGTGACCTGTACCTTTGTAATTTCTTCTTAATTTTTTATTCTCTCTATTTAGTTAACGTGGGATAAATGGTGGCTAAACGTTTGTTTCAAAGCTACAGTTTGCTGTTAATCAGCGACCGCGCAAAAGGAGTATTTTGATCTGATAATGAATGATTATCAATGCCCTGCGGCTGAGGATTTGACCCCGTGACTACCGTGATAATAAAGTATGTGGTAGGGTAAGGGGTTTGGACGTAATCGCTTCACAATACTTGTGCATGCATGCAGGTTTGATATTTTCCTTTACCCTTTACAACCTAAACTTAGCTTTTATTGTTATTCACCACGATGAATAACCACAACTTTTTTACAAAATCATCATGCATATTCTCCATACTGTTCTCTGTACATTTGCTATAGTGCTGACAAAGAGAATTTGATTAACAATCAAGAGCTTCATAAGTTGGTGATCATTTCCTTTATTCTCATTACCTTAATGTGTGGTTCAGGGGTGATATTGTAAGGAGAAACAAGATTCTTGTCACTTTTAGGGGTTAAAGAGTAAAAAAGTATTTCCCTTGTCCCGTCCGATCGGCCTTAAGTTTTTAATTTCCAGTTTAAACTGCTAAGTCGCTGAATGTTAGGACTGTCACTTTTAATTATGTGCAGATATTTCAGTGTTCAACTATTGTCTTTGAAACTGAGTTTTCTTTTGTTTTGCGTTAACTCTTTTCAAAAGATATCTTTTGTCTGCTCCTTATTTCTTCGGTTTCACCAACAACCGCCTTCAGGTTGGTATTGAAGAAATGTAAAATGGTTTCCGGTTTCCACAGAAACCATTTTACATTTCTTTTATAAAATAACTAATGAAAGAGGAACGAAAACCGTGTTTACATACGCTCATGTAAATGGTTTTATGGCCAATCAGAGCGCGCGTACTATTTGAATTATTTTATAATTAGCATGGGTGCATGGTTCTTTATTTATTAGCAGCCCTTGATTTGGCCAAGCAGTGACCCTTATTTACTAGATGTGCATCTTGACATGATGAACTAAAAGGACTAATGTAATAGTTTTGGCCTATCAGGGCCTAGTCAAGTGAACCGCGAAAAAACAGCGGCTAACGAACATAAAAAAGGAGAAGCAAGCTTCAGAAACTATTAGCTGTTATATTTACATTTGAAGGAAAATGTACATGGTGTGACCCGGACTGCCTTCAAGATTCTGCAGAGTAATCAACTTGTTTGAAAATTTTCTTCAACACGACTATGAATTTCTACTCGCTATGCCGCCCTTTTGAATCATGTTCAGAAACCTGGTCTCTTGCCCATATGCATGATAAGAGGAAGTGGCACTCATTTTTTTCTCTCTCTCTTGGCGATCTGTTTTTGAACAACTGGAGCTACATAAGGAGGCATGCTGAACTCAGATAGTAATTTTTTGGTTACAACCTGATCAGCAGCTGTTTGATAACTGCATTGTGGTTTGAGTCATTTTGGAGCGCCATGAGTTCGCGGCCGGTATTGAGTTGTCCTCGAAATGGCGTTGCCCATATTTGAGTTTTTAGCACGTTGTAAGACCATTTCGAAACAACTGGATTGTTTAATGACGGTCATATGGTTTCTGGAGCTCTCTTGTTCTTTCATCAGAGAAGTTTTCGTCAGGAGTGGTTGAAACTCTGGGTGAAAGCTCTCGGTAGTTGCGAAAGAATACCTGAGGGGATTCGTATGTAGAGATTTGATGGCTTGAGATAAACTTGAAAGTGACTCTGATGATAGTATGTTCATGTCTACGAATCTACACGATATCTGAGATGTCAATCATTTTTTTCTTTTTTTATTTGATAGGCATTCTGTAAACAGAACCTTGAAATGAACGTTTCATTTGAAAATGTAGTCGAGGTAAGAGAACGCATTGTTGTTATTGTTTAGTGGAATTAGCGAATCTGGGGCGAGGGTTCGAAAAATGATTCCTGCCTTGGTGCCATGTGCGATTGATTGTTGCCGACTAATTATCGAATTACGTGACCATTGACAGTGATACACACGTCATGTAGTGGTTTCATTTAGTTTTTTTCAACCATCTGTATGGTCTATGGTACGCAGGATAACCCTTCCCCCGAGTTACGCTGACTGAACTAACTTTTCATTTATTCCTTTGAAAAACTTAACCGACCATTCACATAAAGATGGCGAACTCGTCTCGGAGTGCGAGACTCTCGGAAGGGCGAGTTGTCTTGCCATGGCGGGTAGGGTAACCCTTTCACGCGGGACAATTTTTTCTCATGTAAATACTTCGGCTCGCCTTCCCGAGACGATGCGGCTCAAATTTTTTTTCCAATTTGTAACCTGCCATGCTTTCACGAGAGAGACCGGTGAGGGACAGCTGATACATCTCACAATTCCATATAAATGCTCCCTAAAGTTGGGGAGGGGGGGGGGGGAAGGGTTGTGTTGGGTACCCAAGACTAAATAAGAGGGGTCTAGATATACGTTCTGTAGGCCAGCACTTCTCTGTGGCTCTAATCATTTATGAAAACGGTGTCTGTATGGCGGAAACGTGTGTGCCACAATTGTTTGTTTGTTTGTCTCGCTATCAGTTTTGACATTATTTACTTGATTCATCAGCGTCCCATCTAAGTGAGGTAACAATAATTCCATTATTTTCATTTTCTGAATTTATACGTGCCTCCTTATTTGAAACAGATTCTCGAAGCGGCTCATAGGATTGGAGCTGCGGACATGAAGAAACATGCTCTGGATCTTGTGGTTGGACATTTTGTGAAGGTAACCGAGGCATTGAAATTCATGGATGAGGAGGCGAAACGGTGTTAGAAATGGTTCCTGTGCTCCGGCGAAAATTTCAGTAATCAAAAATCCAAGAATAAGCTTTCTTAGACGCAACAAGCAAGTACATGGTCTGAACTCTTCCCATACTCTGTTTCTTTCCACTTTTTTGCGTCTGAAATCATAACTCATCTTGTCAACTTTACCATGCTGACTAAGGAGGCCTAATAATGTCGAAACAGCTCAAAACGCTGCTACCTCCTAGGGCTCTTTTTCATCTTCGTTGTTAGCTAAGATCATACTATTGTTATTACCATTTAACATCCTAGTGCACCTCATGTTGCATCAGCTGACTGTTTTCATCATTTTTTTTCCTTTTCTCGTGATAGCCAAATAGTATAATTGTTCTATAGTGGGTTTTCAGTTATTATCTTACACTTCCTTTATCGTGCATTTGAAAATTTGGTCATTGTAAACTGATTCTGCTTTATCTCTACCTTTGTTGCCCACTGAAGGTCGCCAAATCTCCAAACCTCAGGAGACTAAGCCGAGATCTACTCCTAGAGATTCTGGACGCCATAGCAGACTATTTAAAAGATTCAAACATTGCTGTTCACCCACGGTGAGGAGTCTTCCGCCAAGATCACTTCAAATCAGCATGCTACAGTTGTTTTCAAGATGGGACTGGATTTCCACCTTGTAAGTCGTCTGGCACAGCCTGCCGAAGTCTGGGCACAGCTCAAGGGATCCTTGGATGTGGGTGATCCATTTTTATCAGGAAAAGTGCCCTATTAGGCCCAACCTCCTGGGAAATGCCGCTTACGCTCCTGCATGACGAGGCAAGGACGAGAGGAAGGAGAAGATCGTACCATAATGGAGCTCAGTTCAGAGACAGCTGGGCCTGTCCAAACTTAGTTTCTATGAAAGTTTACGCATTCTTATCATTGTTGGATGTTTTAAAACCTTGAGGATTTATTTATTACAAACCGGAGAGGTTAACGGAGCATTTTGAGATAACAACTTTCTCTAATATCTTTGTTTGTAATTTCAGTTTATTTTCAGGGTTTGGAACAACTCGTAAATCACAATTTCAAAGGTTGTTCGTGGTGATTCGTGCCGCTAACCTAGGGAGCATCAATTGTTTGATGACAACGATTTTGAAAAAATTTGAGTGAGAAGTGTTTTTTTTTCATTTGCATTTGAAAAATTAGACTCGTTACACAAAGCTTGGGCAGGTGCATCTTAGTATTTCCGCTCTTTGTCCCTTAATTTTGAATGATAAACACCTCTCGGGAATATATTGGAGTTTCTCCACCGTTCGTAATTTAACATTTTTTGGAATTAATTACTAGTCAAAAATAGATTTTCCCTTTTTTATTTCAAAACCTGAGTTTATCGCTGGGATATCGGTTCCACAAACAATGTTCTATATTCAAAAATTAAAAGCGTACGAATGTTGAGTTTAAGTATTGAGACGAATGCAAATAGTCGGCGACTGAAGATCACGGTTGCCAAGTTTGTTTGTATTATCTGTCAAATATCTTCCTCTGTTTTCTTACCCAGATCATAGCTATGGTAGTGTCATCTTGCGGACAAATAAAAATTATTTCCTATCTGTATGTCGTATTTTACAAGATATTCATACTATGAAAAAACGAACGCTCTATCCGCAAAACACCGTTTAATACCTTTCACTTATTCCTGTAATAAAAAAAATTTACAATCATCAAAAATTTTAAAGTTTACTTCGTTGTCATCCAATGTAAATAATGTCGCTGGTTGAATATTCGGCTAGCTATGTTTTAGATTCATCATTATCACTGATCGATGTCTACCATCTTAGGTTCTGTTCTTGTAGTCGCAATCTGCGGTTGGATCCTTCTTAAAAATGAATGTTGCGGCCTAAGATAAATCATTAATGGAATCACTGGCAAAAGTTTTCAAAACATCGCGGATGCTTCTCATTTGTAATAAAAAAGGAATAATTTAAGATCTAGTCTTGTCGACGGACGAAATCAGATTAAAAAAAAAAAAAAAGAATTCATCGAACAGTGTCGAACGTTTTTGGTACCATATGCAAAGAAGATGAATATTCCCGTACACGCTTGGGGGGCTGATGATATAGCACTGTTTTATATATTTCCTCAAGTCTCGGTTCGGTCACAATCTTTTTCGTCTGATAATGGTCCAAGCATCTCGGCACAAAACATAGAATGTTTTTGTAATATGTATGCGGTTTAGCGTTGTTCCTTGCGGGATAGTGGACCACAGCAGAGATGTGCTTTTTATTCACCACTTTCGGGTAGAATAATATTTCGCAGACGTATGTTTTTGTGGAAGTTTTCTTCATGCTATATTGGTAAGTGTACACTTGTGACGGGCCCAGAGTGTACAAACAAATACCGTCTGAATATTTCTCAGGGATCAGTCTGACTGCATCTTTAGCGCGACTAGCTTGTACATGAGTCGTTGATCTGTTTGTGTAAGGCTGATAAAATCCACTTCTATCCAACCTGTTCCTGTACATGGCTCTCTGCAGTTTGATTACAGATTTCGCCGAACAAATAACATTGAAGGACCGTTCTTGATAGATAACTTTGCTGAATAACGTTCGGTCCCCGACTTAAATATTAATTTCGAGTAACAATGCTGGCAGACGTTGAATTTGCAAATCGCAAATTGACGATGTTTAATTCAGTACTGAGATATCTCACACCCTGTGACGTCACACGATCGCGCTGAAAGCACTTCAAGGCTACGAACAAATCCTGTTATATTTCAGATTTTATAATATTTGATTGGTTTACTTGAAAACGCCAACTTCGCTTACGGCCATGTGTTAATCAGATACCGTTTTGCTAAAACGTAATCCAAAACAAATTAATCCAAAATAAATGAAGAATTGAGCTGACAAAATTTTTGGGTTGGTCAAAAAAAAACACGGTCGTGAAAAAAGCTTAGTACGGAGCTAAATACAAATTCATGCCTTGAAAGAGCTTCATGACTCTACCATTCTTTTTGTAGTGTTGAAATCACTTGCTACCTTTGTTTTTAAATTCTGTGGCAGAACGTTGGACAAACGCGGTTGTGTGGTATTGTTATATATGATAATCCATTAACATGTCCTTTAATTTGTAGAAATAACTATTCCAGATTCCAGAGTAGCAGCACTTTATTTGATATCTGGGTGGTAAATTTGCCTGTGGAAGAATTGCCTTAGATGGAAAATATACCGCAAGAAATTTACTTTTAGTTTAGCTTAGTTTAAGAAATATATTTTGAATGCTCTTTAGAAAAGTAAAAGTAACTCTTGTTTACGGAATGTTAGCAATATTTGACTTTATGAGAAATCTTGGCGAACCACTCGCTTACTTTTTCTTCGTGAATAGAACTGACGCGGATTCTGTTCTTGTTGATCAAATTTTGGTCAGAAGATATTTTCTAAAATCAGCGTTACCTACTTGACCGGTTTTTTGTCACCTAAGGTATTTTACTGTTGTAAACTGGAAATTAATTCATACTTTCTAATTTAAGGCTCGGTGCGAAAATCTAAATCCGGTTTAATTGCTTTTTCGTCAAATTCAAATGCATTAGGAGGTTATTTACTGATGCAGTGCACAGCGAGTCCCGTTCGAAGTGGAAGTGTGATTTGATAACCGCTACTGTTGGTTTCGGAAAATTACAGGAGACAAAATTCTGCCTCCTCAAGGACGCTTTCGATATGGCTGGATGCACGAATAAATATCACTTAGGGGCGTACCTAGGATTTTTCAAAGAGTAGGAGGGCCACAGTTACGAACTGAGTTTCCACACTTATCGCAAGATTACCAGTCTATTCCTGTCAAACGAATGGTCGTTATCACATATAAATAAAAATATGAGAACGGACTTTAAAAGTTCGTCAGTAATAACTTATTTTTCTCATCATTTAGGGCATCCATGTACATATTTTCCATGAATAGGTTGGTATGAAATAAATCAACGGTAAAATGAATGCAACACTTGGGTCGTTTTTCAATTGTCTAGCGATCTTTAAAACTCCTTCCTCTTTCCCATCTTTACTCTTTCTCTGCAGGAAGAAATCCTATACGAAGTTAGTCTCAAAATTGTTAGAGTCTAGATGTTAGCTGTGTGTTAGTTGTCTCTGCTTCTAAATGCTTGATGTGCACAGAGGCTCATTACCTGTAGTCATTTGCTTCTGATGCGCATCATTATAGTAGTCGTGTTGGCTTGTTAAATCACCAATGCTAAAGTCATTATATACTTGAAAGCCGAGAAAATCATAACAAATTACCCTGTTTGCGCTAACAAGCGAAACCTCATCTTCCTGAAATTCCCGATGTCGGTTTTTTATTTGCCTTCCCCAGCTTCACGTTAATCGACCAGAGAGCCAATCGTGCGATACGCGTGTCATGTGCGTGATAACTGCACGCGAGGAAAACTTTGATTCCACTTGATTAGCTGAAGAAAACAGCAATGTTATCTGATTGGCCCTCATAACGTGCTGCACAGTTTTTCTATCAGCCATCCATTAAAGAGTCTCTCACTTCTAGAAAGTTTTGAAAATCAACGTAATTAGAATCATGCAAACAAGGAATCGCAGATGGTTCAGAAACTGAATGGCGAAGGCTAACACACGGATTACAGATGATGAACTTAAAAAAAATTTAGGATAAATTTAGGATAAATATATTTTTTTTAGGATTTACAGACTGTGTCTTGGAAGTCTCGAGGCCAGCATTAAACAAAATTTTTATGGTACAAAGGTAAAGAAATATAGAATAAAAACAAAACAAAAATTGTATAACATAAGCAGGCTGGAAATCACAAGACGCACAGACTGTCCAGATGTAGTTACTTTCTGACGCTTCTGATGACGGTTTGAAAAAACGTGGCGACTACAGACAATAGATTTGTGTAGGAAATTCAATCTTCGTCCTCTCTGGCCTACCATCACAAATACTTGTTTGACACGAAGTACAATGCCATTTTTGTTGCTGTTGTTGTTGTTGTTGTTGCTGTTGTTGTTGTCATTCAAATCTCCTTCAGTCAAAGACGGCTGGGAGTTTGTTTGTTATTTAAAACTCTTACCATCGGTTTGCACTAACTCTTATTAATGCACTCAACACTTCTTAAGACACTAGAATATTTTCAATATTTACAAATGTTATGGACATGAAATTGTGGTACACGCACGAACTAGCCCTTGGGAATAAAAAGTCCAGTAAAACAAATAATCTCCTAGGTCTGGGGTATACTAATTAATCCTCCTTTGAAACCTACTACAGTTATTCTCTGTAAGCTAATGTAAGGTAACTTTCGATTTAAAGTAAAAGATCTCTGCAGGCGAGAGTTGGTCTGTTTCGTTGAAATCATGTACAAAATAGTAACAAATGTACTATTTACGTGGTTTAAAAGTTGATATTCGAGTGTGAATAAATTGGGGATTAAATAGCTTAGCTGATTCTCGCTAATTGTTTTTTCGAACTTTGTTCATAAATATTTAAGCCATCTTTTCCTAAAAATGTTGAAATTCGATAACAAGTTTTGGCTTATTGATCAAGCAATATTGAATTCTCTTTGAGAGAGATTCGAACGTATTCGGTACTTTAAATAATTTTCGATTACAATCACAAGCTTTGTACATTGTCGATCGAATTCGCTACCCATAAAACTGGCTACTTTGCGCTTCACCGCCAGTTCGTTTATGAAAGAAATCCATGTATCTTTTTCTTCTGTGTAATTTATAAATCCTTAATCTCTCCTCTTCTTCATCTGGGTCATCGCAATCTGTTAAATCCCATCTTAAACTCTCGTTCACTTGAGTTAACTCTGTACGTGTTGTTAGATCGTTCACTTCGTTGTTCCGCGTGTCTAAACCAGAATTTGCATTAAGTGTTGAGCCGAAGTTTTCGCCGCTACTGCTCGTGCTTCTTCCATCAGAACTGCTTGTTCTCCAGTTACTGGAAGACGTGTTTTCTGTCCTCGACGAAAATGACTTTGAACTTACAATGCTCACAACTTTCCCTTCGGTAACGTCACTTGTATCTGAGCGTGACTTCGTTCTTGACTTTTGATGGGTTCCTTCGAAGAACACAAAATTAACCTTATAATCGTATTACTTTATAAAGATCCTTTAAGTTTCATCACACCGTTGCTTTCTCTTCTTGAAAAGAATCTCTAAATTTAGCATCTGGAAAGTGTGAACCCTTTCAAATGAGAATACTCATCCAAATGTTTCTTTTCACCAAAGTAATAGGCAAACAACACTGTTAGAACTGAACAAACCTTCACTGGAGCTGTCAACTCCCGATGTGGGGGTTTTACTAAAGGAATTCCTACTGTTTCTACCAGATTCTTTTTTCTTCTTCTTTTTCGGTTTCGCAGGTCTCTCGGAGGTTGTTATCGACACTGATTTCTTACTCTGTGTTGGCATTTTTGTATGCTTGACATGTTCACCATTTGTCGTAGTTCGAGGCGTCCATGGCAATAAGTAAACACAACTGTCTTTGTAATGTAAAACGCGATAACAATTAGAGCCGACCCTGGGTCATCCGCGCGCGAGGTTCCCGGATGCAAAATTAGCTCAGGGGACGAAACGATTCCAGCGACCTTTTGGGAATATTTTTGGATGGAAATTGGCAGCGCAATTATCGATCCGAATCGATATTTCATTATCACGCGAGAATTCTTTTAGCTCTTTTCTCGTTAGAAAAAGGAACATAGTTGATTAAAACCAGTTTACTATAGGCTCGGGGCAATTAAAACTCTGATTGCCACTAAACAACCAGTACTTCATAATCTGACTTCTTCGCACACTCCCGGTATTCTTCAGAATCTGAAAAAATGTGATTTTGAAAGCTGACGTTTCGAGCGTTAGCCCTTCGTCAGAGCGATACTCGAAGGGCTAACGCTCGAAACGTCAGCTTTTAAACTCTTTACGGTGGCCAATTTACATTTAACTTATCAGCTCAGTTGATAATGCTTAATTACCCTGTTATACTCTCCCACCGACGCAGCACCACAGCTTCTTTAGAAACTTACCCCCTTTATTAAAATAAAATCGTTTCATCTTCTAAGTGATCAAGCAACTCGACACTCAAAACGTGGAAAAAATTCTACTCTGTGATGTTCCAGCTTTCAGTCTCAGTCTGACTCAGTTCTCCGTGATGTGCCCCATGTCTAGCATGTATGATGTACTTCCAAAGTTCTAGAGCTTATATCTTAGGCGACCTCCTCTATAAGGTGACGAAAATCTTAGCCCGTGTAGGGTTCGCTTTACCCGGCCCTATCAATCCGGCCAAATCTGGCTAAATCCAGGATCAGCGCATGATTCAATCAAGGACTTGGAGTGTAATGTAATCGCAAGGCGTCCGAAATATGGTTTGTGAGAGACAGTTCATTGCCTCCTTCCATGAAGTAAAAGTGCCCTCCAGGCAGAACGTGTCTTTTGAAAGACCCCGATGTAAGTTCCGCCCACCCTGTAGAAAAGGAGAGAAAACTTTAACTTCCTTTTTACATAAATTGCTTACGAGCGTGAACCGGATTTGAGACGTGACATATAATGAGGGCTCACTTCCACCCTGGGAACCCCTTTGGCCGCTTCCTTAATATTCAGATCAGGAAACATGCTCCAGAAAAATTCTAGATCGGTAACCTTGCCTTTCCACACTCTTTTAACAGGATCATTTGTAGCCCTCCGCTTGCATCATTTGTGTTCCAAGATAACTGTGGTTCCAGGATCATTTTCGGAACAGTACAGTTTCTTCCTTTGAATTTCCCTCGTTTAAGAAGACTGAAATGGCCTTTGTCCAAGTCACTTACAAAGAAACAAACTAAACTGACAATAATCAAAGTTAAAGCAAGCTTTGTTGCCCATAAGAGTGCAAAGACCATGCACAGAATCTTTCAATTAGCCTTTCTTGGGAAAAATATCTAAAGGCCACGAGGCGATATTTACGCAAAAGTTAACCAAACGATGTTCTGCCGTCAAAAAAAAAAAAAAAAAAAAAAAAAAAAATCATTACATACTAACTGGGGATAAGGTACATTAGTGAAAACAACCACACCCACTTACCATCTTGATCGTGAAGATCATCCGATCCGTCAAAACAAGTCAGAGGACAATCAAGGACGACACCATTGGCACTCTCTTCAAATCTAGAGATAACAATCTTCGAATCAAGAAACATTCTTAAAGAACGGTACTGAAGATATCAATGTTGATGTCTTTGGCTTGTGTTGCTGCCTGTTTTGGCTCTTTTGCTCTTTTTCCGCTCGCTGCCATTTTTGGTAGGGTGATCGAAAATCGCCTGTTACGTAGGCTATATCATTTAACACACAAGGACAAACAGCTAACACCGGACGAACAAAAAAAGATGCTCTGTGCAGAGACAAAGGCTGAAAGACGGTGTTTCATCTCTTTTATACTCATTCCAAGTAACTTCCTGAATATTTAAGTAAAACATACAAACAGAGGCAAAAGAGCGCTTTGAAGTGTGCCACTAGAATTTCCCCCCCCCAAATTTTTATATCCGCTTCTTGATCATGAACACAGGCCGGAGCTGTTGAAAAAAAAAAGTCCTATCACTTATACTATCGCCAAGCACCATTCTGATGACACGATTTGAAAAGATTGCGAGACTGGATGTTTTTCTGAAGTAATTTTATGCTGCGCCAGGAGCATCGTCGGCACTGTAACGTGTTGGGGGGGGGGGGGGGTAATGGGTACTGATACTGATCTTAAATGATAATACTCATCACAGGTCATTACAGAGGGTGGGTAGGATGGACATTTCCGTGTCACCTGTAGTTCTGCAGCAGCGTGAGATCAGCTCTTAACACACGTGCAGCTATCTTCATCATGTCTTTGCTCTCTGTCAATACTTTTGGTGTTCCTCCCCAGCTGCTGATTTTTTTAATCAAATCATCATCAGTTTGAGTTGAAACGTCTAGTGTTATTTTTGCCACCTAAAGGTGAAAGGTGAGAAAGAATGATTTAAAAGAAAGGCATGTAAACTACATCATTTGATCTTTAAACCAACAAACTTATGAATTTGCCAGGCACTTTGAAACATATTTTCCTTGAAGTGCAAGGATGTTGGGACTTAATGAACATGCCCAGGATTTTTTATTGTGATAAGTTATTTCAAGGGTGCCTCTCAGGGGTATTAGGGAACAGGAGAACATGAGCACTATGTTTCTAGGGGGGATAGATATCATTAAACAAATATTAGGGCAAAGAGGGACCATGGTTTGTTCAAGGAACATGGTTAGTATACCTTCTTTCTAGTTTTCATAGAGGAATCAATGCCTCTATGACATGAAACATTTAGAGAGATTTACCAGAATATAAGTGCATAGTTTTAAGAGAGCATATTGAGTAATTTCAAAGAACTAGGCATCTCGACTTTTTTAACAAATTCTAAATTTTTGTCAGGAAAAAGGGAACATGTACTCCTTTCCTTCCAGTGCATGGAAGATCCCTCTCAATACAGTTTTATTTTTCAAAATTCATGATGTTTCAGACCAAAATGGACTTCACATTTCCAATCAAATACTGTATTTTACCCTGATTCTTAAAAACCCTCTGATGATTAAAAGAAGTTTCTTTTCCCCCTCTCACTGTGTATTAGTTGCTGGATTTCCTAATTCTCCTAAACTTCATAATTATATGTTGCTAGAAAATAGTCATCTTTCAAGAAACACTCACTTTTTTTTCAATCCCAAAACCTGAGGGTTGAGAACTAAAGAAACTAAATTAATAAGTGACAAGATTTAACGCAAAAAATTTTAAGGGTCAAAATCAAATATGACCAACATAAAGCCATGGAAAGAACCCTTTATGATACAAACCAAGGAAAACTGTTGCAAGAACTGCTTTTCATTAGAGAACTGGTAACTCCAGGGGTTAAAATTAACATGCACTACAGTCAAAACTTACAATTATGTTGTTCATGAGCTTCAAAACTATTTTTTTACTGACCTGGGGTGCAGTTGCTGATGATATTAGCAAGTGAACTGGCTGCGAGTTGTAGTACAGTTTCAGGTACTTTGCTGCTTCAAAGCACAATCTGGCTCCCAGACTAGAAAACAAATGACAGGTTGTTAGGCAAGGGTCAATTAATATCTTGCTGCTTCTAGACAGGAATTCTAAAAATAGAAAAGGGTAGTAGATTTGGTAGAGCATTGCACTGGTATGCACTGGTAATGCTGAGGTCATGGGTTCAAATCCCATACAGGTCTGAAATTTTTTCAGGTCTAATTTTCACTACAGTACTACTCAAGTACTGGTAGTATTCATTACTGCAAAGATTGCTTTGATATTCATTTCTTTGGTTAGTAACAGGTTAAGTGTTTCACAAACCTGTGACCCCAAAATGCAAATGGCTTTCCTTTTAAAATCTCCAGAACATCCTCACAGAAATCACTTAAAAATGATTCCCAGTCATCAATAATGAAAGATTCCTTGAACCTACTCTCTCTACCAGGCAAACAAACTCCATGCACTGTGGACATTAAGTTGAAAATTCAGGATAAAACAGTGTAACATGATAAATTCTAGATCAAGGTGGTTGATGAACTCTTTAAACTTTGAGTGTGACCACCATCCAATTTCTCCTTATAGTAAAATACTTATGAATCATTCATGACATCATAAGACTAAAGGAAATGATTGCCAATCTAATAAGCTTTGATTATTAAACAAATTCTCATTGTCAGCACCAGTGCAAATGCGTAGAGAAGAGTAGGGAGAATATGGTTAAGGCGTAAATTGTTAACATGTGATCAGAGGCCTATTGTCCGATATCACCTTTTTCTGAATGTTGCAAATTTTATAAACAATGATTGAGGCATGATAGACTTTAATATTGGTAAATGTTGTAAATATGAACTCAGATTTTAATTACAACGACAAAAATCATTTTTTAACCAATGTAATATTAAGTATCTGAATATTCAAGGCACTGTGTCAGAAAAAAAAGGCTCTTTCAGAAGGCTTTGAAGGATGTCAATTCAACTGAAAACTCCTCGTAAATCATCAGCCACCGGCACTACACTTTCACCGCTCTTTAATTTTAGCAACTCTTAAATAGTTAAAAAACTGTAAAATGATCGATCTTTAATCAACCAATGATATCAACGCAAGACTTAAAATCGAATCTTCTTTATCATTTTATCCACGACTCCATATCGCTCTGAGTGAAAATAGCATTCTCCAAAATTTATAAATCAAACCTTCTACTTCGCTTGCAAACTTTTTACCCCAGTTGGCATAGAACGCCGCTCCTCCACCAGCCCAGGGAAAGCAAATTAATCTTAGTTTTGCATTTTGCTTTTGATAAACACAACGCAGCCATTTTGAATTCATGTTTGGAATGTCTCTTAATCATTAATTAAATTATTCTTGTAATAAATATTCACAGATGTTTTATCACGTGGTACAGGGAGTCATGGAAAACACTTTCGAACTGTACAGAATTATGTTTAAATTACGACTTCAGTGGCGAGTGTGAATTTTCCCCGTATTTGATGGTTAGAAGCATTTCTACCGAACGGATCAAGTCTTTTTGTGGTTTCTCTTTCCACTGAGGCAATTTGCTCAGGGATTTACGAAAGAAGTGTGTTGCTCATTTGACTCCTATCGTTCACGTACGATGAAGAACTGACGCGATTTCCCGCGTGACGCTACATTTGCTCAACTGATCCTTCGATTGAATGGCAAGAAATGGGAGAATTTGCTAGTGAAGAAGATCAACGATGGGTCTGCCCCAACGATCGACAATTATCTTTAAGGGCGAAGTGAGTAAATTTGTTTATACCCGTACCTAAATCAGTCCTCTTAACCGTGACAGTACTTCATTAGCCCTTAGGAGAAATCTACTTACTCAGTACTTGTTTATCAACTCACGCACAGGGAATATAACAGAGCAGCGAATCATCTCTGTGTTTCCGGTTGCTAAATAATTCAAACTTGTTTCGCCGCAAACACCTGGTTTTCGGTCACTTGCTCTCATTCTGCTGTGCCTACTGCTGCTTTGGTTTGGAGATGTTGTCAGTGGTCGCCAGCCATTTACTTTGAGTTTTGCCTCTCGCTTTGGCCATGCAAATACGATGTGCTTCCGCCCTAAGAAAGTCTTAAAAAAATTCTTCAAGAAAACTCGCACCAGATGGCCTAAGTCTTTGGAAAATTTATTGTTAGTTATTATATTGTCACTCTCTTGATAGATCTGTCACTGCAGCTCTCCGATCAGGCGCAATCTTTTAATCCTAACTTTCGCTACAATATAGTTTAATAAGCTTATGTTGACTACGTGCTTTTCGATATCAGTTAACAATCTGTTAGATTAACAAACTATTATGTACTATATCGACCGAATATTTTCTTTTTGCCTTTAGGTTGAATTCAGGATGGTCTTTTCACTCAAGTACACCCGCGAGAAAAACAGGTAGAAAATCGGATATCACGGAAAGCGAACAAGAGATCATCAGAAATGTTCTGGAACGAGCGGAAAGAATTCGCCATGCAGAAGAAGAACGTATCGGGTAAGTAGTTTATATCAGTCTAAAAATATCATTAGGGATCAGGAAGAATGAGATTTCTTTGTGTATAGAAAGGGAGAAAATGTAACATATATTCTGCATTAAAATTTAACGCTTTGTCTGCCGTGATTTGCATTCAATTGATGTTTACATTGAGCATAATTTGTTTTCTTTCGCTGAAAAAACGTTCCATTTCGTTGTGGTGAATAATGTATCTATTTGCACGTCATGCCCTTTTCCAGCATTTTATTGTGGTAAAATTTTTTTTCCGGTAAAACACTTGAAATCAAAATGTCAGATGGAATTAAAGAGACGATGCATTGGATTTATGACAAATTTCTGTTCGCAGACGTGATTGGACTTTACTGTCACCTTGGTCGGATAAGCTAATCAAAGGACAATTGAAATTCGCCAGAATTCTGATAGAGTAAACACCATTTTTCAAATTTCAATATCAGACTTGAATTAGTTTAAATTTATATTTCCTTTTCAGAAAAAAAAAATACTTAGAAAGGCTTAGTAATCAGGATGATCTGGCATGTTTATTGTAAATAATTTTATCTCAGTTCTGCCTTAAAAGCAAAACTAAGGCTGCTTTAATCTCACACCTGCTGATCCAGACTTTTTTCACAGTCCTTATTTAAATATTATGAAAGGGGTGGAGAGGAAGTTTACAAGGTTGACACAATGCTGATTGCTAAATCTTTTAGAACAAAACACTATGCATCAATCAGTCTCGAAATTAAAACAAAGATGGATGGTAAAAAATCTTTTCTGCTCCCCCAAGGCCAAACATTTCCTTTAAATAAACTATACAATTTTGAATTTTACCATTTCCACCTAAGTATCTTTCATGATAAATTATTAGTTGCTGTGTACAATTGACAATAATGCACACAGTCACTCACAGAATAGTGTAAAATCTTAAAATAGCAATTATATACATGTATTTTCCATGGGATCAAAATTTTGAAAACTATTTATCAAAACACACACTCTTGAAATAAAAGCTGGATTTTTTTTATTGTTGGGAATAATTTGCCAAATTGAAGAAACCTTTATACTGTGTGGTCAAAGTTTTACTCGATTATGCATGCAAATGCTTTTGTGTAACAGAAGTCATCCCAATCATAAAATCAAATTTCATGAGAAAATTTTAGAATTTGGAATTTTACTTTAATTTTAAAGCTTGCGAAAAAGAAGGATGTGATTTTACAAATTTGTCTGTGGTTACAAAAGTCTGAAAAAAAAGATTAACAATTGACTGTATGAGTCTACTACTCCCTAGGGAGGTTTTTAACCTTGTTATATTTTTATTTCAAAAAAAAATTTTTTTTTTTACATTTTTTATCCCACTAGATAGAATTACTTTGGTATTGTACATGTATTGCCAAGTATGCACTATTAGTGTTCCTGTTTTGTTTTAGTCTTAATAGTTTTTTAGGAATATCTGACTGTTGATGTGAATCATATCTTAGAAGTATTTGAAATACTTTTTATAAAAATTTCACAGCTCACAGCTTTAGTTCATCTCTAGGTCAAGACTGACTTTCAAATTACTTTTAACTTTTAGCATGATTATGAGCTACTTACTAAATTCTAAAATATTTTAATAAAATCTAGATATTTTTTGTTCTCACAACCTGTATGCAAGATATTATACTGTAATTGTAATGAGAAGCTACAAGTTAATCTGTATCACCTCTGAGGGTTGAGGGGTTAAAGAGGAAAAATTGGGTACTGCAACAAGAAGTTAGCTGAGGGTTATCAAGACAAGTGTACTTGTTTTAAGTGTTTTAAGTATTTAACCCTTTAACTCCCATGAATGACCAAGACAGAAATTCTCCTTACAATATCAATACAATATCAATACAATATAAAGCAGACAAGCGATGAAAATAAAGAAAAATATCAATTAGGGGATTATAAGTTGATCCAATACCAAATTTTCCAAACTAACATCACAAGAACTGTATGGCAAATAGTAAGGAGAATTACTGATGAGATCTTGGGAGTTAAAAGGTGAAGGTTAGCAATTTTATCATCATCATAGTAACTCTTATGATAATTGTTATTGTTATTAATATTTTTGTTTATATTAGTGTTACTATTAATCCATTACAGCCACATAAAAAGTCTTATACCAGTGACTAAATCAGTCTTTTTGAACTAGTGTGTTTTTCTTTTTCAAAGGCGTCTTGTGGAGAAGTTGGAAAACATGCACAACAATGCTCTCGGAGATGGAAAAGAGACCTGTCTTCTTTGTGGTTCCAAATTCTCACTTAAAGTTATTTCAAAGAGATGTGATGTCTGTGATAAGGTATAAATAAAAAAATAATATATTGGCACAACTTTAAAAAATTTTTTAATTTTTAATTTTTAATGTGACTCTTGATGCTAAGTTTTATTATAAATTGAATGCAAAATTCCTTCTCTTTGTTATTCTCACCAAAGATGTAAAGAAAGTCAGATTAGAGCTCATAGAATTTGTGATAGATGCATTTGCATTTGAAAATAATCCATTTTTACCATCCTAGATGTTTTCTAAATTAAGCTTATCTTGCTTTTAATTTAGAGCATCAGTATTAAATACATTTTAAGTTGCTACTTGGTGGCCAAAAACAGGTTGCTAAGTGGCAAATGTGGCTAGCAATTTAATTGCCAGAGTTTGTTTCTTCTCACTATAGAAGCTGATATGATAGCAGCTTGGAGCGCTGTTTAGGAATTGCATTGATTGGGTGGAAGTTCTGCCAAAACTAAGAACAAAAGTATTCTTTCTTGTGACTGTAGGGTGTTAGAGTTTGAAGTCAGAAGGTCTTCTTGAGGAAATCACCAAGTACCCTTATCTCACAGCTAATTGCTATAGTATGGATATCTGTTTCCTTGAGACAAAGGTTGTTGGCTCGGGCTGATGTAGATTCATGGAAACTGAAAAAAGAAAAAAAAATTTTTGATTTTGTATGGTCTTATAAGGCTGTTAACTGGCTTTCACAGATAATGAGAACTGGTTGCATTTTACAATTTATTTCTTAAACCAAGTCTTATTTTCAGTATGTTTGTGAAAAGTGTGGTTTGAGGACTCAAGACAGTGATGGTGATAACATTTGGCTGTGCATGTTATGCAGTGAACACAGAGAGGTAAATTTACAATTACTGGGTCACATGACTGTGAAACTTTCCCTAGCCAAGGATTACTGAATACTGTAAACTGAGAGAGGATGCTCTGTGAATCTTTGGAAAGAGAAGAGCTGGAATTTAAAATTAAAATTGAAAAAAAAAAAAAAAAATTAATATCCACCAGGCAAGATGATCTGGATTTCTTTAAGCTATCCTGGATCAGATTTTTTCCAGAGCCATGATATGTCACTTTTATGTGGGAGTTCCCCTTAGAGAGGTTTGAATCTGCCATATTGAGATGTCGTAATGCCAGGGTAACTGAAAGCTCTCCCTGAATAAACCCTTTACACCTGAATATCAGTGTGTTAACCCTGTAACTCCCAGATCAAATTTGTAATTCTCCTTATTGTCAACCATACAATTCTTATAATATTAGTTCCAAGAATTTAATATTAGATCAACTAATTATCCCCAAATTGATATTTTTCTTTATTCTCATTACTTATCTGGTTGATATCGAATTGATGTTGTAAGGAGAAATTCTGTCTTGGTCACTCATGGGAGTCAAAGGGTTAAATATTCTCTATACTGTCCTCTAAACGCGTCCTAAGGTGACGAAAAGGAGAATTTGTGTTACAATCTAGACCTTCTTTAGTTGGTGATCATTTCCTTTTTCTCCTGACATTAATGTGTGATTATGGGGTGATATTGTAAGGAGAAATTAGATGTCAGTCGACTCTTAAGGGTCAAAGGGTTAAGGTAAGTATCATAATAGCAGTTACTACTTGCCCTTTATTTCTTATTTCTGTTCTGGTTCATTCAAGTGTAATGTAGTATGGATATTTTCTCTTTCTACAGCTCTGGAAAAGAACCGGTGCATGGTTTTTCAAAGCTATACCCAAATATACATATCCAGCTACAGGAAGACGTACTTCCTCTAACAGAACTGTGAGTTTTGAAATTTCTAGTAGAGGAAGGATTGTCATAACATTGATGAATTGTTCAGCAAAAGAGAGTGTAATGTAAAAAGAGAAAATTCCAAACAGGTTGGAGACATGAATTTGATTCTCATGTGACAAAATAAAAATTATATTTGAAATAAGTATTTTGTCACCTGTCCCTCTTTATCCAATAAGTTCTTGTTGCTGTGCATCTGTTCAGTTATATATCACAAATGATATCAAAATTTAGTGTGAACAAAAAGTGGCACACAAGGTGCAGGCAAGTGTGTTACCAACTTAAATGTTCTAATACCACATTTTGACGTCATCTGTGATCTATGACTTAACAGGCCCATGGCGACATAGAATCTATTATTTTGCAAAAAAGAAATGAAATATTGTTATTGATAATGTCATTAATGTGTCTGTCCTCCAAAAGATTAGAGGTAAGAACCAATCATAAAAGTGTTTTTCATTCAGCTTTTTATAGAAATTATTATTTGTAGGTGTCTTAATGCATCACACATTGAATTTTTCTTAAATGTGAGTTTTTAATGATTTACAGGACACAACATCTTCCAATAGCTCAGACCAAATTTTTTTCCCACAATCAAATAAATACAACCAATCATGGACAAGTTATTCAAAATCTAAAGGTAATGAATGTTTACTTTGTGAATATTTTTCAGCTTCCATTTAATGCATACACTCAATCTCTCTTTCTCCTTGTAAAAGTTGGATATAGTAGCCACAAGGTTGGTACCGCTGGACTCTAGATTGAAAGGTCTGGGTTTAAACCCTCACTGGGGCGAAAGAATTGAATCTTATGGTGCCTTTTTCCACCCAGGTGTATAAATGGGTACTACGTTTAACAATATGACTTGGTTTTATCAACTGAATGGATAATATAAATTGGCCATTGTAAAGAGTATTAATTATTATTCAGAGTGTTAACCCCTTCACCAGAGCTTCAGAGCTCTATGTTCCTCATCATTCGCTCTGACAAAGGACAAAGGATGAATGCTTAAAATGTCAGCTCAGAAATTGTTTATAGTGGCCAATTTGCTTTATCAGTTGATAAAAGCAAATTATCTTTTCATTCTCTCCCACCAATGCAGCACCACATGTTAGTTTATTTAGAAACTTACCACCTTTATATCTATAACAAGCTGAGGAAACTCATTGACAAAATGTTATGAGAGGAGTCTACTATACTTGATTGCAGTAAACATCCCAAATTGAATTAAGGCTGGGAGAAAAAAAGGAAGAGAAGTGAACCAATAGCATTATTACCCAGGCTGTACCTGTAATAGGCAGGCACACTATCCATGAGAAGAAACAACACCCTTACTTTGCTTCATGTTTATTAAACCTGCTACATGGCTCCTTTTTTTTCCCTCTCTTTGTAAGGAAATTGTTAACAGCTAATTTTTCTTACTTTTGAATTTGTAGACTATCTGGATGGTGGTATTAGAGAAGAGAGTCACTCGGAGGATGAGGAATCCAGCAGTTCCTCAGATGAAATGTTGTTTGACAGTTCAAGCACACGTAAATCTTCAAGAGGCAGGTCATCCACTTCTGAGGAGACAATGCCCTATACAAGACGAAAGTCAACAGAACTTTCAATGCCTGGTAGTGCCATCTTAGAAAATATAGACACTCCTCCTCCCTTCCGTAAGAGGACTCTTGCAATGTCACAAGATGAACAGCCTCGTAGATCACCAAACACAAGCCCGTTGCATCAGGCCAATGGAAAGCTCAGTAAGTTATAATACAGAGTGCCTAGTTAACCTTTAACTCCTATGGGTGACCAAGATAGAATTTCTCCTCACAATATCCATACAATATCAAGCAGACAAGTGATAAGAATAAAGAGAAATATCAATTAGGGGATTCTTAGTTGATCCAATAACAGATTCTCAGAACTAACGTCATAGGAATTGTATGGCAGTCATTTTAAGGAGAAACACAAATAGATTCTGGGAGTGAAAGGGTTAATGATGTGTTTTTGTAGTTCAATATACATGAAAGATGCCAAAAGGTAACAAAACCAGAGAACAGATTCTCCCATGTAGTTGCAAATTTTAGGTGGTAATGTTGTTCAGTTTAATACCTTATGCCTCAAGATTATTTTAGTGAGTATTTTATATACTGTTCTCTATTCATTTTCTTTGGTGCTGACTTGGATAATTCATTTTACAATCAAAGCTTCCTAGGTTGGCAATCATTTTATGTATTCCCATGATCTTAATGAATAATTCAGCAGGATTTCTGTAACAAGAAATTAGATGCTGGCCTCTCTCAGGGTTGAAAGGGTTAAAGGTTTTGAAAGGAACTGCTAAGCTGATATGAGTTTTACTCAGTATGACATTGTAATGTTTACTTTATGTCTCTTGAATATAGCTTGTAATTGCAGATGTTTCTGCCTTTATTGATTAACATTTCTAATGGTAGTAATGGCTTTGCAAGCCTGCATCAGAGTGTTTTTTTAATTTGTTCTTTTTGTTTAGCTCCAGACAGCAGTCATACTGAGCCAGAATCTCCTAAAAGGGAAAAAAGTGGTAGTTTTACTGGAAGAGGTCACGTAACTGATTTGAGAGATGAAGTTGATGCAAGGGTGAAGAAACTGGTGAGAAAGCAGGACACAGAAGAGGAAGACATTGATGAACTGGTGAGAACCTTCAAAGAATCAGAGGCTTCTGTGAGCAAGGACGTTGGTGATGCTGGTGAGTGCCCAATAGACATCCCAGGTGCACTGTGCCTGTGCATTGTTCTGGTGAACCAAAAGATTTTGTGTTGCTGTGCATCTGTTCAGTAATAGATGACAGATGATGTTAAAAGGTGATAAGAACTTAATAGTGGTGAAGTATGTCACTGATGTTCCTACCACATTTTGACATCTTCTGTGATCTACCACTGAACAGACACATGGCAACATGATATCTAATTGTTTTACCTTGTTTATTTGATTAAACGCCACCTTGAATAAATGCTGTGGCCACGTTGTTGTTGTTGTAAATAAATACTGTTGCCTAGAATAAATGCTGCACTTGAATCATGAAAAATTTTATAAACATGGCAGTATTTAATAGAATAAATATGGTACATAATAATGAAGCAAAAAATCTTTCAATGATGACATTATCTATGCATGGATGGATCATTATTGAGAACCAATAAAAATGTGTGCATAATTGTGCCTATTAATATATAACTACTGTTTACATTATTTCCGTTTCCTCACCTTTCTTTGCATCACACTGGGGTTTACAGATTATGGTGCATGTGTCATGTTAAAAGGGGGATCTTGCATGAATTAGTTTTTGAATAATTTTTCAGTTTCAGTTCCCTGACCTAATTTGTATTTCTTCCTCACCCCAGGGGTGTTACTTTGGGTTTTCCAGTTGTCACCCCCCCCCCCCCCTCCACAATGACCACATTTCCAAATTCCAATCCATCATGCCATCAGCGAATGAGATGAACCATGCAATTGATATCCACCGCTAAATTTGATCTGTTGTTTGTTATTTTAAAATTAGTATTGTTGGTAATGCACCCCATAATGGATGTGCAATCAATGGACTCACTCCCCCATCCCCACCCTTTTGCTAATTTTTTACTGTCGCTGACCCCCTTGGCACAAATTTCTTTCTCTCCCCAGCCTTCTGCTGTCACTATAATCAAAGACGGCGCCATAATTGTTGCTAAGAAAACACTGTGCACTTGTTTGCCAAAATTATGCCTGCTCTTTTGGCTATTTTTCTTGATGAGGAATGGCAGTTGAAATGTTGCTGTCCTCAATTGAAAGTAACTCATTGGTTTGAACTTCTAATCTGTGAGAATAGTAATCTGTCTAATAGAGGGTTGTAACCAATGCTTTATGTTTTTTTTTTTATTAATTTGTTAGGATTAGGAACATTGGAATTTGATGTCCATTATAACAAACAACACAGTCAGCTTCAGGTGACAGTTGTTTGTGCCAAGGTGAGTGTTACATTTGAACTACACAGTCAGCCAAAAACCATATAGCTTTGTATGGACATGTCATCTCTGGGTAGTATTTATGCAGGGATAATTTTCAAGGTAATGCTGATGATAGTTGTTATTTGCAGAGCCTGAAAGCCATGGATTCCAGTGGAACATCTGATCCTTATGTTAAAATTCACCTTCTTCCTGGTGCTAGTAAGGTAAACCTGCTAAAATTGTTGTAGTATTGACTGCTGTAACCTAATTCAAACAACGAAAAAAGTATTGAGAAGCCCTATCGAGTAGCACTAGGTATCGTAATTGTTAAACCATTTTTTCTTCCTTTTTTTAAAAAATCAGTTTTGACATGTGATGAATCAATTGATTATTGGTTCAAGTTTTAAAACTGATTGGTTAAGAAAGTGACCAATCACAGAGCAAAGTAAAGCAAAATCATTTGCAAAGAGTGCTGTATTACTTTCGACACTTAATTGAAAACTGCTCTGTTGTCTGATTTTCCTTGTTTTGCAAGAATCACCAGATTTATAATGGCTAATTGGTGGTTTTTAATATAAACGAATAGATGTTAGCTTTCTATCTGGTTTTTCTTCTTCATCTCATTCCCAGAGTAACAAATTAAGGACTCGCACCAAGTACAAGACCCTGAATCCGAAATTTGATGAAGTATTGGTATATCATGGGATCACAGATGATGATATATCAAAGAAGTCTCTCAGGTAGATATCACTAGACCCTTTACACCCTAACATCAGTATGCAAATTCTCCCCACTGTTCTCTGCACATTTCGTAAGATGCGGTTCAAAGAGAATTTGTTTAACAATCAAGGGCTTCTTTAGGCGGTGATCATTTCCTTTATTATTGTGACCTTAAAGTTTGATTCAGGGGTGATGCTGTGAGGAGATATTACATGCTAGTCTCTCTTAGGGTCTCAGAATTTATTTGCCAGTGTGCCTAAAATTAATACAAGAGTATTGACTATATTGGCAGTCATTCCTATCATGAAACATTTCGTTGCATTTTTTCCTTTTCACAGACTTCAGGTTTTGGACGAAGACAAACTTGGTCGCAATAATTTCATTGGAGAGACTTGTGTGGCTCTAAAGATTTTTCACAGTAAACCATCTCAGTCTTTGAAAAGGTCACTAGTCTCTAGAGGTTCTGTAAGTATAGATAGTGTCGTTATATATTCCCATTTTTTTAAATGTAGGTTGTCGTGTTCTTGTTTTAGACATGAAATGATCTGGGATCACATTGTTTTTTTTTCATGTCTCTGTCTCTTTGGATCACTGGTGCAATCATAAAATATGTGTATCTTGGAAAAGATTGAAGAAGGACGGGTAAGTACATCATTTTTTGCCGTGGTGAACAATTACATTTCCTTGCTCGTAAAGCCCTTGCATCTCCTTCAAATTGTGATAGTTCATCGAGAAGAGCCTTGAATAGAAAAGGTTTTCTCCTCTTAGATGTATCTGTGTAGATACGAAGGTTACATTTTTTAAGGTCGTTACCAAAGTGTGAGTCGTTTGAATGGAAGTGTTGTGAAAGAAAGGTTTCATTGTGCAGTAATTGGCCAATGGAAGAGAACACAGGTGATGGATTGTTTTGTATGGGGAGATTTAGGGGAGTGGGGCGAGGTGCCCAAGGGATCGTCGGACCCTTTTTTTCTCTTGTCAAACAACCCTTTTGGGTTTGGAAAACGGGGAATACGGGAATGAGATTCTCCTTAAAGGCGATTTAAGAATGGACTTCGATGGATGTTCGTGACAGAGTAATGGAGTACAGATGCAGAGTGCGCTGTGTGGTAGGCCCTTCTTTTTTCCTCGTTGAGATGCACCCTGTTTAAATTCTGATATATTGTCTTTGTTGCATGGTTATATCCAAAAACGACATATTCATATATTCAGAAGTGTCCTTAACCAGACAATAGGGAACAGAGGAAAGAAGTGTGCGCACTGTGCATTTCTTTCCCCGATAACATTATACCTACTGAAAGGTTGATAATCTATACAGGAATCTCCAGAACCTGATCTTGGACGTCTTCAACTGTCATTGAAGTTCAAATCACAAAAGAATCAACTTATAGTGGGTGTGATTCGCTGCGCTGGTCTGGCAGCCAAGGACGCTAATGGTTATTCAGATCCGTATGTCAAGTGGTGAGTGTCAATAAATCACTGTGTTTTTTCTGTATACCACGTCATATCAAGTATCAGGCTTTATGTACAATGTTGCTATTTACCATTTCTGTTTCTTGGTTTTGATTTTTTCCTATAATCTTTCCAGTTACCTTAAACCTGATATAAACAAAAAATCCAAAAGAAGAACGAGTGTAAAGAGAAAGACGCTAAATCCTGAATATAACGAGGTAAGAATTATCAGCTACCTTTTGCTAAAGCCTTCCACCACCATTTATCTTAACGAGTAACGAAGTTCTCTCAGTCAGTTTTATATCATAAAGGGAGTAAGTTTCTAAGGAAACTATGGCGATGCGTCGGTGGGAGAGTATAACAAGTTAATTTGGTTTTATCAACTGACTCAATAAAGTAAGTTGGCCACCTTAGAGAATTTCTAAAGCCGATGTTTCGAGCTTCAGCCCTTCGTCTTAAAAAAGGGCTAACGACTATTTAAATGATCAATTTAGTTGATAAAATGGCATCTTTGTGTATTATGGTTTGTCCCAACAGGAATTTGTTTATGATATCGCGCACAGTGACCTCGCGAAGAAAAGTTTAGAATTAACAGTTTGGGATCATGATGTTGGAAAAAGTAACGATTTTATAGGTAAGAGACCATAGGTTTTCTGTACCGTTTACATAGTGACATTTGCGCTGCATCAGGATGATTCGCTTACATTGAGTTACCTTACAGACTCATGAGATGGTAAAGCATTGTGGGTAACACTTACCCTCTTCCCCTGTGGCATAAAGAGATGAGAAATATTCCTGATTTGGTTTTGAATTCTAGGATGCTACACCCTTCCCAATTATGTCAAGGAGAGAAATCTGTGAAAATTAGTTTAATACATCCGTGAAAAGTAAACAAAGCTTCTTGACTGATTATCTTTAAAACAAAAACCCAAAGTAATCAGAACAGCCAGTTGGGACAAAGGTAACTTTCACAGGGAGCCCATGGTATACGAAGTAAGTTCAGGAAGCCGGCCTCAAGTGCTAGATAGTGCGAGTGATCAAAACTCGATTGGGTTAGTGTGGCATCTGATTAGATGAGAAGGTGGCGCGAGTTATCTAGAGCAATCAAATGGCGCAGTGAAGCTAAACCACTGCAATCCCAAATTTCCTTCGACACTCTTACTAGAATTGCGCTAAGACAGGTCCCCTTCATGAAAACTTAGGTACCTTAGGAAGTATTAAACAATAGTATGTCTTTCCTAGGTGGAGTTGTGATGGATATCAACTCGACCGGAAGTGCATTGATGCACTGGTACGCCATGCTGAAAAACCCAAACCAAGCACACACTTATTGGCACACGCTGGAAAAACTAACCAATCACGAACAGGAATAATATTTTGGGCTTAGTTATAGTAAATATTCGAAGAAGTCTCGTTGTTGTGTTACTCAATGTCACAGCGGTTCACCCAATACTAATCACTTCTCGTATAATAACCATCACTAAGCAATGGACAGTGTAGAGACCAGGAGATAAAGCTAACGATGCCTGCCCATAGAGCTGCTTTCGATTGAGTGTTGTGAAAGCAAAACCAAAATAATCACCAATGAAATGAAAGGAAGATATCTCATTGAGCCGATAAGAACTCAAATTCAAAACGAACTGTTCGAGTGAAGCGCGCGAAAATACGAGTGACCAAGTCGTGATTGGTTTTAGTTTTGCATCTGATTGGTTGAGAAAGCGGAGCAAGTTTTCCGGACCAATCACACAGGAAAGAAGAGCAAACCAAGCAATCTCAGATTCCTTTCAACACTCATTTGAGAATTGCCTAACGACTTGCTGGAATAGTCAATTCCTGAACTATTGCGGAATTTTCATCAATTTATAGAAACTTTCAGACAACAAAAGGCGTTTTACTTCTGAACTGATAAAACTGTCTTGGCAAATCCGTTTAATTCAGTAAACTCCCTGTGCACAAAAAAGTTTGTCTCCTTCCGAGAATTGGATGGGCTAGACAGACGAATTACAATTGTTATTTATTTTTGTTAATAGCGGTCGAATTAGAACATTTTTCAGTTAAAACACAGAATGCCACAAAACAAACAAACAAAAAACAACAAGCAATAGGTCATTGCTTCCAAATAGAATCATACTCCAGAATGAGACGGAGACACTCAACTTGGATCGGAAGCTTTCCTGATTAGGAAGGATTCCCAGCTTAGCTGAGATACACTAAAGACTTTATTCTGAATTGGCCAGTGAGTTTAACAAGGTCTTGATGTTCCTAGTTTCAGAGGTATTCAAGGTATAAATAATTTCATGCGTTAAGGTCACATTTGGATTCTCCTTAAAGACCATTTGTTATCACCTGGGAGGAGGGACGGTAAGGGGTCGGAGAAATTTAATTTAAATTTACCTGTTTCCCTCCCCCCCCCCCCCCGAGGCTCTGTAATATTCTGACACCCCCCCCCCCCTTTTACTGGCAGTCAAATTTCTACGGTCACCCCCCTTTACACTCTGTCAGCGACGACTTATCCCGCCTCTCCCTCCCCCCTTGAAATCCATGTGATACCCCCAAATCCTCCGACCCCCCTCCGTAGGTGATGAATAGTAACAGATCCCTTACCTGGGGGTGAGGGAGGGGGGAGTTGAGGGTGCAGGGGGAAGGAGTTGAGGGCATGGAGGACAAATTTATTTTTTGTTATGTCAGTAATTTTCGTTATTTTCAACTAAAAATAAAAATACCTTTTGTTTATGTTACTCCATATGTAAGCCAATTATTTAGGTAAAAATATGCATTTTTGTTTTCATACACCTTTCAATGTCAATTGTCAGTTGTCTCATTAGTGAGAAGACTGACAGACACAATTAAGGAAATGATTACAACGAACAATTTTGTCAATTTATAGAAACAAATTGTCCGATATATACCGCGGGCTAAACAGTTAGCTGAGAGAGCGACGAATTTTTGAAAAAAACTTTTTATATTCCCTCTGACAATGTTAAAGAAAAACAGTTGCATAGATTGTTAACAATAATTTGAAAGGTTGTGCAACAATAATGTATTGGAAATTTTAAAATGTAATCTTAGGTATTAACTTAATATATGTAAAGCCGTTAGCTATATAAGATCATATAACAGGGAATGGAAATAAAAAAAAAGCAGGAGTCGCCCTGGTTGTGTTTGTTGTGGTAGTCCCGAATCTAAGTCGCTAGGTTGCTTTATTTTGATAACCGAGCCGTTGAATCTCCAACCTGTAAAATTTATGTCAAAATACGTTTAAAAGCCGGTTTTATCAAACTTAGGTCAAAAGTTGGCGGCGACGCAACTTCGAGAGGGGGGCAGCGCACTCCTGCTTCGGGGCGACGCAACTTGGGGCGACCTAGCAAGCCTACTGCCTTGGTGGCGACAAATCGCTAACACTCAAGGCGATGGACGTCATTGAGCACGTATCCTTTGCTTCAGAGGAGTTGGTGATACGACTTAGTCGCTCTGTTTCCTTCCACCCCTCTAACGGGGAACTCTCTCTCAAGAGTTGCACTCTGCGCTCATAGTAATTGGGTCGACATGTCTTGCCTACATAAATCCAAGCGCGAACAGAATTAACTGGTTTTTGAGCTGAGACCTGTACATCTACTCCTTTCTTTTAGGTCTAAAAATAAAACTTCGGGCCCACAAAGGTGACGGAACATTAAAAAAAGGGCTGTTGTCTTATTAGCTTAAGTCAACGAAATATGTTCTCTGAAATTTTATTGCAGTGTACTGTTCGAAAACGCGTTTTTAAATCCACTTGACTCGATTAGAAGATAAAATGTGCATTCATTAGAGCGACAAGTGGTTCAGTCTGGTTCAACCAAAATTATTACAATACATTTTTCCACTAACTCAGGCAAAGTGCATCATCCAACCAAACTGGCCAGTTTGTTATAGGAATCACGGCATAAGGCGGCCTAAAGAGTATGTTTAGCCCACGTAATAACCACAAATGTATAAAAAACAGAGATTGTTTGGAACAGATCTTCTAAGAATTCAATTTTATTCAGAACGCTAAATCTTAAATAATACGTCCGTATTTAAGACGTACTTTTTGTCTATTTTTGAAAAGAATTACAGCAGTAGGTTATACTTCATTCAGTCTTTTCGTGTGTATTTTTAAACAAACGTTTGAAAAGTCTCCGCTTTCTTGATCCTTTCCAAACTACAGTGGTGATGTTTCGCATAAAAATAGTGCTGGCAAACAAAAGTATGCAAACAAGAAGTTGTGCTTTAATTAAGTTAACATTATAGTTTATCACAGTTTAAGCCGTAGGGAACATTTGATGGATTTTTATTTGCGATAGCAGGGTCTTTCTCAGCCACGCTTGGGGATGTTTGTTGTGCTTGTTTTCTTTCCTTTCTTAGTTTCCTTTTTCTCTTCTTGACCTGAGATCTTTCCCTGCAAGTATCAAGTGTCAGATTGTTATGATCTATACATTCTATCTATGAGTTGTCTGCTGCGATTTGTATTTACTATTACAGCTTGCAATAGTTTTTTATTCTGTGGTTAGGATTGTGCAAACTGCCTTGAAGTAGATTTTGCAGATTGGCTTCTTAATTTTCCTTGTTTAATGGTTAATTACATAGTCTAGGAAACTTTCACTCACCAATGGCTGGGTATCTCCTCGTAATCCAGAATAGCAGAGTCTTCTTCGGCCACACTTTTTGATGTTTCTTTCCTTTTTACTTTACTTCGTTTCTTCTTTTCTTTAGACCTCTTCCTGTGGAAAATGATTTCCATACTCCTCTGAGCCATATTTTTGTCTGAGAATCTGTCTATGATCTCTAATTAACTATAGCTTGAAAAAGCAAACGAACTCTGAGGTTCGAACTCTTACATGTTTGTTTTATGCCACTGTCAATCATTGTGGTAATTTCTATGAAGGAAATAAACATCCTTCTGCCTGTGCTCAAATGCATTATAGCCTGATCTAGTCTAAAGCTAAGCTGATTTTTACATCCTGTGAAAGTTAATGTAGTATGATTAAAGGTGGTGGTTTGTAATCGTGGTGAATACACTTTCTATTTGAAGAATGATTGTTTGTCTCACGGTGTCGTGAATGTTTTTCTTCGTTTGTCCGCCGATCTGTAGTAAAACATCGTGAGACACACAATAATACTTCAAATTAAATAATTATTTACCGAAGTGGAGGTGAATAGGAGTTGATATTTACCGAGTTGCGACTCTGAGGTGAATAATTGTTTTAAGTATATACCACTGAGAAGCCAAACAGATTAGTTTATTTCTGTCAGTGCTCCCAAAAATTGTTGGTAATTATATTGTTGACGCGCGATTTTGTCTCTTCAGCTACTACAAAGTGAATAGTACTTGCTAATCACTTCCGAACCAATCAATTAGCACGCACACTATTCACCCATGTGGTATACGCTAAATTAATTAATTGATGTTGTAATTTCCCTTCCACCTGGGTGAGTCGCCCTTACCTATCATTGGATATGATCTTAAAGGCCTGGATTGCAGGATCTTCTTGTGTCAAAGTTAATCTTGTTGACTTGACTTGATCTGAACTCAAATCTTCCACAACAGCCGACTCCATGTGTCTCTCTGCTAAGAGAAGCTCTTCCCAAGTAATGCGGAGCAACTTTATCTCCTTAGTAACTTTTTTGTTGTCCTCACAGCTCTCTTGGACTTCTGCGGTTTCCATTTCTTTCATTTCGGTATCTCGAGAAACTTTCTCGTCATGACTCTCACCAGAGTGAACTTGTTCGTTATTGGGTTGAATCTCTGCTTCCGCGTGTTTCTTTGAATCCATGTGTCTCTCTGCTAAGAGAAGCTCTTCCCAACTAAGAGGGAGCACCTTTATCTCCTTGGAAACCACTTTGTTGTCCTGACAGCTCTCTTGGACTTCTGCAGTTTCCATTTTTTTCATTTCGGTATCACGAGAAACTTTCTTGGTATGATTCCCAACAGAGTGAACTTGCTCGGTAGTGGGTTGACTCCCTGTTTCCATGTGATTCTTTGGTAACAGGAGCTCTTCCAAAGTAAGGTGGAGTACCTTTATCTCCTTTGCAACTTTGTTGTTATCCTCACAGCCCTTTTGGACTTCTGCCGTTTCCATTCCTTTCATCCCGGTATCTTGAGAAACTTTCTTGGCATGACTCTCAACTGAGTGAACTTGTTTGGTAGTGGCTTGAGTCTCTATTTCATATTCTGCATCGACCTGATCCAACCACTGGAGATTTCTCGCCACTTCAAACACAGTGATATCCTCTAGAGGAATCTCCCTTGAGACAATATCACCCCAAGATTCTCCTTCGGTGACGTCCAGCCACTGGTCATTTTCAAAGACTTCATCCTCTACTTCCTTAGTTTCAATTCTTGTGATGTTCGCTTCTTGAATGGCTGTTACCTTTGCATGAATATCAGGGGAGGTGATGTCTTCGCAAATGCCTTCCTCTACATTCTCATCTTCTTTAGTAACCATAAACCATTTAACATCCTCAGTAAGCTCGGCTTTAAACTTTTGCACATCATTGCTCTCTTCCTCTAATTTGCTGTTGTTAGTTTCATCTGCAAAATGATACAAATCCAATTTTGGCCCCAGATTTTCTTTTCGGTTTGCTGTTTAATGATCGCACTGACCCTGAGTCATTGTTACTGTAATAACTCGTCCTCTTAGAAAATTTTCCTCTCAAACAAAACTGATCTTTTCATACCTTCGTTACATGTTTTCGTCTTCTCGATCTCTTTTATCTCACAGCTGAAAGGGAAAAATATCAGTTGTATTTCATTTACCTCCCTTTTTTAATTTTTTTAAATTTATTTTTTTAATAAAATCTAGTGAGCAGCACACGGCAACAATCTTGTCAACTTAGTTTATTATCTGACCGGTTTCGTCTGATCACACAGACTTCATCAGGGATTTAACAGATGAACAAAATTGAACTACTAATACACTAGACGTTTACAGTACAAATCACGTTCAAATCATGTGGGGTGAGAATAGCAAAAAACATCCACAAACAGGAAATGTTACGTAAATCCAGCCCAACAAATTGGAAATGTTACGCAAATCCAGAGTAACAAATTAAACAATGTTTATTTTGGGGCTCACGATTTTTAGCGATTTCCCCCTCTCTCTCTCTGTCTCTCTCTGTCTCTCTCTGTCTCTCTCTGTCTCTCTCTGTCTCTCTCTGTCTCTCTCTCTCTCTCTCTCTCTCTCTCTCTCTCTCTCTTTCCTCCTCTCTTCCCTTTCTCTCCCTTCCCTCCCTTCCCCTCTCTTCCCTTCCTCTCCCTTCCCTCCCCTCCCCTCTCTTCCCTTCTCTTCCACTCTCGGCCTTCGTTCCCACCCCTCACATAAATCTTCAGTTTTGCATTTTGTTTCAATCTTTCTTCAAGTAACGCTAGTGAATGCATTTCTTTTTTGAAAAGTTCAGAAAAGTAAACAAACTGCAAGGAAATCTTTCTTTGTTTCTGCAGCGTTGAGAAAAAATTAAGAAGAAGGAATATCTAGTTCCCACCCCTCACATAAATCTTCAGTTTTGCATTTTGTTTCAATCTTTCTTCAAGTAACGCTAGTGAATGCATTTCTTTTTTGAAAAGTTCAGAAAAGTAAACAAACTGCAAGGAAATCTTTCTTTGTTTCTGCAGCGTTGAGAAAAAATTAAGAAGAAGGAATATCTAGTGAGCAACACTGCACTTTTCCCACTTGCGTCTTTTTAAAGAGAACTCAATTTGTTTCAAAGTCGGATTCTGTTCCATAGGCATCTTTTTGTTGGCAAAACATTAACCATTGTAACTGATGTGGAATTTCAAGTTACTTTTTCGAGAT